TCGATAAGTATTGATAATAATAATGAACGCCACAGTTTTTCGCTATTCATGGACGTTAAAGTGGTTGTGGTCGGATGATAAAACAACCCTGAGCATCTCTTGAATAATTCTAAACTTCTAGTCCTTATAGTTTCTAAGGGGTCAGCCTTTATAGTTTTTCGTGTTATGTAGGCGTTAGAATGGGCGTGGCAAGACACTGAAATAAACTTGCGCTGCATAGGCTCTTTAAGAATCTGCATGCTTTATTCTAACTTTGTATCGCTTATAGTTCTTGAGAACTTACCTTTCATACGTTTATACGGACAGACAGACGGACGGACAAACGGACAAACAGATGGACGGACAGGTGGACAAGCGAACAGACAGACGGACGGACAGAGAGAAAGACAGACCAAAACTTTAAGATATTACAATATATCTCGTTCCGAATCAGGTTCATATATACGCCCCCAAGAAATGTTAAACTAATTGAAAGAACTTAAGATTTAATCAGCCAATGGGTTCCGAAATCCCCATCGTTTAACTTCCAGTCACTTGAAATGTCTACTTACTTCTTGCCACCTTTAACCATTCTTCTTAGATTAAGATAAAGATTAAGATTTAGATGAGATACTAGAGAGACGGCCAGCTTCTTTGCTGGGAATATCATATCAAATATGTTCATCATGCGCCACCATTTGATTGCTAAGGGGATTCTGATAATAATTAAAGGCTCAAGGCAGGCAGCCAGGCCAGGCAGGCAGGCACCACTACCATCTACCATATCTAACTCTAGGGCACGACCAGTAAATAAATATAATTAGCTGAAGAGTCTGGGTTGCCTTCTTCTTCATCTAAAGAGAACTTGCCACATCGCATGCATGTGTGTTGTTTTGGTTGTGGCACGCAAAATGAGATGACACTAAATCAAAGTTATTCAACTCACGTCGTTAAGTCATTAATCGAACAATGCACGGCAGGAACATGTCAGGGCACATACGCACATACAGCCTGCCTGCCACACACACACATACAGCCTGCCACATACTCGTAACATATGCTGATATCGTCGCCTTTAATTTAACTTGGCCTTAGTCTTTGTCTTGGCCAACGACATCATATTGACGACCATGTTGGCACATAATAACGGGAAGAGCCCCCCAAAGACAACGACAACGACGATGATGATGATGTGGCCTTTGAGGTCAACTCGGGACCCATCATCATAGAGAGCACCGCTCCCAGGAACTTGGACGTCCCTCTGTACAATGCATTATTAAACGCATAAATTTCGAGTCAAGTGGCAGGGAAGCCCAAAAAGGGAGAATCTTGAGCGACGGATGCGGCAGGGAAATCCTTTTCCAAGTGGTGACGACGTCAACGGTTGGTCGGTGAGCGGTCGCGCATTTCAAGTGCATTTGACAAGACCTGGGCCCCTATTCCGGAGGCGAAGGACACACGACAGACAACCCAACCGCATATCTCTCTTTGGAACTGCTAAGGGGCACGCCCTTTCATCAGCCGCCCATCAACAAGGCCCAATGGCCAGAAGCCAAGCAAAGACTTGCAACTTAAAGTTAAGTATTTGAAGGAGGGCAGGTAAGTAGCTGTAAAAGCTTAACTAAAACCACTTTAATTTATAGAAAATCCTAAATAAATTATAAGTAATTTTAAATTCTGTCACAATTAATTAAATTCCCAATCTTTAGTCGATTTATTTAACATATTTTTTGGCTGGGAAAAACTATGATTTAATAGTGAGTTTTCCCACGCCTGCCGTCCATTACAACAATTGCCATTTGTTGTTTGACCTGTCATCTATCATTAAATCAAAGTCTCTCTAATTAAACGCTTTAAATTGTGATAGTGATTATTAGATATATCGATTTAAAAATAAAAAATGAGAGAGAAAAACTAATTGAAAGTCATAATTTTTGAAAGTAAATAAAGAGGTAAGCGATATAATCGAATAAATCAAATAATGAAAATTGCTTCAGATAATAAACAGCCATCAAATGAGTACAAGCTGATAATTAAAAGGCTATCTATATATCATTATATATATATCTAAAAATATGACTATATATATATATATTTGCAATGCAGAACTAAATCACAAAAACACCCATTACTCGGCCATAACAACGGCAATTATGGAAATGAATACAAGCCACGTTAATATATACGCCAAAATCGTAGCCAACTTTAACAAAGTTTAACTAAATTGGGCATCAAATAATCGGCGGAAAGAGTGAAAGCTTTCCCAGAGGCTGGCGGCGGAATGCTGCTTTGGCTTTACCCATATTTATGCAGAAAAGTAAACCAACATCGACCATTGACCATATTGCAGTTCAGCAGCAGGTCCACCGCATTCAGGAGTTACATCCCATCCATCCATCCATCCATGGTGGGGCTGGATGGCTTTCCCAATGACCAGTGGAAAATCAGAGGGTTGCGAGGGCAATGCAAATGATGGAAGGGAGAGCCACTGTTGAATGGAAAAGTGGCAACTGGCGAATCGCCCGGTAATAGGATTATGCCTCGGCTCCATCAAAGCCAAAACAACCGCAACCACGCATAATTGTTAAATTTATTTATTTAAGCACGAAATGCGCGTAGCCCATATAGCCAGCCTGGCCCAACATAGCAATGTTCGCGGGCCAGATCCATCCTTTCGACCCATCCATCCATTCTGCCAGCCAGCCATCCATCCTTTCTGATGGCGGGTGGAGGAGGAGGAGGTAAAAAACCCAACCCAACTTCACCCCACCCACAGCAAACGTTTTTCGGTTTTTGTGGTCAATGAAAAATCGCTTTAAATAATGAATTTTATTTAAATAAATATTTAAAAAGCTGTCAGCGAACTTTTATGGGCTCCAAATGGGCAGCAATCGACAGCAATGGGCAGCGGATGCCTGGCTGGAGTTGTTTGAGTTGACTATATCAGGATCAGCACCTGGCTGCGATTGATTGGTGCATCGGTTAACGCCCCATTGTGTGCCCCAATGATCTGGTGTCAATACTTTATCCCTTTTTCTTTATGATTATGTTGTTATTAATAACAAAAGGTGAAGGTTAAATCTTAACACTTTCCACTGAAGGCCAAAGAACCTCTTCATTTCCTTTTTGATAAAAATCCTTTTACGGCAGAGCTTTTATTTACACAACTGCAAGAAAACTTGCACATATTTAGTGACGCTTTTGTGTTGCTTTGCAGCAGTGCACTGAGAGAAAGGAAAACACTTCTTTTTGCTAACCAAATCATCACCCATTCTCAATATGAAGTAAACACCAAAGTGAAAACAGAAGTTATAAGGAATGAATTCCAGTGCTGGGGTTCTAAGATGATCGGAGAAGAAAGAAGAAAAGTTAGCGACGGAATGAGGCGGAAAGATGAAAACGAAAAATTGTTGGTGAAATATCACAGCTGCGAGCGCTCAAAGCTTACGGGCGAGCAAGCTCATACACAGTAAAGATTTACAAAAACAAAAAACAAATCATCAGCATTTAGAGCTTAGGCTCGAAGCACAACCCCATCCTATTTTAAATTAAAGCCAAAGGAAAATCGATTCCGTAGCATAATACAATAAGTAATCACTTACAAAGTATGTAAAACAACATTTAATTAATTAGCTCAAGGCTAGTAATTTTGTATAGAATTTTTGGCTCGCTCCTGTGACTTCTTCATTCGCTTTCGATTTGCTTGCAATTGCTGGCAAAATTCGAATCATATTTCATTGTCATTCTCGTTTTATGGCCAAACAAGAATCAATGAGGGACCAGTGAGGATACAAGGGGCAGCAGCAGCTCAATCGGCAGACACGAGAAATTATAATTACAATTTGGCAAACGTTTATATATAGGATACCCGTTACGGCCAGGACTAATTAGTCTCCTGAGCGTGTTCCCTGACTCCTGATTCGAGATTCCCGATTTCTGATTATTGTAAATCTCTGCTCTGGTCACGCACAAATGAAACAATTCATAAATTTAATTTTTCGTGCCAGAATTGTGGTGGGAATAGGAGAAGGATAGCAGAAGGGGCAGCAGAGGATGGCGCTGCCTAGATGGATGGATAGATGGGGTCTGGAGATGGAACTTGGACAGTAGTAGCAGCAGTCGGAGTCGGGTGGAGTCGCCGCCCGCGCCACTCGACACGTCGCAGCCAACGAATTCCCACAATAAACATTTGCACCGGCGCGGATAACGATGATGATGATGATAATGATTATTATGTTGATGACGATGTATTTGCTGGCATGCCACCATCTACTCTATACCCCTCCCTTACCCTACTCCAATCCATCCTCCTCCACTCACTGCTGATTATGATGATAATGATGATGATGACGATGTGGGTAATGACGCTGATGACGACACACCGCTGGGAATTATTTGTATATGCAGTCATGTAGCATCGATTAATCATTTTATTATTATTGCCATTCGTTGGCGTTCCCATAGCTCGTGATCCTCATACATACGAGGAGTTTTTGAAAAGTCCCGACCGGGGTAGGACTCCTCCTAGTTGGCCCGCCACTGCTGCCATCGGTTCAGGATGGAATTGAAAACTGTTCTTCATAATCGCATCAGGGGAAATGGTGCTCAATTGATGGGTTCACAAATCAGGCCAACAAATATTCAAATTTTCAGCGATGTTTATTAATTTGGCCAGAATACGTTTTTGTTTTTTGTGTTGTTTTTTTTTTTTTAAACAATCTGTACATAATTTGGCTAGCAATTAGTTTGGGAATATTGCTTGGATACTGATTAGTTATTTATAAGTTTTAAAGTTAAAAGTTGATAGACGTTATCAAACATTTCAAGGAAAGTTTGATGGAAAATCAAACACAACTGAACTAAAAAGACTTGAATTTTGATTTTGCAAGTCTTAAGAGCTTGAACTTCAAGTGCTAAACTGAGCTACTAAGATAGCAACCCCGTAAAACCAAACCGTACAAATCCAAGAACCTGGCAACTCTGAAACCTAATCAAAAACGACATTTAAGTCATTTATTGCCACACATAAATTCGGACTGTCAAACAGAATCGAGCCAAAGTAAGCTGGAGTTTTTCAGATAATCCAAAAACCAAACCAAAACCAAATCGAAATCGAAATAAGAAATGTATGCAGCCGTCAAGCCTCTCTCGAATTATCTACGCCTAAAGACAGTGCGAATCTATGATCCAATATTCACGTTGCATTCCAAGTGCACCATCGTTATACTGCTGACTTGCACCTTTCTGTTGTCCGCGAAACAGTATTTTGGTGAGCCTATACTGTGCATCAGTACCGAGAAGAATATTGAGTATGTACAGTCCTATTGCTGGACCATGGGCACCTATATCCTGCCCACCGAAGATGATACGGATAGCTCCAATAGCTGGGATTTTCCCTTCTACTCCTCGGCCGCCACCGAAGCCTTTAATCTGACCAGCCTGCGTGCCTTGGTGGCCCACAATGAGCAATATGCCCGGGTCATTTCGATTGCAGAGGGCGTTGGGCCGGAAACGCGTGGCGTTACCAAGAGATTATATCTACGCTACTACCAGTGGGTCTTTATGATCCTGCTCTTTCAGTCCCTGCTTTTCTACTTTCCCTCGTTTCTGTGGAAGGTATGGGAGGGACAGCGCATGGAACAGCTGTGCTGTGAAGTGGGTGACGCTCTCATCCTGGAGGCCACCTATCGTAACCGCCTGCAGATGCTCACCAAGTACTTTCGCGCCCAGTTCGCTCCCATCCACTGCTGCTACTCAATCAAATACGCCTTCTGCGAGCTACTCAATCTTCTGATTAGCGTGAGTGTTATAATCATAATCCGGATTGTACAGATTATATATATAACCTCCTATATAGATATTGAACTTCTGGCTAATGGATGTGGTTTTCAATGGTTTCTGGCGCAAATACATCCACGCCCTGGCCGCCATACCCGTTTACGATTGGAATTTATGGAACCTAATGACTTCCCGTGTTTTTCCCAAAGTGGCCAAATGCGAAATGTTCGTTTACGGCCCTAGCGGCACTCCCAATGTCCTGGACATCCTCTGCGTTCTGCCACTAAACATTCTAAACGAAAAGATCTTCGCTGTTCTTTACGTATGGTTTCTATTCATCGCAATGCTGGCGACCATCAATATCTTCTATCGGCTATTGCTTTTCTGTTGCCCCGAGTTACGACTTCAGCTGCTCCGCACCCATTTGCGCGGAATGCCCAAGACGCAAGTGCGCGAAGTTCTTAACAACGTTGGCTATGGCGATTGGTTCGTGCTCATGTGCGTGAGCATCAATGTGAACCCATCGCTTTTCCGGGATCTTCTCGAGCAGCTCTATGTTAATCAGAAGCAGGGACCCTCTATGAAACCTATGAACGCGGATATTAAACGTCATTCGCTGCAATCACAGACCAGAGTTGAAAGGAATACCAGTCGCAATTGTAGCATTGGTCTTGATCCAATGGTCGATCGTCATTCGATTGGCATGGCCAGCAATCGAATGGAAGCGGTACCCCCGACGGCCCCGACTCTTAATTTAATGGCACCCAATGACGAGATAATCAGTATGGATCGCTACTTCCTTGAGAGCCATGCCTAGGATCTGGATATCTCTCTACTTTTCAGATGTAATACCAAATAGCGAAGTATCTAACTTACTATTATAGACTAATAAATGGCTCCTAGGAGATCATTAGGATCATGTTTCATTATAATCATCTTTAATAAGAAGTGTCCCTCCTATCGCACTGCTACTAAGATCACACCCGTATCATTTATCAAGCGTTTCCCCTCCCCGCACTCTCGACTGATTTTCCACTTTAGAAGCTTTATCAGTTTTGCAAATAAGTGAATTGCATAAGAATGCAAATAAAATGCACTAATCAAAATGACAGCGGGGTAAATACTAAATACCAGCAGGCATAACAAAAACTTTAACAAACTTACAAAAGTTAAACAAGCCGAGTGTACGAAGGGGAGCCGGAGGTGTTTTGATGGGGATGAGTGAGGGGGAGGGGATAGATGTACCGTTCGCTCTCGCTGAGAGATGATGACGATGATTGCAAAACTCTTCTCTTCCGCTGGTTAAGCTTTTGTCTGTCTGCCAACAGGTAAAACTAACAACAACAAAGCGAAAGTGAGGAAGAGAACAGGAGACAGTGTTGTCGCTTACAAAAATCAGCCGAAATACGCGAGTTAAATAAATCCAAATGGCAAATGACAAGCTAAATAATGGAAAATAAAAATGAATTTACAAAATCCTTAATAAAAAAAAGCATTATACTCGGAAATAAAAGGTATTTCGTCAAAGAAAAAGCTTATTAGATAAGCTACCTAAGGCCTACATAATAGTCACATCCGGCTACAAAATGGCTTAACTATCTGCACAGGCAGCAACAGGAAGAGAGGGTTGAGTAGACAAGGCGGAAGGAGAGGCGACGACAACGCAAATGGCGGCAATTACATGCAGCTACAGCATCAACAATAACATAACAACAGCAAAGAGAGAAAAGGATAGACAGAGGCAGAAAAAGCGAGAGCTACAGAGAGAGATAGAGACCAGGAGAGCAAAAGAAAGACGCGGGCAAAGTCAACATCACTTTGTCTGAGGCGGCCAAAGCGCGAACGAGCGAGCGAGAGGGGGTGTTGTGTGAGGAAGACAGGCGGGCGGCGTGGGTAAAAGCGTAAAATAAACAAAGTTAATTTTAATTAAAAACCGCAGGAAACCGAAAAAACAACAAAATGCTAAATAAGATGGGCGTGAACGAAGTGACTGAGCAGCGAAGCCGATGACGATGACGATGATGACGCCGAAGGAAGTGGGCAAGGAAGTCTTGCATATGCAATAGCGATAAAGAAGAAGGGAAAAAAAACGATAACGCGAAAAATGGAAGTAAAAGCGAAAGATCAGTGATGCCAACAGGCAACGTAGGACGCAGTAGACGAAAACAGCTAAAATATATGAAAAATATAGAGTAATAAGATGAGATTTGTAATCTATTTGAAATCTATGAAAAACTTAAAACCTCTTAACTTTATAAATCTAATCTGCATTTTTAAAATAATACAGCTCTATCAGACAATCGTGAAAATGACAACACTGACAAAAGGATAGAAAGTCTGGCGTAGGAAATATGCCTCCAGCTGAAATGTAGGCTGAAACATAACATATTCCTTTGCTGCTCACACTTCTTTCTTTCTTTCTCCATTCCCTATCCCACCGCCGCCAACGGAATCCACAGACACCAATGGATAACTGTAACTGTAACTGTAACAAAGACACATGTAAACAATTCCGTTTGTCTTCTCAACGCTGTTCCTGCCTAGTTTTAATTATACCAAGCAAAAACTTTGCCCGCACTTTGCCTACACCACTCACACAGCAGCAGCAGCGGCAGCAGCACTACCACGAAAGTTTTTGAAGTGAGCAACGGTAAACGATTTTTAGCTAACCACAATTCCCAATCCACATGGAAATTACTGAGCCGCCTCACACACCACCATCAGCAACCTTCTTTTTCTGTTTTCAAAGGAAACTCCTCGAAGTGATTTTGAAGGAATAGAATAGCTAATAAAACAGCGATTGAGAGATGCCAAAATGATGAAAACTTTTTGGAAAACTACTCAGCAGATCGCTCTTAATGTTAGGAAATATTTGTTAGAAAATTCATTCATACTCCTAATCAATAGCATTTTCTTTGACAAAGTTTCCTTCCTGTCTAGCTATTTCTAAGATAACTTATAATTTATATTCATCTTAAGCTTTATCTTAACTTTATGTTTAAATTTTAAAGATTTAAGCTAACGTTGGAAATCATCAAACGATGGAAAACAGCTTTCTTGTATTTTCCAAATACATCACTAAAATTTGATTTGCTTGTTAATCAACTGCCACCCTTTCTTTTTGAGACCAAATAGATAAACAAGTTAACAGAGCTAACCACCTCGCCCAAGCAACGTCTCTACCATCTGAACTGTCACCTTGGTAACCCCAGATGGATGCTTTTCAATGGCGAAGGACGAACAAAGAAAATTTCAAATAAATTAACAAGTTAATTGAGTTTCGTGTTTAGGCAGCGAACGAAAGCGATCCCAACCAGACGGGACCCGCCGAGAGAGAACTCAGACTAAACCTTATGGCCAATAATCGAGAGTTGTCGCCAGGCGGTGGTGGCTGTGGCTTTGACTGTGGGCTGCTACGCCCCCACAACTGCGGTCCAAATATAGTATTCACACTGAAAATAACCAGCCTAAAATTCTTTAAAGTTTTTTCAATCATTCAGATTATAATTAAAATTTTTTTTTTTTTAATAAGAGCTTAATTATTATCCCTGGATCATAAATATATTTTGACTTTCATATCGTAAAATGGCATTTCACATTCCCTAAAAATTTCAAAATAGTTTCGACTCAAGTAGGCCTTGGATTTTATTTTCTTATAAGGTTTGTTCAGTCTCAGGAAAAGTTAGTTTACCTCCCAACCCCGTCGAGTAAAGACCTAATTCGGTAGTGGAAAAAAAAAAAAAAAAAAAATATAAAAGAAAAAAAGTTCATTTCGTATATCGAAATCGGGAATTTCCAATCGGTTTCGGGTCGATTTGGCAGCCTTGCCTTTTCCGAGTGTCTCAGTTCGTTACTTCCAAATACCGCGGTTCGGTTGCAAAACAAGAAAGTAAAAATGTATTTCGCCTTTTCGGTCTCAAAACCAAAATTTAGAAGTGAAAAGTGAAGTGAAGTGAATAATAAGCCAATACATTAACATGATATATCTGCCAAAGTAGGCGGAGTTAAATTAGTTCATATCCAAAGGGCACAACCTTGTAAATTTCTATTTCAGCCACAAGAACTAACAAACTGCCAAAAAGTGTAAAATCCTATCAAAAAAGTATAGAAAACGACGAATCACTAACGGGTTCTCTCTATTTGCTTATTATATTTATATGAAAATGAATCTGAAAGAAACTACCAGCAGACGACTATACCCCATGGGAATTGAAATGTTCGGATTATTGAAAGACCATAAAATCGAAGACTAGAGAAGCTGGAATGCTGAGGAACAAACGATAGGATCAAAGCATACAAAACCCAATCTTCACGGCTGCATCCAGGAATTACAGTGGTGGGTGTACCCCAAAACCGAAGATCTGTGTTAAGTTAGAACTTGGGATAGTTCATGGGTTCTGAGGTACTCTCGCTAACTGCAATCCTGGATGCAACTGCTCTTGCTGGTGTCCAAGAGTTGCATTTTACTAAATTGCAGTTCCAGGATTGAACATTAATGGGTGGCTCTGATGGCAGTTTGGATGCATTCCTGGGATATAGAAAACCTGTCTGGATTTTAAAGGGGACAGGCTCTGACTTGCTCAATCCGAGACAACATGGCTGAATTACCTACTAATGTGATCCAAATCTTCTTTATGGGAAAGTCATCTGAGCTGCGAGGGAGTATCCGTCATTCGGGACGTACAAGTTGGCCCCGGACGAGAAGCTATTGTTCTGTGGGGACTTCAGAAAGTTAGACTTAGATCAAATCGAAGATTGAAGACGGTGGAATGCGTAGAAACATCCAATTAGTCTGAAGGAGTAGAAGCATTCAGAGTCAGAAAAGGGAAGTTTTTACCTTCTTTTCTATTTTACTTTCCTTTAAAACATTTTATTTGAAAAATAAGTAAACGAAATTGTAGTCACTGAATATTAAAATCTACCATATTTAATAGCTTGTATATATTAAAGTAGAAAATGCGCTTAGTGGCTCTGTTGAAGAATAGATCGGTCATTAAGCATTATTGTATTATTGTCAAATCGCACCTAGTTAAATGCTTATCATTGTATTGTTGTTCTAATCGTAGCAAGATAAATGCACATCATTGTTTTGTTTTTCGTCTCCCAAGCTTGAAGCTCACACGCATAGACGAAATTGCAGTAAATTTGCATTAGTATTGCAGTATCACGCGTTTTTCTGCATTATCTTTTCTGCACGTTTTTTCGGCTTTTATCATACATTTTGACTCGATCGCAACAACCGCTTGTAATTTGCCCTCTTAATAAATAGTTAATAATCGATCGCAACGGCTTGTAATTTGCCCCGCTTAATAAATAGTTAATAATCGATCGCAACCGCTTGTAACTTGCCCCGCTTATATATATAGTTTTGGACTCGCTTGCAACCGCTTGCAACCTGCACCGCTTAATATATATAGGTTTTGACTCGTTCGCAATCGTTCGCAATCGTTCGCAACCGCTCGCACCTTACCCCGCTTAACAAATTGTAAACCCGCTTATAATTAAGAAATAAACTCGAATCCTAGAAAAAAGAGATACAGTCCACTTAATTCGCCAACATAACAAATTTTTGGTCCTTCGAGCCGGATCTTCTGCGTTTGAATTCGAGTTTATTTGTGAATAATAGAAGACAAACTAGCCGCATCGGGCAATTCAACAACGTCGTGCCTGCAAGGGGCAAATAACTCGTACCCTTAACAGTGCTTTGGAGTTTTCTCAGGAATGTGATAAATTTTGACTCGCTCGCAACTTGCCCCGCTTAATATATAGTTTTTGGACTCGCTCGCAACCGCTTGCAACCTGCCCCGCTTAATATATACAGTGGATCCAAGCTTATTTCGTGCAAGAAAAAAACGAATTTTTAATTTGATACTGCTACTAAACCAGCAGAGATATCAAAAACGCAGTAATGTTAAGAATGTCGCATATTAATAAAATAATAACAAAAGTTTTTACTAATTTAAAAAACAAAAGAATTTTTTATACAAAAACTAAAAAATAGGGCAACTCCGACGCACAAGCAAGCACTTTAACAGCTAATAACTCTAAACTAGGACTTTTAAATCCATTTTTTTTTCTTAATACTAGTAAAAATATATTAACAAAAGCATATTTTATATTTATAAGTTTTCGAGGCTGGGGGCACCCAAAAATTATGTATTATCGAGGATTTTCCTTCACTTTTGGGACAATACGTCTCTCATCCTGGTCATTAAAAATTTTGTTCGGTGCATTACCGCCCCTTTCTGCCACCCGATTTTCGCAAAAAAGCGTTTGGGTTATGTATGGGTTTGTACTAGGGCTTGAGGCAACCATTTCCTGGGTTTTCCCATCCTTAAAATGTTTAAGGACTAATTCGCTTTGCTCAATAACTATTGACTATTATTCGTGGCGCCATAGTTTGAAAATCCTCGTTAATCCGTAATTTTTGGGTGCCCCCAGCCTCGAAAACTTATAAATATGCTTTTGTTAATATATTTTTACTAGTATTAAGAAAAAACAAGAGGAAACGCTATAGTCGAGTGCCGCGACTATAAGATACCCGTTACTGTTTTACAAAATTTTAAAATATTATTTTGCTAGTGGAAATTCACAATGCTCCACCTATTGTCAGAGGAAGTATGTTTAGTATGCTTACAGTGACGTCACTACCCATGTGAGGCGTTATAACTTAATTTCTTTATAAATAGCGAAATAATGTTCTGATTTGAAAAATCTTTGGTAAACCGATAGATATTAACAGAAATAAGTTACACAAGGTCAAACGAAGGCATTCATAATAATATTATAGACTCCACAGTTTTCCGCGGTTTGTGGGCGTTAGAGTGGGCGTGGCCGGATGCAACTTCGTGGCAAGTTGCAGAGGCATCTCCTAAATACGTGTTCCTAAGCAAAATTGTGTAGCTTTTATAGTTTTTGAGATTTTTGCATTTTTGGTTTTTCGGGTTTTGTGGGCGTTTGAGTGGGCGTGGCGTGATCGGAAAAAAACAATTCGCTTTGAGATCATCATAGAAACATACATGCTTAATCCGAACTTTCTATCTCTTATAGTTACCGAGATATCAGGTTTTCTAGTGGTAGTACCACTATAAGATGCGCTGCCATCTAAAGATTATACTTTCTGAATTTCAACTTTCTATCTGCAATAGTTCCTGAGATTTCAGCAATTTTAGTTTTTGCGATTTGTGGGCGTTAGAGTGGGCGTGGGCAGGATGCTGTAATAAACTTGCGCTGTCCCGGGACTTCAAGAATCTTCATGCATAATCTCAACTTTGTATCTGCTATAGTTCCTGAGATCTCAGCGTTCATACGGACGGACGGACGGACAGACGGACATGGGCTCAATCGACTTCGCTATTGATCCTGATCAAGAATATATATACTTTATAGGGCCGCAAAAGCTTCCTTCTATCTGTTACATACTTTTCAACGAATCTAGTATACCCTTTTACTCTACGAGTAACATGGATAATGAGTTTCCCCTTCTGGAAAATTCCTCTGCTGTTAACGTTCCTACATGTAAATGCATTATTATTAACGGGTATAAAAATGGATTTAAAAGTCCTAGTTTAGAGTTATTAACCGTTAAAGTGCTTGCACGATATAAGCTTGTGCGTCGGAGTTGCCCTATTTTTTAGTTTTTGTATGAAAAATTCTTTTGTTTTTTAAATTAGTAAAAACTTTTGTTATTATTTTATTAATATGCGACATTCTTAACATTACTGCGTTTAAATTTTTTTGATATCTCTGCTGGTTTAGTAGCAGTATCAAATTAAAAAATTTGATTTTTCTTGCACGAAATAAGCTTGGATCCACTGTAGTTTTTGTACTCGCTCGCCCCGCTTAACATTTTGTAAACCCGCTTATAATTAAGAAATAAACTGGAATCCTAGAAAAAAGAAATACAGTCCACTTAATTCGCCAACAGGCTCCAAAAAGGCTTAAAATGTAATGAAGGTCTTTAAATAAAAATATCACTTAAATTGAAATATACTAATTTTTCCAAAAAATATACCAGAAACTGTGCGCCGTTCTATGCGATTCTCAAAAGTTGTACATAAGCAGTGCCCACTTTCAGTATTAAAAAAAGTGGAAAAAATTTTAGTGACCATTTGGTAAGTGTCTTAAAGTGAATTTTGCCTTTAAATGAAGTGAATTAATGCCATTTTTGGATTGAATATTTGTGTACTCCTGGTAAGTAAAATGTGTCTTAATAATAAAGAAGGCATTTAATTTGAATTTTATTTTTAGCATTCAATTAGCTGAAGGACTGAGTGGTACCCCCAAAAACCGAACAACCCACCGCTTATTATTATTCCAAGTTAGAACTTGGAGTAGTTCATGGGTTCCTAAGTGCATTCGCTGAAGTGCAGTTCCTGGATGCAACTGCTCCTACTGGAGCAACAGCCCTAGCGTCCAGGAGTTGCTTTTTGGACCTTACAAGAAGGGGAAAGTGTATGCATTCAACGAATGATTACTGACAGTTTCCCTGAACTTGTTCCTTTCGTTCACAGAAACAGAGCAACAAGACAAGGAGGCCGAAGGCGGAGAACTGATTTACAGCAAGGCTACCTTATTGAAAGTCTCCCCTTTATTCGCATTCTTGAATCTTCATGAATTCGAAGATTGAAGCTTTCAAAACCCAATAACCTGGATTAATTCTTCGGCTTAGAAGTACATTCGTTGATTTTAGCAACTGAATCCAGGAGCTGGATTTCAGGATATGCGCTTTGAAGAACAATATCTTCTGATAACATGGATTTACTTCTTACGGATCCTTTCAAAAAGGGTAAAGAATCCATAATTTTCTTATTGAACAACTAAATACTGGAATTTATTTTACTTATAGGAAAATGAATCTTAAGGAAGGACACTGTGATGTTTATAGAAGCCAATTCTGAGTCTCCGGATCTATGCTTTGTCATCGTAAGGAGCTCGTCTATCTCATCGCTTAACACCGTTGTGATGGTCTCATCCATGAACTTTCCTAAGACGGATCTAAGAGAAGCTATTCCCGGAATTGCCCTAGTAACGATCGGATTTATGAATTTCCATCAAATCGAGTATTGGATTGGATTGTATGCTGAGATACGAACGAATGAAACCAAGTAATTTATAGACTTCCGTGCTCATGGATGGTGAAAATTATGTACTTGATTATACCATCGGTTGGAGGAGGAGTGGAGGATGTGTGCTTTACCACATTTCAGCGATGATTTTTCTTTACAAAGGATGTGCGTTCAATTTACTGTAAAAGGATCAACTGATCTTGCTGGAGCAACAGCCTTAGCGTCCAGGAGTTGCCTTTTGGACCTTACAAGAAGGGAAAGTGTATGCATTCAACGAATGATTACTGACAGTTTCCCTGAACTTGTTCTTTTTTTTTTTAAAGAAAAGTGTAACAAGGGGTTGAGGTTGAGAACTGATATACTGCACGTCTACCTTATTGAAAGACTGCCCCACCAACGACTTCATTGTATCGAATATTGGAGAGGGTGGTAGGCTGAGGCGCAAATAAATAAGAGGATCATCCAATTAGTCTGAAGGAGAAGAATTTGAATAGTTGCTGCAAGCAAATGATCTATCTGGAGTACATTGGACACTGATGGCAGTGGACAGGGAAAGATCTATCACTTCCACTGTCACAATGGCTACTAATGCGATCCAAATCATTGTCTTGGAAAAGTTATCTAAGCAGGGAGACGGAAAAGTTGGCTATTGTTCTTCTGTGGGGACTGCCAAAAGTTGGATCCTTCGGAGGAAGTGCTACTGATGCTGGTTTCCAGGGATTAATCGGAAGCCAAAGGTAAGCTTTTACCATAACAAAGGTAAAAAAAATATGATTTTTGTATTGAACGATTTATTTATGACAGTTTAGGCATTGCTTCCAATTTCTATGGTCTGGATTATTGGAATTACATCAAATCGAAGATTAGTCTGAAGGAGTAAATGCATTCACAGCTGCATCCAGGGATTACATCGGCGGGTGCACACCCAAACCCTGGCTCTGTTTTAAGTTAGAACTTTAACTTACATATGTAGTCTTGGATGCACCTGCTCCATCGCCCAGGACTTCTGCTTCAGTGTGTGCCTTTTCAAGGCCAATACCTTCTGTTAACTGAACTTAACCATGGACTTTCCTCTCTCGGACTGGACAAAGAGGGGACGAACTCACGAACTTCTTCAATAAGAAAAACTTGGCTAACTTTACTCTGAATTTCTAATAAATATGGACTCGTAATTATGTTTTTCAAATTAAAAGTGTATTGAACAAACTGCATTTTCTGTATATTTCTACTGATAAAAACTAAAATCCATTGAAGAAAACATTAAAGTTTCGAAAAGTTTTAAAAGCAGTATTTTAAAGTGTAGATATACCCGCCGTATATGCGATATATATTGAATGGCAAATCGATGAAGAAGCTAGTAAATTGAGTGATTTTAGTAATTCATGTTCTCAGAGAGCTCCAGGAAGAAGCTGTTCGTTTGACGGCAGCTGTATTCCTTTCACACCGCCCACCTCCTTACCACCAGTCCTTCTTGTTGATGGTGTCGAGTGCGTTGCGGTTTGTCAGGTGCGTTAAACTGTGCGGTTACCGTTGCGGTCGCCGCCGGTTATTAAGAATTAACAATTAATGCTAAATCAATAAGCAAACACAACATATTTTGAATGGACTTTGGCATCAGAGGCCAAAGCGACAATGTCATTTATATGCTAATTACACTAGCCCAAGGTGCTGGATACCACCTACTCTACCTTAGATACCTTTTACTTTTCCCAAGTTCCCAGCAGTTCCATCAACGCTCTTGATATATGAATTAATTAAACTTTTTCGCCTGGCCACGAAATTGGCGAAAAAGCACGACCACAGGCGGCCAGAAGCCAGAAGCCAAGCGCAGAAAATGCAATCCCATTTCGAGTACCTCATCCTGGTCCTGGTCAGACTCAGACAACCCATGTCCATGGGTATGGCCTATGTTCAGGGTGATAGCGAGAGAGGGGGGAGGCGATGGGTTTGTGGGCCCAACGACATGTGCAACAAAATCATTTTTCAATTACATTTTCGGGTTTTCGTGTGTGCGGTGGTCCTGGTTTTTGGTCCTTTAAAAAGGCGACCATGAGACCACATGCCAGGTCAATGGAAGGGGGGGATGGAGAAGGATTCCCGTGGTTTTCACCAAAAAGTGGCAGAAGGACAAGTGCTAAGTGGGCGGCTGGCTGCAGCACCATTCGATTGTTGCATATTGAAAAATTTGCTGCAAAATTGATTCTACGGCATTTTTGCGGATGCGGATGCAAATGCAAAGCATTTTGAATGGCCATATTGATCACATGACCAAAAGTAGCAGCAGTAGCAGGAAGCATAGGTGAGAGGTCACAAAATTTATAGGAGGAAATGGTTTGAAAATAATAATAATATTTGGAAAATTGTATACAAAGGCATTCTACAACAGCAGCTAGTCTCTAGTCACTAAACGAGTAATTTTTAATATATTTTAATTTTTGATTTTCTTATTACTTTTCCAACTTAAGAGCTTAAGTTTAAAAAGCATTTAAATACATTTTTATAGTAATTAATTTTAGTTAATTAATTTGCAAAAACCAAAACAGAAATTTCTATCATCATTGGACTGTGATTGTGGTTTTTCCCCCCACTGATAGTAATTTCATTTTCCAGCTGTGCCAGCAGCTTTGCTGCCCAATCTTTGATAACAATTTCAAAATGGGTTTGTTGACTTGGATACTTATTGCTTTGGAAATAGCAAAATCACAAATCAGATGCCGAAACCATCGAAGGACTGCAAAAGCTCGAAATGCGATCATAGAGTGCTAACTATATTTATTGATGTTAAAAACAATCTTTAATGGACTTTCATTGTTTATATCTTTTACTGTGCTAATCAATATTAAAATAATTATTTTGCCAAACAGAAATTACCTAATTGACAGCGCAACTTTTGCCAGAAGCGCACAAAGCTCGTGAGGTAGAGCATTTACCAAACAGAAATACAAGAAAACGTGCACATACAGTGGCTCGCAGCAAGCCTTGTCAAGTTTAAGGCTATCTAGTATTATACAAATGTGGTGATTACGCCAGCCCAAGCATCAAACATAAATTTTATGGAGCATTCGTGAGAAAACTTGGATCAGGTTGTTCATAAGAGAAAGACTTCCATATTGATATTGGAAAGCAAAGAAAATCCACCAGAAATATGGTTTCAATGGAACTAATCTGACGAACTCTTGAGCTTCTTCGATTGACAATACTTAACTCCTTTTTGAATTCGAATAAAAATGGTTTCAAAAATATATAAAATCACAAAATTCAGTTATCATTCATAAGATCTTGCCGATATTGTTGGATATTGAAGAGAAAAAGGTTTTCAAAGCATTGGCCATCACCACGAAGGTCACTAAAAATCAGTAATCTGATTTCATTCTCCTTACAAGTGAGAAAAAACCTTAGCTTTTCTGTATTTTCATTCAACTGATTAGGAATGTAGATCGATCTTACATCGGGAAATCTTGCCATCTAGAAAAATATGAATTAAAAAATTGAGTTCTAGTAACCACAAATCTGGCTCGGAAATAAAACAAGGTTTATTAGCTACATTCTCATATTTCTAGACTCACTGAGGAAAATATATCTAAGTTCTGAGAAAAAAGCCATTACAAAACTTAGAACTTATAGTTTGGCTTGACATTTCAATGTAATATTTCAAAAATAAATAAGAATTCTACCGCAAAATCTAAAAAGATCTCCCACAAGTTATACAGCACATCAGAAATAGCCTTGAATTGCACTAATTAGTGACTTAAAGCGATTCAGTTGGCCATATTTCCATGAAGATTTCGACAAGGAGATTGTCCGTTTTGGCTAAATGCCGGACTGCGAAACAGCGGTAAACACAGTGCTGATGCAATTGCATTACTCGTACCACCTACCTCTCCATCACTCCCGTTTTTGCCTTTTCAACGTCCAGGTGGAGGAGCATTCCCTAAGCACACACATCCACACCAACCAACCACCCAAACCCATTGGCGGCGTGGTCATCATCCGTACCGTTTTAATCAATTATAATTGCTAGAATTTTTGATTAGTTGGCACCTGCCTCAATCATCTGCAACGTCCGAAATGGTCGGAATCGTTTTGGTCAACCGTCACACACACACACACACACACACGGATGTAGATTTTGGGCCTCCCGTTTCTGATTCGGATTTGGATTCGGATTTTGGTCTGTGAATGTGTGGATGTGTTGTTGTTCGGTTTTAGGGAGAAGAGAAGGTGGTTCTTCCATGGACGGTGGCTTTTAATACCGACACAAATTTTGTGGGAAAAGGGAGAGGGGAGGGGAGAGACGGCTGGCAAACATTTTACGTAATTGCGCACATATTTAAATTGCGTCCCATATTGCACAATACATCAAATTATGGCCCAAAGTAAAGTAAATCTGACAGACATGGACACACGGACAGAAGGGCGGCCGGAGACCTAAGGCCAGTTAATAAGTAAGCTGGACCATTTATATCCGCCTGTCCAAGTCTATTCCCTTCTCTCTCTCTTTCTCTAAATGTATCTCGATTTCTATCTCTGTTACTATCTCTCTCATATGCATTTTGCATGAGATTTTTCGGTGCGGAATATTCTACACACAGAACCAAACCAAAACCAAACACGAACTGCACTGTAATTTATTTAGATTGTCTTGGCAAATATTTATGCACATCGTTTCATTGATTTATAAATCAATTGCAATCACTGAAGGGAAGGGGTATTACCACCATTTTCTAACCGTAATTAATAAAGACAAATTACCTGAAAGCGATTTTGGATTACCAAAATGTCGAAAACTTTGTGGCATTGCAAAACTTTCAAATAGAGAGATCTCCCATGATGCCAGTCAGGACGACGACACTTGCCCAGTTCAAAGCTAATCCTTTGCCTTGACTGGCGATCTGGATTAGTTTTGAATTGCCTTTGCCTTGGCCATTCCCATTGCCATAGCCGCCCGCCCGCTTCTCGCATTAAGGAGCATTATGCTTCTTGGCCTGTTCCCATACTTGGTTCACAACTAACTCCCCCTTCTGGTCATATCGTTAGCCATGGCTGGTTAAGTTTGCAACTGATTTGATTTCATCTCCTTCCAATTTTGCTTGGTGGGCGTACTGCCACGCCTACAGCTAAGCGCTTCGTAACAAAGAGAACGGACTTAAAAACACTTCTTCCACCAACCATATTAAGCAAAAAGGACTTATCGGTACTATCGAAGTCATATAAATAGCACTGACCAAAAAAATTTTACTTAAATTTCTATACTGGCGCCATCTGTTGCTAGAACCATGAAGAGCATGTTTGTTAACGGAAGATTACGTTATTGTTAAGGCCTTATTAGCCAAATTTCCTAATAAATTATTGGTAGGGCATTCAGAAATACAAGAATATTTGAAGTGAAAAAAAGTTTTACCACAAACATAATGCTTTATGGGCGTTAAAGTAGGCGTAACCAGCTGCTTAAACAATCTGAAGCTAGCTGCCCAGGCATCTCTACAATCTCCAAACCTTATCCCAACTTCCTAGCTCTTCTAGTTCCCCAAGATCGAAGTTGATACAGACAGATGGACATGGCTAATACTTCCTAGGAACAAAAACATCCGTACAAATATTTTTATAATCATTTTTTCATGATCATGTTTGATTTCATAGTTTGATTATAACTATATAGATTAATTGACAGATTGGACTTAGTCCGATGACCTCAGTTGTAGGCGTGTGTATGGCCTCGTTGTGTGTGTGTATACAAAAAATATTTCACAGGCAATTTCGCATCCCCACACACACGCACACACACACATCGCCCACACGGAGAGCGTCTTCGTCTTCGTCTTGGTCCTGTGGCTCCTGGGCCGGGGACATTCACTATTGTGCATACACAAACTCTAATAAAAAATTCAGTTCACGTCTCGAGCACTTATTGATACGTGAGCATAGATGACACACAATCCCACACACCCACATAGAGGTATAAGTAGAGTATACATATGCATAAGGTCCTTTTTAGAGTGTGGCCCACTGGGGGCACAAGGATATCGACAGGGGAAACGAATAGGAACAGGAAGAGGACTAGTCAAGTCAGCTAGCTCAAGGGACAATAACTGACCATGAAAAATGGACAGAAGTCGAGACATCGATTGAGGTAAAAGACTCGATCAATGTCAAGGAGATGAATCAATTTCAGACAGCCAGTCATAGATTTATAAGAAATTTAAAGTCAAATAATATAAGATTGAGATCGACATAAACTGTTAGAAAGGGGGAAAATGATAGCTTCTTTGAAATATTGGACTTTGGAATGTATTACTTAAACCTACAAAACCAACAAAAATAGTATTTCCTAATGATAATTCCCTTTATCTTGTATTATAAAGAGCATCGCAAAATAAGAAATATTTGAATTAAAATAAAAAAAGGTTTTCATTTTGTAGAAATAAATACAAATAGAAGTTGGCAGGCACTTACATTTACTATCCATATTTTTCCTGGCTTTTCTTCTAATTGGTTAATTTAACAGCTTCGTAATTTTTCACTTCCCATTCACATTTCCGTGTCCATTTTCTTTGCCAGCTTTCCTTACATGTGCTTCTATTTTCATAAAAAAAAAACATAAAAACAACTATCAGAAGGAATATTTATACCAGAGTTAGCATATTTAAAAACACAAACCAGATTTCAATACAGTAAACAATGTTTATGCTGAGTATAGCGATGTTGTACTGTATTGTAGTTATAGTTAACATAACTTTTAAAAAAAATTCAAAAAGAAGATAGATAATGAATCAAAATTAGCTTAGTTTTGTATTAAAAAATATATAATAGTTATATAATAGCTTTCCGCAAGAAAAATTCTTTCGGTTTCACCGAAATAAATAGAAATGAAAACCTCAAGTTTTTCAGAGACTTACCTTAATTTTCCTTATTATTCAGAATTATATTTATGTATATTTCTCCAGTGTATGTATTATATTATATTTGTGTGTATATGCATGTGTACGTCATTGTTAAGTTGGCAAATTTGGACGCACACACATGCCTTGATATGTAAGTTTCAACTTATCCCGCTGATCTGCATTGTGGCAAAAAAAAAAAAAAAAAGTTATTAATAAAAAATATAATTAATATAAAAAAAAATTAAAAAGAAATATGATTAATAAAAAATATAATTAATAAATTTTGAAGTCCCAGCAACATTGGTATTGGCCTGTTAATTTGGCGTTGCCACTTTTCATGAATGAAAATGGCGAACCGGCCAAACTTCAACAACATAACGGAACCTCGTGTAGCCTCTCTTGTCTTGTTTTGTCCACTCCTCTTTGTCAAGGCATTTCACCAACTTCACATCAGAAATACTATTAAAAAATATAAATTAATTTTTAATATGTAAGAAAAATAAAATATTTCACTTTTTTTATGGTTTAAAACAATTATTAAAGAAACAATATGTTTTCGGTTCACTTTCTTTTATTTCCCATATTATTCGCACTTTTAGCAACAAAAGTAGTTTTATTCAATATAAATTGTTTTAATGGTTAATTATTTTTAATTATCAAAACAATTTATATTGAATAAAACTTAAAACACAATCCGGCAATCACTTTTTATATATTTTTTAATCAATTCTTAACACTTCTTAAGAGCACAAATATTTTTTGCACGCGCTTCACTACGACTACCGCTTACGACTGAAACTCAAAAATTACGACTCAAAAGATAAAGAACAAGTGGAAGGAGAAAAGAAGAACGTTAACGGACAGGTGAAAAAGAGGATTAACGGATCTTTCACACACCATTCTTTTCATTCTTCTTTTCCCCATTTCCTTGCTCTTTTCTTTGCCTTAGCGTTTAATTCATTTTAGATATCAATAAGTGTATATTAGACAATTTAGTTTAATTTTTAAATTTCTTATTGGGATTATTATTATTATGGGTTTTTACCTTGACTTTGCTGTTCAGTAATCCGCGTAGCAACAGCAATATTGGCTTGTAATTTGACGTCGCCACTTTTCAAGAATGAAAATGGCGAATCGGCCAAACTGCAATACCAAAACGCATAACGGAACCTCGTGTTGCCTCTCCTGTCTTTTTTTTTTCGTCTCCTCGTATCAAAGCATTTTATTCACATCGCAGATACTATTACAAAATATAAAATATTTTACTTATTTTAATGTTTGAAATAAATATCACAAAAAAAAAAATATGTTTAAGGCTCACTAACTTTAATTTGCCATATTCAGTGCATTACCATACAATTACACATAAGGTCATGTAGACACACTCACACACATTTACACTTCTACGGCGTCATTTGCATTTTAGCGTTAAAAAGTAGTTAAATTTACCAGCAAAACAATTTATATTAAACAAAACTCAAAACACAATCCTGCGATCACTTTTTATATGTTATTTAATCTATAATTAACACTTTTGAAATGCAAATACTTTTTGCTTGCGCTTCGCAACGGCAACTGCTTACGTCTGAATACTACAAAGCTGAACAAGTAGGAAAAGAATGGTAAGCACAAGCGAGAGAGAGATTAACGGATCTTTTCTCTTCTCTTTTAATTTTTTGTCTTCTCTTTGTCTTTGCATTTAATGGGCATGTAATTTGGCGTTGCCACTTTTCAAGAATAAAAATGGCGAAACCTCCAAAGTTTTTGGTATGCAAGAAAAAAAATTGCACTTTTTTATTGTTCGAAACAAATATGTATCAATAAAAAAATATGTTTTAGGCTCACTAACTTTGATTTGCCATATTATTTGAATTACCACACAAATGTATGTGTATATACACGTACAAAAGGTTATGCAGACACACACTCACACACATTTGCACTTCTACGGCGTCATTTGCATTTAAGCATTAAAAAATAGTTAAATTTACCAGCAAAACACTTTATATTAAACAAAACTCAAAACACAATCCTGCGATCACTTTTAATATGTTATTTAATCTATTTTTAGCACTTTTCAAAAGACAAAGTACTTTTTTGCTTGCGCTTTGCTAAGGCCACTGCTTACGACTGAAAACTACAAAGCTGAACAAGTAGGAAAAGAATGGTAAGCACAAGCGAGAGAGAGATTAACGGATCTTTTACACATCTTTATTTTGGTTCTTCTCTTTCAATTTTTTGTCCTCTCTTTTCCTTTGCATTTAATTGATTTTATATATGAATGAAATAAATGTATATTAGACTCTTTTTTTAATTAATCACAGTTCTTAGTCGGTCTATTACCAATAATAAGATATTATACCTTTATTTCGCAAATGGGCATGTAATTTGGCGTTGCCACTTTTCAAGAATAAAAATGGCGAAACGGCCAAAGTTTTTTGTATGTAAGAAAAAAAATTGCACTTTTTTATTGTTCGAAACAAATATGTATCAATAAAAAAATATGTTTTAGGCCACAAACTTTGATTTGCCATATTATTTGAATTACCACACAAATGTATGTGTATATACACGTACAAAAGGTTATGCAGACACACACTCACACACATTTGCACTTCTACGGCGTCATTTGCATTTAAGCATTACAAAATAGTTAAATTTACCAGCAAAAGAATTTATATTAAACAAAACTCAAAACACAATCCTGCGATCACTTTTAATATGTTATTTAATCTATTTTTTACACTTTTCAAAAGACAAAATACTTTTTGCTTGCGCTTGGCAACGGCAACTGCTTACGACTGAAAATTACATACAAAGCTGAACAAGTAGGAAAAGAATGGTAAGCACAAGCGAGAGAGATTAACGGATCTTTCACACATCTTTATTTTGGTTCTTCTCTTTTAGTTTTTTGTCCTCTCTTTTCCTTTGCATTTAATTGATTTTATATATGAATGAAATAAATGTATATTAGACCCTGTTTTTAATTAATCACAGTTCTTAGTCGGTCTATTACCAATAATAAGCTATTTTACCATTATTTCGCACATGGGCATGTAATTTGGCGTTGCCACTTTTCAAGAATAAAAATGGCGAAACGGCAAAAGTTTTTGGTATGTAAGAAAAAAATTGCACTTTTTATTGTTCGAAACAAATATGTATCAATAAAAAAATATGTTTTAGGCTCACTAACTTTGATTTGCCATATTATTTGAATTACCACACAAATGTATGTGTATATACACGTACAAAAGGTTATGCAGACACACTCACACACATTTGCACTTCTACGGCGTCATTTGCATTTAAGCATTAAAAAATAGTTAAATTTACCAGCAAAACACTTTATATTAAACAAAACTCAAAACACAATCCTGCGATTACTTTTAATATGTTATTTAATCTATTTTTAGCACTTTTCAAAAGACAAAGTACTTTTTGCTTGCGCTTTGCTAAGGCCACTGCTTACGACTGAAAACTACAAAGCTGAACAAGTAGGAAAAGAATGGTAAGCACAAGCGAGAGAGAGATTAACGGATCTTTTACACATCTTTATTTTGGTTCTTCTCTTTCAATTTTTTGTCCTCTCTTTTCCTTTGCATTTAATTGATTTTATATATGAATGAAATAAATGTATATTAGACTCTTTTTTTAATTAATCACAGTTCTTAGTCGGTCTATTACCAATAATAAGATATTATACCTTTATTTCGCAAATGGGCATGTAATTTGGCGTTGCCACTTTTCAAGAATAAAAATGGCGAAACGGCCAAAGTTTTTTGTATGTAAGAAAAAAAATTGCACTTTTTATTGTTCGAAACAAATATGTATCAATAAAAAAATATGTTTTAGGCCACAAACTTTGATTTGCCATATTATTTGAATTACCACACAAATGTATGTGTATATACACGTACAAAAGGTTATGCAGACACACACTCACACACATTTGCACTTCTACGGCGTCATTTGCATTTAAGCATTACAAAATAGTTAAATTTACCAGCAAAAGAATTTATATTAAACAAAACTCAAAACACAATCCTGCGATCACTTTTAATATGTTATTTAATCTATTTTTTACACTTTTCAAAAGACAAAATACTTTTTGCTTGCGCTTGGCAACGGCAACTGCTTACGACTGAAAATTACATACAAAGCTGAACAAGTAGGAAAAGAATGGTAAGCACAAGCGAGAGAGATTAACGGATCTTTCACACATCTTTATTTTGGTTCTTCTCTTTTAATTTTTTGTCCTCTCTTTTCCTTTGCATTTAATTGATTTTATATATGAATGAAATAAATGTATATTAGACCCTGTTTTTAATTAATCACAGTTCTTAGTCGGTCTATTACCAATAATAAGCTATTTTACCATTATTTCGCACATGGGCATGTAATTTGGCGTTGCCACTTTTCAAGAATAAAAATGGCGAAACGGCAAAAGTTTTTGGTATGTAAGAAAAAAATTGCACTTTTTATTGTTCGAAACAAATATGTATCAATAAAAAAATATGTTTTAGGCTCACTAACTTTGATTTGCCATATTATTTGAATTACCACACAAATGTATGTGTATATACACGTACAAAAGGTTATGCAGACACACTCACACACATTTGCACTTCTACGGCGTCATTTGCATTTAAGCATTAAAAAAAAAATTAAATTTACCAGCAAAACACTTTATATTAAACAAAACTCAAATCACAATCCTGCGATCACTTTTTATATGTTATTTAATCTAATATTAACACTTTTGAAATGCAAATACTTTTTGCTTGCGCTTCGCAACGGCAACTGCTTACGACTGAAAACTACAAAGCTGAACAAGTAGGAAAAGAATGGTAAGCACAAGCGAGAGAGAGATTAACGGATCTTTCACACATCTTTATTTTGGCTCCCTCTTTTCCCATTTTTTTATTCTACTTGTCTTGGCATTTAATTCATTTTCAATATGAATGAAATAAATTTACATATATTAGACCCTTTTGTTTAATATTTAAAGTTATTTTGGGATTATTATTATTATTAAGCTCTTTTACCTTCAATTCGCTTTTCGATAATCCGCGTATATGTACATACATATATATGTATGTATGCATGTGTGTATGCAAGTGTATGCCAGATTGCAGTTCGGCATAATAAAATTAGCCAAATTCACTATTAACAAAATTTATATTAAACAAAACTTAAAACACAATCATGCGATCATTTAAATTGCATTAATTTAACTATTTGGAACACTTCTTAACCACTTTTTTAAAACAAAAACAATATTCACATGTTATCGGTAGGTCCAACTGCTTGCGACTGAAAACTAAAAGGCAGACGACGAGGGAGTAGATAACGGATCTTTAATTTATCTTTGTTTTGATTATTTTCTTTTATGCGATTTGCCTTGGCATTTAATTTATTTGAAATATGAATGGATTAAATTTTTATTAGACCCATTTCTTTATTATTTAATGTTCTTATTGGGATTATTACTATTATTATTGAGCTATTTTACCTCTATTTCACTTTTCGTAATCCGCGTAAAAATTAGCTAAATTAATTATTTAAACACTTTATATTATATAAAACTCAAAACACAATCTTGCGATCACTTTTTATGTATTCTTTTTACTTCTTAAAAACTTTTTTAACTTTTAAAAAGCAAAATCATAATTAGAATGTTACTTAGGGCCCAAACTGCTTGCGACTGGGAACTACATAGAAAGCTTAACATGTGAAATGAGAATGTTAACTCGCAACAGAGGGGCTAACGGCTTTTCAAAGATCTTTCGTCTTACATCGTTTTTCTCTCTTCTTTTTTTTAAGTTTTTATCATTTAAAGCGACTTAATTTAACTTAATTTATTTACATATATAATCCAAGATTGGCTTTTAAATATGAGCAAATAATACTTCTTATTTGTATTTATTTTCAAATGCAATTTACCTTTGTTTATCTTTTAACAAAATGATCTTATAAATGTAATAAAAAATGTTGTTTTCTTTTATATTGGAAGGCGAAGTGCAATGTTTAAAGCGTACTTTCATATACATTTTCAAGTGATTCCAAATCACTAGAGATTTCTGTGGCCATAAAGGGGAAACATAGTGTTAGAGAAGGTGGCTTTTTGGGGGTGTGGTACGGGGGGACAAGCACACAAAGCTGTGGAACATTTTGGTAAGGCCACTTTGCGACATTTTAATTTAAATGCTAATCAGTTGCCAATAGACAAAAAAGAACGAACCTATCCCACCTCGAGTGCAGTTCATGTTTCCAGGATCTCTGGGTGTACAATGTGTGCCACGGTGTGTGCAAAAATTGCAGCTCATTTGGATGGAGAAGGAGGAGGTGCTGGAGGTTGGACAGGATGAACTGAATGGGCTGAATATGCTCCGGATGGGCACAACAGCAACAGCGCTGCGCTGCAATTTGTATTTAAAATGTCGGCCATTGTGGATTAGCTGAGACAGAGGAGCGCCCAGGAGCACGTCAAAAAACAAGACACTCGAAATAAAAAGTATGAAAATGATCAAGAAAACAAAAAGTTAGTCTTAAAAAAGATGAGAATATTTCAAAATTTATATTTTTCTTATAGATTATGTGAAACCTTTAAAAAAAAGTTCAATTTTGTATTGTAATAACCTAGACACGTTTTTTTCCAGTGTACAAATAGTCACCTGAAGCCTTTTGTTGTTGCTGTTTTGGGTGCCGTGTCGTCATTATCATTTGAATTTGCATTTTCAGCCTGCTCACTGTCGGCTTGTTGGGTAAATATTGCCATTTTATGCAGCGTCCACGAGATGCCAACGAAGGAGTCGACACTTTTGCCTATAAAAACAAATTGGACGGGGTCGGTGGTGATGGTGGAGGCACAAGGCCGCGACAAATGGTTAAACAACAGTTTTAAGGTAATTCTCTCAAAAATTTAATTTGAATCTAATCGATAACGATTGACGAAAATCGAATGGCAACCGCCCTAAATAAGCTAAATGCTGCGACACAACCATCATCTAATAAAGCAGCCAAAATGTAGCTAACTTAAAAGCTAAAAGAAATAGCTACTTTAAAATTCGATGTTTTTAATCTTTTTGGCATAATTTTGTTTATAAAGCCTAGATTTTTTATTTAATGGGTTTAAAAGTGTTTAAAGTGTTTCAATTATAAAATCTACTTTCCAAAAATAAGAATAAAAAAGAAATAAACAGCAAGAATCTGAGCTGACCGTTGAGTTGGCCGCTGAACAGCTGTTTCTTGAGTTTCGTTTTGTTTTTCGTTTTCCGTTTAGTTCGCTTTAGTAGCTCATTCAGTTCAGATCAACAGCTCTGTACACCGCCCTGACCTGACCAAGGCTCTCAGAAATTGACGATCTGATGCAGTGCACCGGCGGAGTGGACAAGGAGATGGATAAGGAGATCCCCGATAGCACTAATCGCCTGCTGCAGTTCACCAACTGCCGTTTGATACGTGATCATAAGTACGTCTACGACGATCTTTGGGTACGGAATGGCCGTATTGTGAATCCGGAGCCCGTCTTTTTCGACGAACAGGTCAAGGCCGATTGCCAGATCGACTGCGGTGGCAATCTCATTGCACCCGGCTATATTGACCTCCAGATTAACGGTGAGCTCGCCCTCTGACCCCCATTATTACGAAGATATTTTATCTTATCATTGGTGAACGATGAAAACAATTAGAAATTGTTCGATTCTGATAATGAAAGTTAATTGGATTATAAAGATAGGCATCATATCGCTTTGATATTTTATCACATTGTTAATCCTATTCTTTGTTTTTGGCATTAATCATGATTTCATTTGGATATATATTAGTATAGAGATAGCAATTATTAAGATTATAAACATTTATAGTAATCATATAGGATGTCAACTATATAGTAAAGAACAGTCAAACATAAAGCTCTTAACATTCAAATTTTAATATGAATTTTAAAGAATATTTCCAATTGCTCTTTGCAGCCAATCTTTAGACTCCTAGTCTTTCCCAATTCTTCAGATACTCAATTGATATATTGATATTGATACAGCTATTGATATTAATATTAATATATATTCTGTCAGCGATCCCATTAATTGACACTTTCGCTGCGGTTCAAACGGCCGCCAAGGTCAGCAGTTCTGTTTACCCGTTGACAGGCCGCAAATATGGAGCGCTCGTAATCGGAGCGAGTTAATCTTATCGTGACTTCACAGACCCCAAGCTGTTGAGCTCAGCCAGAAGTATGGAATACAGTGAGGATTTCCAGCGAATGGCCACTCTTTGTGGTTAAACCAAAGTCGCGATAAGCTGATTCTTTGTCTTCTTGAGAGATTACCTGTTGCTTCTACATCGTTCTATCATTCTATCTTTAGCATCCTAGAACTTACTTTTGGGTATTAATTTCAAATTATAATCCTGAAATACAGGTGGCTATGGCGTGGACTTTTCCTTCGACACGGACACGATCGAGCAGGGCATTGACACGGTGGCTCGCGGTCTGGTCAAAAGCGGCGTCACCTCATTCTGTCCCACGCTGGTGACATCGCCGGTGAAAACTTACCATACAATACTGCCACGCATTCCCCAAAGTGTTCCAAATGGAGCTGGAATCCTGGGGATACATGCCGAGGGTCCCTTTATCAATCCACAGAAAAAGGGAGCTCATTCGGAAAACTGCATACAGACTATTGACGAGGTAAGTCATATCGATCTATATAAGATCTTTTACCATATTTTATACTTTTATTTCTGCCCAAAGGGACTAAGCACTGTAGAGCGTACATACGGCTCCTTGGATCGCATTAAGATTATCACCCTAGCGCCAGAGAGGGTCAACGATCTAGAGGTGATCCAACAGCTGACGGATCGTGGGATAACCGTGGCTCTTGGCCATTCAATGGCCACTCTTCGCGATGGAGAGCGTGCCGCAGTTCGGGGAGCCACACTGATCACGCATCTGTTCAATGCTATGCTGCCATTCCATCACCGCGATCCCGGCCTTGTTGGACTCCTCGCCTCGGACGAAACACCGCACACTATCTACTTTGGCATCATTGCGGATGGTGTACACACGCATCCGGCGGCGCTGAGAATCGCCTATCGAACGCATCGTCTGGGCCTGATTCTGGTCACGGATGCCATCTCGGCTTTAGGACTGGAAGAGGGTATCCATCATATTGGCCAATTGCCATTGCAGGTTAAGGAGGGCAAGGCATATATCGCCGGCACGAGTACCCTCTGTGGAAGCATTGCACCGATGGACGAATGCGTTCGAATCTTCCAAAAGGCCACTGGTAAGTGTTGTGTGATTCCTTGCCAGAACTTAAACTATATCTAGGTTAATATTATAGATTGCGATCCTATCTATGCCATTGAAGCGGCCACATTACATCCGGCAAAGTGCTTGAAGATTGAAAAGACAAAAGGAACTCTGGACTTTGGCTCAGATGCGGACTTTATAATTCTAGACGATCAACTCCATGTGCTATCCACATGGATAGCAGGGAAATGTGTCCATCAGACTGCCCAATAGTGCATCGAATGTACGATTGTTATGTGGTTTCTGTTTTTATATAACCTTTTACCTGATCCAGAATGTATTCAATACCGAAGATTCTCCAATTATATTTCTAAATGTATGCATTCCACGAGGAGATAATGATTAAAAATCATAAATTTCCTTAAAATCCGACCAAGAGAATAGTCATTGGATATTTATATGACATGGTTTAGGTTGTTCTTTATATTTTTAATCGGTAAATCATTTGGTGTGGACAACTAAACTAAATCCATATACAGTTACAAATAATAGGTTTACACGACGAACAAAAAAAAAAAAAGACTGTAGAATAAAATTACAAGGAGACGGGAGGCGTTAGGTCTTTGGGCGCTCCTCCTCTTGCGGTTGCTACATTCATGGCGTGCACCGTCTTTACATACATATATGGGGAGATATACACGCGCGCACACCCACGCCCCCTTAAGTATACACATACATATATATATTGGGTGTGCGGGCGCGAATGCACATAAAAACGATGCGATATATGGTATGTAATATGTATATATATATATATAAAGTATATATATATATATATATATATATATATAGGCAATAATTAGAAAACAATTTTGGGAACAGCACGAACTCTGACTCTGGCTTGATGAGTGGCTGCAGAGCGTCTGACCCCCTACCTCCCCCATCGAACTATTCGCTGGCTTAGTATCGAAAAACAAAGCGAAAGCAAGCTAGGTATATGCTATATACTATCCGATTTTTATAATATGTATAGGTGTTATTTATATCTAGGCTGAAACGCAAAACAAAACAAAAAACACTAAATGGTCCGGCATGGGGAGTGCGAGTGATGGGCGAACGAACGAACGAACAACGTACGTACGAACGACTGAGTTGAAGATTACAGGAATCGTAAGACTATATATATATCAAAAGTTACGTTACAAAAGTTGCTTATGTCTGCGTCTTTGTTATCATAATCGTTTCGTGTGTGGCTGGACAGTTTCCTTGGAATTGATCTTCATGATCCAACGTTAGCTAACCAACAAAAAAAGTTGCGGCTCCAAAAAAATGCAAATACATTTGCTCCTTCCTTGTGTCTTTATGCCAAACCAATTGGACGGGAGCCATGCTGTGCTGTGTTTGTGTGTGCGGGGTAACTAACGTGGACCTATTCCAGATGTTTACTGACCACCATTATCCGGGGTATTTTGTAAAGTTGCTTCCAAATGTTCGTATTACAATATCTGTGTTGTTAAACTTTAGGTAGGTTGTTTCTGTTGCTTGTTCCATCCATCTGCGTATCTGCCTCGTTATAAGTAAGAGTACCCCCATGCGTGCGATTGACCCCGGGTTTATTGCTTTGTTTCCCTTTCGTTTCGTGTGGAGCAGTTTCAGAAACCGATCCCCATCACCATCGCCAATTCCAATTTCAATTCAATCCAAATCCGATTCCATCCATCCAGCCTTCGCCTTCCTTCCACGCACAGCTCTAAGCACAAACCGGGCCAAACCACGCCCCGTTCGTCTATTACGCCGCTTTTTACGCGCAGCACTTGCTGTAGCCCGGCGCCTTCTCATTATTCCGGCGATCAATGATCACGCGCTCCTGATTCTCCGCCGATTCACGTCCCGATGTCTTGTCTAATATGGCCTCGGCCAGCTCGCAGAAAGCCGGTTCAATGTTTATGTTCGATTTGGCGGATGTTTCCATAAACCGAATGCCATGCTCACGGGCAATCTGAAAGGGGAGAAATGGTGGGGGTTATAGAAATTGTAAACAAATTGATCAAACAGACAGCGGGCGTATGTATGTGATCATTGGGAAGCAATCAAAATAAATAACCTGATGAGTTCTAACCCAAATTGTGAGCTCGTGTCTTCCGGGAATTTTCCTTTCATTGGGTTAACTTCGAACTATAAAATAATGTACATCTGGGAATTTCCTATTGCATTTTTATAAGTTAAACTAATCAAAATATAAGAATCAAGAAATTCGGTATGTTAACTATGTGATTTAAGGATAATAGAAAGTTATTTCTATGTTAACTCCCTATAGCATCGATAAGAAGACCTTTGATGTACAAAGTCTAAGCTTTAACTACTGATCACAGATCTGTTGCACTGTCTATGGGGGATCCCCCCCTAATAAGATGCTCACCGCTTCGCCGCGGTCCTTGTTTACCAATCGCTTGTCCGTCATGTCGCACTTGTTGCCCAGGATCATCTTCTCTACGTCCTCGTTGGCGTGCTGAATATGGGGAAAAATCCAAACAATTTAGATACTCAGTAGAGGCAAGATTATTAGTAAATGGAAGCTGATCATTTACCTCGTCTATATTCCGTAACCATTTGACTATATTTTCAAAACTTTTTTCGTTCGTTATGTCATAGACAAGCATTATGCCCATGGCCCCTCGATAATACGAAGTGGTTATCGTGTGGAAACGCTCCTGACCAGCGGTGTCCCATATTTGCAGCTTGATCTTCTTGCCTCGCAGTTCAACTGTTTTGATTTTAAAATCGATGCCTGCAAAAGAGGTGTTTTCAAAATTAATGTTTTAGTGCGGAAAAACAAAAGCAAATAATTCCGAATGACGTCACAATGCCTGTTATCGATTACATATGGTTAACGGAACTTGGAATTGGGTAAATTAAAGCAGTTCCCCAATGATATCACGATGATTCATTCACATATTGATCAGGCATTCCAACTAAATGTTTGCACGTCTGTGTTACGTGTTGTCGATTAACGGTTTAGTACCAATAGTTAAGGGAGTTACATAGTCACATATCTTGAGTTTTTCTTTATGAATTGTAATGCCTATAATGTGATCAAGACAAGCAGTGCATTTCCCAGTCGATAAGGCAGTGCCACGCCCAGTCACACACACACACACATACACATTCACACAAATATATCCTGGCTGTGCAGCTGACATGAGCATGTGTGTGGCTTGCGGGTGGATATAAGTATGTATGACTATGTGCGTAGGGTCCCGTTACTCACCTATGGTCGATATAAACGTCGACGTAAAAGCATCATCCGAAAATCGGAACAATATACATGTCTTTCCCACACCAGAGTCGCCGATCAGCAACAGTTTGAACAGCAAATCGTAGGTTTTCTTTGCCATTTTAAAAACGAAACGAAACGCTCGCAGAACAAAGCACAAACACACGCGCACACTCTACACGCACACTCGCACACACACACGCACGGATGCAGGTGACAAACTATATTATTATTTAAACGTCTATCTATATCGCGCTTATTCCTGTTTTTTCCGTCTGAATAATGGATTGGAATCTCTTTATATTCCTTAGTTTCCTCCCGGGTTTTTAAATGCGCCGAATTAATTTATATCTTCGCTGGCAAATTGTTGCTATTAGAACTAGAGCTGGGTAAAAATACTATCGATGTTCTCCAATGTGTGGCAGCACTGTTGTTTTTCGCAATCATCGATTAGTCAAAGAGAAATCGAAAAATCACTTTGAAGTCACAGTTTTAAAAATAATTTTGTGAGGAACGAATTATTATAATATTAGAGCAAAAACTGTGTTTGCTGAAGCTATTCGTTTTTTTCGAAATAAACAAAAATTTAAAGCTTGGATTTAGTTAGCCGCAATATATGCTTCCTCTTTGGCCAAAAACTATTCGTACACAAGTCACGAGTAACGCGCGAGGTGGCAGCTCTGCGACCATCGGTCAAATCGCTTCCCGATAGACCTGATATCGATATCGCAAAATAATAACAATTTCGCAAAATCCGCAAAAAAGGGGGAAGTTTTAGCATAAAGCAGAGCGGCTAGTGCCCGGAATTAAGTGATCCTGATTCTAGCCACATCAAACCACACAACCACATCCGCAAGTAATGGATATTGACTGGCAGAACAGCCTCACGGAGCTAAAGGATCGGGGACAGTACCTGCTGCATTCAGAGAAATGGGCTGACTGTCGCTTTCTCGTAGGATCTGGATCCTCGTCCAACCAACGGATCATCGCCGGTCACAAGCTGCTGCTGGCAATGGCCTCACCGGTATTCGAGCGCATGTTCTACGGCAATTTGCCGGACAAGACGGACCCCATCGTTATACCGGACGTACAGCCTGAGGCCTTTGAGGCGATGCTGGAGTACATATACACGGACCGCATCACTATCGGTTCCTTCGACAAGGCCTGCGAGCTATGTTACGTGGCCAAGAAGTATATGCTGCCGCACGTCGTCACCCGCTGCACCCACTTTCTGTGGGCGGATCTCAGTCCGAAGAACGCCTGCCGGGCTTATGAGTTCGCCAAGCTTTTCGATGAGCCACGCCTTATGCAGAGCAGCATGGACCTGATAGCGGCCAATACACGCGAAGTGCTGTCCGATCCCAGTTTCCTAGACATCGAAGTCTCCACCTTGATGGCAATTCTCGACCAGAATCGTCTGAACATCGACTCTGAATTGGATCTGTTTAACTGCCTGCTGAAGTTCGCCAGCGAGCGGGGTATCCTTAACGAATCGGGACAGGAAGGAAGTGCTGGCGAAGGACAGGTGTTGACCAAGGAATCACCCGACACTGTTGCCGGTCATGTGCTGGTGGAAGAGATTAAAATGGAACCCGATGTGGCGGCCATGGTGCAGCACATGCACCAGGATGACGAGGGTGACTGCTTTGAGACGGATGCCGGCATGGCCTCAACTTCCTCTGCAGCAGCTGCTGCACCCACGGCTGCCACCCCGCCTCCGGAAGTGCCTTCGGGCCCTGACGACCTGGTGATCATCGACAGCGACGCTTCCGCCGATGCCGCTGCTGCGGCTAACATGATCAACATCATGGACGCCCAGCGCACTATTCTCGACGGAGCTATGCTCCGGCAAGCGGTGAAAAAGATACGTTTCCTTACAATGACGCCGCAGCAGTTTGCCGAGGGTCCCGCCCGATCCAAGCTGCTGCAGCAGCACGAGGCCCTCTCCATCCTAATCAAGATCTCCAGTCCCTCGCTCAACGACTGCCACATGCCCGAAGGTTTCTGCGTTTCGCGTAGCACTCGCAATTTCTACGAGTCGGGTCACCGGCAGCGCGAATTGTCTTCCTCGTATCGTAGTGGAGCCGCCCCGTCGGGCGGCATGTGTTTCCCAGGACCAGGTCCATCCGTCCGTAACGGCGGTCCTGGCGGCAGTGGAATGATGATGGGTAATGCGCCGCGATTTGGATACAACAGTGCGGGTTTCGCCGGCGAGGAGTTGGCTATTCGTCCACCGGAACCTGTGGGTACACCGCCCGATGCAGCGCCGGCGCCCGCCACTTTACGTTGTTTTGGCGAAGGTTTCGAAGGCGCTCCAGCTGTTCCGACGCCCGCCAACGAAGATGAAGGTGGCGTTCGAGTAGGTCCAGTCGCAGCTGGAGCAGCTGCAGCTCCTGGTGCAGCTGGACCCGTCGCTGGTAACTCGCACAATGATATGGTTCGCGCATACTGCACGCGCGTCCTCACCCGTCAGTTTCTCTTTCGCAATACCAGTGTCACGGATGCGGGCGTTACCTTTCAAGTGGACACAAATATCTGGATCCTGGGCGTTCAAGTGCCGACGCGTGTACTGTGCGGAGAGTTGTGCGGTGAACTGATGACATCCGCCGCCTGCACAGAACGATATACCGAAGTGCTGTATGCCCATATTCAGGATATGCATGGCTCACGGATTACGTATACACATTGTACGGCGCGTGTGCGATACGATTCCCTGCTGGATATCACATTCGATCGACCTGTGTACATTTACCGAAATCAAATCTACAAGATTTACGTGGTATTCAATAAGACCGGCTGGTATCCCATGTCCCTCTGTGTGCCCGACGCTAATTGCCATCGCGTTAAGTTCATGTTCAATGTGGGCAATCCCACGGAATCCGTTCGAGACGGCCTCATCTATGCAATCATCTACTCCACGCCACAGGAGCATGGCCGTCACCTGGACGACTGAATCCTTGGGAGCAATAATAAGTAATTGTTTTCTTTTTTATTTTTGTATTTTCGAATTCTCGATGTGATAGGCTTCGTTTGGCATCTTGGCCATGGAAAATTATTGATCTGTACGCCGAATTCCTTTCCATTTCATATTTACAAGTTGGAAACAAATTTAGCAATGTTTTTATTTCCATACATCACCTGGCATTTTTATTATCTAAATTGGCATGAATACGTTTGAAATCATTTTCTAAAAGCTATAGCCAATTCTGCATTTATTAAATCAAAAAAAAAGAAAAGGATAATGAATATTTGTAAAACATCACCGAAATGTTTCTCTTCCACAATATATTTTGGTTTTGAATTTGGTTTTTTTTTATTATAGATCAACAAGCTCTAATATTTTAAGATTTACACAAGACTAAATTGGTATATTTCAATTTAATAGTAATAAAAAAAATATATATATTTAATAGATTTATTAACATCAATTTGTCTGTCATTTTTTTATTGCTAAAGATTTGTAGATAAGCTAGAAAAATGTTTTTTTTTAGGAGCTTCAAGGATTATTTGTGGATTTCTACATCTTACCCAAAAGATAGATGAAAATGTACAATAAATAAAATTAACTTTATTGCGATTCATATACAAAGGAGACCAAACAACAAACAAGTTAATAATACAGAAAAAAGAAATAAACAAAATGTAGACGTCGGTTAAAAGCTGGAAGGTTAATAAGCTATTGGGCTAGGAAGTTTTTGTTTTTTTTTACAGTTCAAGCAAGATGTTTTGATAGAGGGGGGGAGGAAGTGGTTAGTCGGAGCACATACAGTGCACACTCGAATCTGCGAACCAGCCATAAAAACCTAAAGAGTTCACTGTAAAAAATTAGTTTTTTTTTTAAGCAATAACTCATTTGAAATTTTGCAGCCAACAAAATTATTTTTTTTTGTTTAATTTAAACGTTCACATTATCGAGATTGCACTGTAGTTAGTTCGTGAGTATATACAGAGCGATCGGGGCGATCTCTATTTGCCGTAGTTGGCGCAGCTACCGCTGGCATACTCAGGCTCTTCGCAGGTCAGCGTGTGCTCATCAAAGACCTTGTCCTCGCCGCAGCTGATCAGGCGGGGATGTCCCTCCACGCAGGTGATCAGACGGTGGCAGTCGCCAGAGACCGGGAAGCGGGGGAAGGGCCAAAAGCGGGCGGCCACCGAGTTAGGATCCACTTTAGTGGGGCATTTGAAGCCAACAACAGCTGGATGTGTAGAAAGATTTGGTTAGAAGACCTTATCTAAGTGGTTCCAAAACTATGTAGATTTGAGAGATCTTACCCTCGGGATTGCAGTGGTCCAACAACTGATCTGGCCAGTTGCAGCCATGGATCCTTTCATCGTAGGCCAATCCAGCATCGCAGTCCTGCTCATGGGGTTCTCCATGGGCGCACTTGATGTACGTGGTGGAGCAATCTTTGGATACCGCATACAGACCAAACTGATACTCGCAGGCTGGCGTCGAGATGGGAGTGGCTATTAAAGGGGGCGGGCAGGTCAGTTTAAGACCTTTTCAGTTAGTTCCCAAAGTTTCATCAAACTTACGATCCCATTGACGTCCCTTGCAGTCCACCGCCCAGTTGTAGTTGCAGTGATTATGCACGGCTCCCTTTCCATCGAAGAGCAGGCCATTCTCGCAGGTCTCCAGGGTCAGAGTGCCATTGGTGCAGAGGAAGAACTGGTCACAGTTCTCCGTATGGGCATACGCCTGCACGCCGTACTTCTCGGGGCATTCCGGTGATCCCACGGCCAGGGTATGTCCTGAAAATTTAATGGATTTTTAGTATTGGAATTAATATGTATTTTCATTCGATTTTTGTATTGGTATATATGCTAGTAATTAAAAAATAACTTAATTAAATGTAAAATGTTATCAAATTTGCCTTTACTTAAAGTTTAATCGTTAGAAAAAAGTTGGAAAAAAAGAAGCGAAACTTTTCATCTATTTATCCTTTCCATCTATTACCTTTCGGTTAAGTTTCTTTTTCTATACCTTTCGAATACTTTGTTCCAAATGAAATCTATATAAATCTGATATATATCATAAATATATCATAGATACCAAGTACTATTTGTAAAGCCTGCCCAGAAGTGCTTAAATCTAGAGATTAAATCGATATTGTTTGAAAGTGGCAAACACTGTTCCCACCATTGTCAAACCCGAATCGCAGTGGCTGTCTACTTCCTTCCTGTCCGCCAGTCGGTCTATCACCATCTACCCCTTATCACCTGTTGCCCCTCCCTGCTCTATCTTTTCACCTGGCCTAACTGGTTTTTGATGCAAGTGCAAGTGACGCCACAATCGCGACCACGACACTTTCGCGCATCTTCGCACCGCGTCTAGCGATTCGAATCGCTTTGGAGATGTTGCCGCTGAAGCTGGTGAAGTGTGATGTAAGCGCGAAATGCCGAACGGGCAACAGGTTGATTGTTGACTGTTAACTGTTGATTGTTGATGGTTAACTGCCTGCCTGTTGCCTGCCTGCCTGACTGTCTGCTCACAAATTTTCTCGAAGCCAAAAGCCGAAAATCAAAGACACACCATGCATATATTTTATTTAAATAACTGTAAAGATTTCCGGTAATTTGTCTGCAAGCTGTCAATAAGTTTTAAATGAAAATGTCATCGATCCCTAATCGATTTATTCGATATACTAAAGGATATAATAGATGATCTAATTGGGATAAGTTAAAGACTTTATTGTTATTCAAAATTATGATTGCTTGTCAATAGCAAAATGATTATCGATCACAGATTTAAAGATAATAGTCTTGTAATAGGATCGATTCTTTTAGATCTAACTTGTTCATCTAATAGATGGGATTGTGAGTATCTCTCACTTGAGATCAAGATATCATTAAAATTAGAAATTCCCAACGAACGACATTTGGGAACTCTTCTTATAACACCAGTAACATCAATCGCTTTATCGTCAAAGGCCAAAGCGTGTATTGCTAATTAATTTGATAATATCGCGTAAGCGATTTCGATCTAAACCGATCTGATCTATCCACCTTTCTTATGGCCTAAACTGGTTACCTTTTGGTTAACCCAGAACTAGATCGTATAATGTGAACGCTATCTCGTACTTAATTGTCAACTGGTTTGACGGGCCCCAGGTTCTACTTTTGACTCTGGGCTTGGCATTTGTTTTATTTAGTTCATTAACTTGCCGGATCGGATTTCGAATATCTGATGCCTGATTTCTGATCTCTGATCTCTGATATATATATGGCTTAGACAAGTATTATCCGCGCCCAGCACCAACTTCTCTTAACGTTTAAGTGAGTCAGTCAGTCTTGATGGCTTGAACAAAAGCAAAAGTGATTCGAGCACATGATCTGCATGCCAAATCAGCTATAGTCTGGTAGTCTATATAAATATATAGATATATAGCTATATAGTTAAAGTTCGAAGTGCCACAAAGTAGAGCAGGCGGATTGCTAATCTGCGGCCTAGCCTTCGTCTCAAAAACCAGTAATTAAAATATATTAAGATTCGAACTCGAGACATTTCGAGGTGAGAACAAAAGAGCTAACGGTATGCCAGATTCGAAGGGGTATATATATAGTATATACTACAATAATATATCGCATTTGGTCAATCCACGCGATTGCAATGGAATTTTTGAAAGTAAAAGCTTCAATTTTCAAGCCACGCAAGTAATTGAAAGGTTGCGCTAATTGCCAGCAGTGGTGGTAATTGTTATTGTTTGATATTACCAAGGCCCTAGATAAAGCTACTTAATACTTATTAATATTAATATCTAATACTAACTACTTACCACAGGCAATCCAAGCCAGGATTAGGGCGCTGCACAATTGGTATCGCTGCATGTTTGTTTTCTAACAATTTAAATATATTAAAAATTAATAATTAACAAACACAAACACAGAAATAAAGCACACACACGCACCGCAAAAAAATATCTATATATATATATATATTATGTATATGTATGATAATCAAATATTTGTTTGGCGCTATATAAAAAAAAAACAGTTTACCCCAGCTATATAAAAATCAAAAATCAAACTTGCAACTTCCGCTCCAAGAGGTCTCAACGTTTTAACGGTTACGCGTTCCAAACTCAACTGAAAAGATTTATACCGCGCTCCAAGAAGAAGAAGAAGAAGCGGCCGAGCTGCGACTGCGCAGCGTTGACTTCGACAGTTTGTTGGCAGCAAAAAAAAAAAAAAAAAAAAAAAAAAAAACACACACAGAAGAAACGTGGTCAAAAAACCGAACCAAACCGAAACTAAAATAACAAAAAAAAAACAACAAAAAATCGCCACAAAGTTTTGCAAAACTTAAACACTTTTTTTTTTGATCCCGCTCTGCCCATTGATATTTTAGGGGGCGTAAAGGAGGGGGCTTGCTTAAGAGGGCGGGGCCGGGAGGTGGGCGGCGGTGGGTGGTGCTGTGTGTTGTCACAGCTGCCATTGTTGTTGCATTGTTGGCGGTTGGCGTGAATGCAAAACGGGATTTGGGTTGCCCAGTGCTGATCATTTAGCTATTTTTTAGGTAACATTTTAAACTTTATCTTAAAAATATCTACTTCTTCTTCTGTCTATGTATCCGAGTTAAAAAGTTTACTGCCACCCAAAAGGCAACTTTATTATGTTGTAAATCAGGAAATCTACTTAAATTTATATAAATTAATACAATACTAAGAAATTATTTTAAAAAATGCATGAGTTATACGATATATATACTTTCTCTGGTTATTATAGTTCTGTAGTAACCAATTTTTGAAGCCTTTATTGCTAATTTCAAAAGTCTGTTAAGTTTCTAAGATATTTACTTTGTCTGTTTTCTAGCTATTGGCAGTTTCAGTTGAGTTTCTAGCTATTTTCAGTTCAAATAAAATAGCTAAATCGCTGGTTGCCAGCAACACTTTGCGATCTGAGGAGGAAATCGAGCTTCTCTGCCAACATGTGTGATTGAAAGTAAAAGGTAAAGCTCGCGCAGGCCATAAGCTTCATTCATGATTGGGTCCCGTTTGCCGATTGCCGTTACATTGTTAACTATTGCAAAACTTTTGCTTTTGCTTTTGCTTTGCCTTGCTGTTGCTGCTGCTGTTGCTGCTGCGCATGCTGCATGATGATTGCATAACATCTCTTGTCTGCTTTTTATTTTCATTTACATGTGCGGTTGCTACTCTTTATTTCTTTTGTTTTTGTTTTTTTGTTTTGCTTTGGTTTGGCCACTCGGGTAATTAACGGCTCTTTGTGTCCGTTGGATATTGACAAAGGGCTATAATGGATAATGGATGAACCAATAGCAGCCACCCCCCCGTTCATCCTAACGGTATTATCTCATATTTAAGCTTTCCAGGGTTGCGTGTGAAGTGAAAGGTACATAGGTTTGATTGATTAGTCGATGAATCGATCAAGTTGATACCCATGGCGATTATAATTAGATCCAAAAGAGAGATTAACACATCAATTTTGTATAGATTCGAAATAACTTTTTAATCAAAGACGAAGTGAAAAGTGATGGGGAGAGATTTGGGATTTACAGTTAAAGGGACTTAAAAAAAAGCTTAAAAAAATAGGTAAAAAGTATAGGTACAGGCATTTTGCAGACTTTACACTTTAATTAGAGATAACTCAAGGCAAGTTGAAAAATGAATCAATAAATAGCCAATGATTCGTCAAATTCGAATATTTTAGTTGTAAAATCGAAGGGAAATTGTAGAGAATAGATAAGTATAGCAAAGATATAAGAATATGTGAGGTATAAGGTACAGAAAAGATAGAATATATAAGGGCATTGGAAAAATAAGTTGAAGGTTAGAAATCATAGATATAAGGTTATTTTTTAAAAGATTTTCAAGCAGAAAAAGATCCTAAATTCAAGAAAAATCATAAATAAAGAGTTTAGAAAGATCTTCAAAATAAATTTAAAAAGATTTTCAAATAGAAAAATATCAAAAATTCAAGTAATATCTTAAAAAAGAGTTAAGAAATATAGGAAACATATTCAAAGATCTTAGTTTAAGGATAAAAGTTATAGAAAAGCAAAGCAAAAAGTAAAACATATAGAAAAATACACGAAATATAAACAAAGAATTGTTTAAGATTATCAGAATTGGAATTTAGAAAACGAAAGAATAATACTAAGAATTAACAGAGATTACCAAATAAATACATATTTTAAAGGAAAGAAAAGAAGGTAAGACAAAATTAGGTCTTTCAAGAGGAAATCACAGAATAAAAGCTGAAATAGAAAGAAAATAGTAAAGAAAAGGTAAACAGATGGACAGATCACAGAATACAGGGAAAGATAGATAGTTTTGGTAGGTATAGTTTATAAAAAAATTCAGTTTATTCTTTTGTATAAAATTAAAAGTGAAAATATGAAAATAGGAAATATATACACAACAATTTGGCAGTATTCGGTTCGGGCACAGAGATAGAGATAGGCACAGAGTGATAGATAGAGTGGTAAAGAGGAGTGAAAAGATATAAGATATAAGATATAGGGATAGTATAGATATAGATCAAGAAGTTATAGTATAAAGGAAAGAAAGTCAGAGAGAGAGAGAGAGTATTCAAGTTTAACTGCTACACATACGTTCTATAGGAAATGGGCTAGAACTACTAAATTTAAGTGACTAAGACGCGAATCTGTGTTTTGTTTTCTTTTTGTTTTTGATTTTTGATTTTGATTTGTTTTTCTCAGTGCGCTTGTGTATGTTTTTTTGTGTGTATGTGTGTGAGCATGTGAGTATGTGTAAGTGTAGATGTGATGATTAAGAAGAACCAAATGACTTGGCTTAGTCCTTCTTGTCGTCGACATCCTTGTACCAGTCCTCACAGCCGGGCACATTCTCGGGGGCATCACACATCTCGGTGGTATCATTGTAGACCTCGCCCAGCTGACATCCCAGATCCCTGGGATCCTCACCGTTCAGGCAAACGTAGAACTTCTGGCAATCGGTGGGATGCGGGTACTTGGGATGGGTCACCACCTGACCGCGATCATCGGTCTTTGGCTGATCCTTTGGGCACACAAAGCCGGTTTCAGATGTTCCTAAAATATTAACAAAACAAAAATATAAATTAGTCTTAGATATTCCTAAATCAATTTTGGGGGTTTTGTTAAACATACTCTGCTCTGGGTTGCATCCCTCACGTTTGGCGGTATCGGGCCACACGCAAGTGCCCGAGTACTCATCGAAATGAAGGCCAACGGTGCACTTGGTCTCCAGGGCGTCGCCTTCGATGCAGTTGTAGAAGATGTTGCAGACAGCGGGATCGGGATGAGCGAAGAAACCGTTCTTGCGTGGGCAGTACTTGCTGGACTTGGGCTCCTCTGTGGGTTGGAAAATATATATGTATATAGTAGTAGAAACTATAAGGATTTGATTTTTGTATGTTTTTAATGAAAAAGGCAAAGTTTTGCTTTTTACAGCATACTTTTAGACGTCTTTTTTTAATGATTTTAAGTCTCTTGAGATTTCTGTGAGAACTTAAAGGTTGTCAAAAGTATATTAAGCATTAACTTTAATGGTTGTTTTAAAGGTATTTAAATTATTCAAATTTAAATTGAAAAAAAAGGTTAAAAACATATATTAAGTAACCCTTGATTAAGTGCATAAAATTCAGGTCTTTTGACCTGTTTATTCGTTAGCATAACTTCGCCTTGACACAGTTTCTGGTTGCTTAAACTGGTTTAGTTCCTTACGAAAGGCTCGAATGATGGTTAATTATAATGTTAATGATGATCAACTTACGGAGCTCTGTGCGGTCCTCGCAGTCTACATTGAAGGGCTGATCGCACTTGTTGAACTTGCGGTTGAGGGGATCGAAGACGAGGCCATCGGGACAGAGCTTCGCCTTGGCCACACCATCGTCGCAGACGTAGAACTTGTCGCACTGCACTTCATCGGCGAACTGGCCATTTGGCTTTGGGCACTCAAAGTTGGCACCGGACACGGCTGGGGATAGGGAAAGAGAAGAAAAACACTTGAGTTAACTTGTTTTCCCACTTTCACTTTCTTAGTTGCCACTGTGTTGTGGTTGTTGTTGCTTTTGTTGCTGTTGCTGTTACTGTTGCCCCTTCAGTGGCACACGAAATGTGTAACAAGATCGAACGAACACTCGATTCATCGATGGCATATCCGCATTCGCGGTTTCCTGATTGCCACAAAACTGCATAAGAAATGAGCAACAGGTTAACCGAGGACAAGATGTCATTAATTATGGATAATGCAGTTCAGAAAGTGATCAACTTTTGAAAAGGAACTATAAGGTATACCTAAGCTATATAAAAATCTTGAAGATATTTTAAGATGACATTGAAATCTCTAGAGATTTAAAACCAACCATAAAAGTATCTAAAAGTATGCTTATGCTGTGCCATTTTTCACTGCATACTTTTGCTAACACTTTTATGTGATTTCAAAACTCTAGAGCTTTAGTTTCCTGATTTTCAAAACAAGTTTCATCCCTAGGAAGTTGAGAAATTTCTAGGTGGAAGAACTGTGACCACTTAAGGACGCCCATCCAGGCCGAGTTCAATGCACTCATCCGGTTATCGATCGCAATTATAGAGATATATATATATACAGAGAGAGAGATGCGGCTTAGAGGAGTAACTTTTCACAGTCACGACATCGATTTCGATTTGGCCAGCCAGCTAACTGCAAGAGTTGTTGCATAACCAGGCGGCCCAGACAGCCAACCGAATGCTTGGGCTTGGCCAGCATTCCAGTTTTTCCAGACGGAAAAACCAGCCGGTACTCCCTTCATCACCCCATTCCCAACTACCATCTACCATCTGCATCTGGTTTATGGATCCGCAATAGCAACTGGATTTAAGGCTGTGGGACGCAATCTTGCGAGACGTCTAAATGTCATTAGCTATGGCTTTAAAAAAAAGCTGGCCAAAAACAAAATACAAACATAAAAAAAGCGCTTGATATGCAAAATACACATTCAAATGGAATAATCTTGATTGGTGTCAGTGTCAAAGCAATTAGCAACAAGTTGCCATTTCTATGGATCGGAGATTGACCAAGAAAGTCACTTTAACTTGGGCACAAACTACTACAAAATCACTGCTAAATAATAAATCCCATTGATCCATATCGTATATAACGAAAATTCACACTCACTTGTCGCCACACACAGCGTCACAGCAATGGCACATAAAAATAACTTCATTTTGTTGCTGAGTTTTTGACAGAAAACAAAAAAAAAAGATGATCCTGGGAACTTGGAGCCTGAGCAACTTATCGCGACTCAAGCGCTGCGATGGTTAAACTAAACTAACAACGGAACGCCAAAGAGGCGCACTTTTCAAGACTTTTTACCGGCTCTGTTCGACGACGACGACGTCGCCGTTGCCTTCGTCGATGTCGACGTCAGCAGCGACAGAGCGATGCCAATGGGCGGGGTCCACTACCGCCCCCGCCACTACCACTGCCACTTCCATCAAGTCAAACGAAACCAAGCCAAGCTAAAACAAGCTGGGTACTGGGAGCTTGGAGCTGGAGCTGGAGCTGGGGCACCAAAAGGCGTCGAAGAAAGGCGAGCCGGAGATGTAATGGAAGAAAAACAAGAAAGTTCCAGGGATCAAGTCGGGAAAACCGCTGGCCATATGCTCTATTACCATTATATTGATCACTTTTCCTAAAACTCAAAGAAAGGCTGTTTGAATTTGAAATCTTTACTTTTGCTAGAAAGTTTTTATAAGTCAAGATTAATAACAAATTACGATCAAAGCGCCATCTAACGAAGAGAAGAGGCTGTCTGTTTTCAAAGAGCTGAACTTATTTATCGTTGATTTTAAACACAAAGTTTCTGCTAAAGAATAAGTATTAAAAATACATTCTAAAACCCAGTTTAGTAAGTTTCTTGATAAGTTTTATATATTCTATAATTCCATATAAAAAAGTCAGCTTAAACGAACCTTTAAAATAGGTTAAATATCATAGCTACTGAGACACCTGCTCAACCATTTCCGGGTGTTGATCAATCAATGAACAAGGCCAGATATATGATCAATCCAGTTGCCAATGGATCCTCGATTCGTGTAGGGTATTACCGACCGGGTGCCCGTTCCCTGCCGATCAGTGTGTCGATGTGGCCAAAACGAAAATGAACATAAACAAATTCATATGCGGCAACGGTCCCCGGGGGCCCCGAATGTGAGTTCAGTTGAATTGATTCGAGTTGATGGCCCGCATGCAAATGGCGTTACAACCGATAAAAGGCCAACATCACACAAAAGACCATAACAAATTAAGGCAACAAAGAAACAAAAAAAAAAGAAACAAAGTAAAAACAACAAAAATAAGAGGGGACAACAAAATTGGCAATGAGATGAAGTGGCAGCAGCCGTCCTTTCCATCAAAAGTTTAGCCGAAAATGAAGGAAGGAAGGCTTCAAGGCTGAAGAGGATTCGCCATGGACGTGGCATTTTTTTGGACGAATTTTTGAAATAAAGGTTTAAATTATATATATTAATAAGCTTTTTCATTTAAAATTAATCATTTGGGCGGAAAGAAGTTATTATTATACAGAAAGAAATCTAATAAATAGCTTAAGAAGGAAGTATACAGTTTTAATTTTTGATTATTTTATATTTTTATGAGCTTATTTTCAGCATTTCAAAGTTATAAATTTTATTTCACTTAAGCTTACCACTTAACTTATCATAAAAATATTAGGAACTAAGATCTTTATGATACTTTTTGGCAATAAAATTAGTTGCTAATATAAAAATTAATATAAAATTTATAAAAAAAAGTGCCTTTGATAAAACAAATTAAGGAAAGTATTTAATAATATAGAAAAAGAATCTGATCAGTGTCTTGTTTTGACTGTTTTTTTGTATGAAGATCAGTTTAAATAACATAATTATATATTTTCTTAATCTTTTTATTGTTAATTAATGATCTTTGTGGCACACCTGTTAGAAGAGACATATCTGGATTTGCCTTTGGATCATATGGAATCAACCTACACCCCTGCCAGTCCAAACACATCTTAGTTTGGGAAGAAAAACTGTGTCACATCCCGATGTTTCCATCAAGCGATCGAAGCATGCCGGTAATATATGTACATAATATATGCATAAATATGCTAAACATCCACGCAATGACCCAAAAGTAGCTGTCCTTGGGAGATGCGATCCGTTCCGATTTAATATATATATAAAACATCAGAGATCAGAGATGCGGCAAAACCAGACGGGCTGGAAAACTAGTTTAGGTTTCGCGTGGAGTGGAGTTGGCTAATTAAAAATACACTTTTACTCTCGCCCGAACGTCTAGAGGTGGTTCTTGGAAGTTCGCGGGAATCTAAATCTGAAATTCAATTGGCAAATTAATTTGTAAACTAATCACGATTAAATCTTAGTTATGTACGTGTGTATCTGTGTGTTTCTGGCTGTTGACTGGTTTGCTTTGCAATTAGTAAAATGAAGAAAAAAAAAAAATAAAAAGAAAAGGAAATTAAAATCCGCTCATCGGTTCGGTTTTTGGTTTGGTAACTCCCATATGCAAGATTTGTCAGCCTGGAGCAAAAAGCAGTTAACTTAAAGATTTGGCAATTCAAGGTTTTTACTGCAACATGGGATCGTATCGTATCGTATCGTATTGGGTTCCATTCCAGTCCGGTTTATCAATGCGGTTACGAAATGAGCCAACCACTCAAGACCGAAGAGCATTTTGTGGGTCGTCAAATGCTGGCATTTAAATGCAGATGCGCCAAAAAATCAAACCAAAAATAAAAATAAGAAATAAAAACCGAAAAAGGGATCGTTTGCCCTTTTGCTGGAAGTTCTTTGGCATTTTTGAGGTCGGGTCGGAAAAGCAATTAAAAGGTAATTGCGAACAAAAAACACGTACGAACGTATGGTTCGGTTTTACAGTTACTTACAGTCGTCACCTGCAGCTTTGTGTTCACTTTGTTGCAGCAACAGCTGGCATTGGTGGCATAAATTTTATGGAAAGACAAATCATTTAATTGCGCTTTCTATTTTCCATGGCAGGTTCTTGGGGTTTCACTTGCCGGCCAACGCGCTTTGAATGTAATTAGTAGCGTTGGGGGAATATTTAGGTAGGTACCTCTAGTTGTATATTCTATACCTATATTCTATATATATATTCTCCAATAAAGATACTAAATAGCATTTTTAAGCTTTTATTTAACTAAATAAAATTATTTACTTTCAAAATAAAGTTTTTATTTTCATAGTTCTTCCTCCAACACTAACTATTTTATGTGTAAAGATAGAAAAATATGTTGAAAACATCACTTAGTTATTATTTTAGCAACAATTTCAAGTCAACAATTAAATTTAAATATTTATATTCCCGCGCTCTCATTTCGATTGCTAGTGGTAATTTTTTTGAAATACAATTAACCGATAGACATAAAAAGGTACAAGTAATCGAATGATTCCCATGTTTTATATAGACGTAATGGTTTTCCATCACTATGATTACGCTATGTAACAGTTATTAAATCCTAATAATACCATGCAGTTCAAACATAATTAATACAAATACAAATATATAAAATGATTAGCACATTTATATACTTTCCATATATCCCAGTTTCACATATTTTTAAGCATAAATCCCAAAGTATAAGCTAAATTTTACGTTATAACAGCGTGCTGTTAAGCGCAACAACCCTGCCAGATTGTTGTGTAGAGAGCTGTTAAACTATCGTCTGTCACGACAGCTGTTCACTGTTTTCGCCAATTGGCATAGAAAAACTTATTTTCAAGGTAAAACATTGACTAATTAGAATTATTAGTGAAAATTATAGTAGTTGTTAGTAGTTTATTTTTATTTACCGAATTTTATAGCCATGCTATGTTCATGTTATCCAAAGCTGTGACATAAATTGTAACAAGTAACGGATCGTTGGCGATGTTCCATCTCTAGTTCGCTAGTTTAGTCAAAACATTAAAGTCGCATTTTTACTTTGTTGAAAAATGTTGATTTAAGTACTTAACCAGCAGCAGAGCATCGTGTTTAGAACGTGAAGAGGTTGGTTTTAAACTATTTCATTGAAATATCAAAAGAGCTTATAATTACGAGTGGAGAAAGAGAGAAAGTTAGGGAAGAAAATACGTCACACAGACCAATCACTTGATTATTGATTTTTTTTTTTGCAAAGAAAGTAAAGTGGTTGCTATTTACTGGGTTACTGGGAAATGTGCACTTAACGATATACAAAACAGATGTGGGTGCTATATCTAACCAAAGATACATATACAACGCACCTATTTTACGTCGGCTCTGGCCAGTAGTTGGTGACATCATCAGAGCTACCAATATTGGCGACCATTAATCATGCATCCCCCCTTCCAGAGAACTTGGCCTGCAAGAGATCGAATTCCCTAGACCAAAAAACCCACTCAACTACCGAATCCCAGAAGGTAATCTCCCCCTGTAAAAAATGGATCGCAAGGCTGAGCTGGAACGCAAGAAGGCCAAACTGGCCGCCCTGCGCGAAGAGAAGGATCGCCGGCGGCGTGAAAAGGAGATTAAGGACATGGAAGAGGCGGCCGGCCGCATTGGCGGTGGAGCAGGCATCGATAAGGATCAACGCAAGTGGGTGACAAAATGTCGTCTTTAACTAAAATTGACTCATCATTGCCATCATCATTATTGCCCTATTTACAGAGATCTCGACGAAATGCTGTCATCGCTGGGCGTGGCACCTGTCTCTGAGGTCCTATCCTCGCTCTCCTCCGTCAACTCGATGACCTCAGACAACTCCAACACACAGACCCCCGACGCCAGCCTTCAAGCCACCGTCAATGGCCAGAGGTGAGCACAGTCTTGAAAATAAAAAACCTTGCAGAGAAATTTGCTATCTTAATCAGAACTTTACTGGACTGATAAACCAAATAAGATGTTTACATAGCCAGATAGAAGCACCGCAGTATTAGCTAGTTAATCGAATTAAACAGTTAACTATAATTAATTAGTTAAGACAAGTTTATTATTTTAATAATTAGCAAAGACTCTGCAAGGTTAAGACATGATTTTAAGCTGAATACTAATATCTAATGTGCAACCACAGTGGCGGAAAGAAGCAGCCCCTTAACCTGAGCGTCTACAATGTCCAGGCTACAAACATTCCACCAAAGGAGACGCTGGTCTACACGAAACAGACCCAAACGACCAGTACTGGCGGCGGAAACGGCGATGGTGCGTATTGCCCCCGGGGAAGGGGTAAATGGGTCTGGGCTATACTGTAACCACTATCCATAGTTTGACTCCATCTTTCGCTACTATTTGCCGTTCTTATTCTTGGTCTCGTTGTTAACTGTGTTTTTTGGCTTCCCTGCGTTCCCGTCCTCATTGTCCGTCGGATGAACCCTATATTCTAACTCTCTCTCTCTCTATCTCTCTATCTCTATCTATCTGCCCCAATTGTCCCGTTCTGTCTGGCGCTAGTTCATAATGCTGCATGTTGACCCTATAATCCACGCTTTATCCTCCATCAAGCGACCCCAAAGATCCCCACCGTCCCTTCCAGCAGAGAAAAAAAAAAAAAACAACCAAAGATACAAACAGAAAACCATAATCCATAGTGAAATAAAATAACAAATACAGTTCTTTCTTGCCACTCCTCGCCTCTGTCAGGATATATGGAGGACTGGTGGCGTCCACGTAAAGGTACTAATCTTAATTTTAAGCAAAAAAAACAAAAATCCACACTAATCACATCAGCACACGAATTTTTGTTATAACGAAAAAACGATGCGCGGAAGATAAGTGTATCTATGAAATGAGAAAGCTCATGTGAAACGCTCATACGATATAGTTTAAATTTCATGTAAAATTCTGAAGACGAAAGGAAATAAGCATCGTATAAGCGTGGAATAGTAAATTATTGGCTCAAAATTATATAATAGCTTCCTTTGGCTTTGCTTCAACTCGATTTGGTTACAATTCCCGAAGAAACTGTAGTCGAAAATTCCTTTATAAAGGCCTTCCCTTATTTTAAACTAATATGAATTCTTAGTTTTTTGCTTTTTTTAAAGTGCTGCCAATGTAGTCTCTCTAATAGAAAAGAGTTTAAAGGGTTCTTAACTTTGATTTAAGTGTTTAAGTTACATAAATTTGTTGACAAGTTTAAAAGATATATCATCGTCATTTTAGTGATATTATTCCTATACAATATTGTTTTTAAAACTAAGATTCATAGAAGAAATAGAATAAAATCGAAGATAATTTTATTGCAACATTTACCGCACTTGACACTTTTTAATCTGAAATGTGAAAATTCTGTATACGTCCATCATCATTGTATTGTTAAAAATTCATTTAAGAGTTTTTTTTTTGGTGTATCACAAAAGCAATGTGAATAATTTTTGGTAAATTTATTACTTATTTACCTTTTTTAGTCGTTATGTGTCCGGTTTTTGTAAAAGGTTGTTGGTAGCACTAAAGTCCCTTTTAAATCATAACACCCATAATGGTTTTGTTTTCGAATCATTTAAGCTGCAGTCTTCTCCACGCATTTACCGCATATTCTGCCTTACCCCCCCTGTCTATAGCATATCTATCAGTTAGTCCCATCGATTCATCCATCATCCATTATCTGTCCATGTCCATAACCATATCCATATCCATAGATCATTAGCGTTTACACCGTTCGAGCGCATTTAATAATTTGTCTATTTACTTTCTCTCTCTCTCCCCCCTTATCTGTTTTTGGCACGCACGCAAAAAAAACTGCAGCTCATGCTACGGATTATTATGGTGAGTAGTCCTTGTTGTATCCGTAATTTTGTACCTAGAACTTTTCAGCCTTCGTAGTTGCGATAGTGTGTACCACCCGTAAAACGTATCGTATGCCTATAAAAAAAAAAAACCTGTATCTTACCTTATGAAACTGAAACTGAACTTCTTCTCTATTTTACTACTTACTCGCATTATGTATTTGTGTAGTTTACTCTATCTTTTTTATATCCACAACACGTTCTTTGCTCCTCCTAATCCTTCTCTAAGTCTTCTTTGGACTTGCCTTAGTGTATGCCTGATATTTGTTAACCTTATTATCTATCTATAGTATATATACAATCTATGTTTATGTCCTAGCTTCTTGTAGTTGCTTATTCGATTCTTTGTTTTCGATTCGATCGTTTGATTTGTTGTTTCCCAATCAGGGATTTTATATATATATATATATACATACCTTTGTATACATTTTATATGATTTATAACTTCTGATTTGTTTCAATTAGCTCTAGCTTATACATGACAAGAGATTCAGTTTGTATCAGATCTAATAGACTTTTGTGTGTAAAGTGAATTATATATCGAAATGAAAATCAACAACAAAAAATTTGTAATCTCCACCCAATTTATAAGTTCTTCTTAATTCGTTTAAGTAGTTTTCAAATTCTGTTTAAGTTGAGTTTTAGCAATATGTTCTTTTTTTTTTATAATTTTTTTTTTTTCTTTATTTAATTTATGTATATCGAATGTAAGTATCAAAGGGTTTTCTCGAGAGTTATATTTTTGGTTTCTTTCGTTTTTAGCATAAATATTTCTATTCGATTCCTTTTTTTCAACAGTTATTCTAAGTCTATGATAACCTTTAAGAAAAGAGTATTTAACCCAAAAACAAAAAACACACACACACACTCACGTATAAACAAAACTCTATCTGTAAGCACGAATTCGATAAAAAAACAATGTATCTTTATATCGTTTGTATGATTAACTATCAGATATATTAGTTAAACATTCCAAGCTGTGTAATATAAACTCTTTCTCCTCCCCTCGCTACCTTTTGTGTTCCATCATATAAGCCAGGCTTGTGTGCTAATAGTACTTATACATATATTACCCTATATAATCATATATTTACTATATATCATATTCCGTGTGATAATTTCGCCAAAGCAACAAAAGTTAAGCACACTAAAAACAAGCATTTTTTTCACAATTTTTTTATCGTATGCATTTTGTTTAAACATTGATTATCGATTGATTTATCGATTTAAATGGGCGGTATGCTAAAGCCAAACTCATGATTTTTTTTTTTTCGTTTCTTGATTTGAAAAGTCACAAAATACCAAAAAAACAAAAAAACAAAAAACAAAACTACCAGCAATGTATGTACAATATATTTATTTCTTTATATTTCTTCAAGATGAATACAATCTTAATCCGGGTTTAGAGTGGGAGGATGAATTCACAGGTAGGTACAGGCCAGCCGCCCGAACCAAAAAAAAAAAAAAAGAATATTGAACAGTGACGGAATCGACATGAAGCAAAATAGGAACGTTCCAATTCTCACTTTGCAAGCGAAACTCAATCAGAACCGAAAAGCACAGAAAAAGCGCGTTTGAAAGATCAATCGAATTGAAATTGAGGTGTCAGTGTTGAGAAGTGATTTGAAACGCAAAACACATACTCGCACTTACAAACACTGAAAGTAACGGTCCCGTGCCCAGCCTCTCGCTCTCACACTTCTCTATCTCTTTTTCCTGTCTTGCTCCTTCATCTCTGCTTGTCTATAGCCTACATCTGCATGACTGCTAAAGCTCCTGACCCCGCCCCTTTTCTCCATTGTGTGTCGTGTTGCTAATCCCCCAATATCACTCATCCTAAAAATCCGAGATAACTCTGTCCTAACCACTAATCTTTTTCATCCAAGAAAACAACAACAATAGCAGCAGCAGCAGCAACAGCAGCGATAGGATGCTAGGCTTGCTCCATTTCACTCACTCTTACACAAACTCGTCAGCGAGCGATTCTATGTCCCTATATCTTATCTTTCTCTCCTTGTCTCTCAGCTATCGATCCTGATAACCGATACCCAAATTCAATTACAGCACTGTAACAGAAACGAAATCGATCAATCGGCCGTTAACTTTTACCATGTTTAATATATGTGTAATATATTTCTAGCTTAAAACTAAATAATTTTAAGTGCAAACAATTATAAAATGGGTGGAGAAAAATGCAAAAATCGATGTATAATAGCGTTAACGTTGTTAGAGTTAATCGAAACAGAAACAGAGCTAAAACCAACAGCAGGGAAAATGTAAATTTTTTGATTTCAGTAATTGGCTTTGTATATTAACTAGGTGAACCAAAAAAAAAAAACAAAAAAACAACAGCAAACCAACAAGCGCACACATTCGCATACTCACCTGTCCATGCCCTAACACTGTATATATCGATAACAAAAATACAGTCTGATATATGCACCTGTGTGAGTGCATTTAACAGTGTTTAACAGTTTATTAACAGCCATGCACCTGCCGCCACATCTACCTTCCCTCTCTCTCTCTCTCTCTTTCTCTTTCTCCCGATTGTACGCACGCACGCACACCCACCCACACCACTACTCCAATGAAGAAGACCAGTGAGATGAATAAATGTGCTGCAACTGTCCTTATCTTGCTCTTCTCCCTTTACTGCTTACCCTTTCACACTCTTATATTCACCGTTAATCATAACATAATCCCACCCAGTCCAAAATCCTGCCTCAAGGAACCTTTAGAAACCTGAAATGAACAAAGCCAAAAGTCTCAGAAAAATTGCAGTTCCTAGCCAAGCAAAACGACGACGAAGAATAACGAAAAATGAAAAAGAAAAAAAAGAAGAAAGTAAAAGAAAATCAAGATCAAAATATGATATTGAATCTCAACTCAAACTTGAATCGAATTAATAACGAGCCGAAAGTAGAATTGTTCCTGTTCTGTCGATTGTCATGTTCCTCTAGCTGTGTTAGTTTTATACCTTAAACAGTGCTTGCATTTGATGCCCAAGGAGACGACGAAGAGAGCTCGCTGCCGAACCTGGACAATGGATTCACCTCTAAGCTGCCACCGGGCTATCTCACCCACGGCCTGCCCACCGTCAAGGATGTCGCCCCGGCCATCACACCTCTCGAAATCAAGAAGGAGACCGAAGTGAAGAAGGAGGGTAAGTAAACAAGCTAGTTCCCTAGCTTAGCATCCTTAAATAAACTAAGAATTAATTTTTCTTTTCATTTTTAGTGAACGAACTGTCCGAGGAGCAGAAGCAAATGATCATCTTGTCGGAGGACTTCCAGCGATTTGTGGTGCGCGCCGGCCGACTCATCGAGCGAGCACTCTCCGAGAACGTTGATATCTACACAGACTATATTGGCGGCGGCGATAGCGAGGAGGCGAATGATGAGCGATCACATGCTCGTTTATCATTAAACCGTGTCTTTTACGACGAACGCTGGTCGAAGAATCGCTGCATCACCAGCATGGACTGGTCCACCCACTTCCCGGAGCTAGTGGTGGCCTCTTATCACAACAACGAGGAGAGTCCCAACGAACCGGATGGGGTGGTAATGGTGTGGAACACCAAATTCAAGAAGAGCACACCTGAGGATGTCTTCCACTGTCAGAGCGCGGTCATGTCCACCTGCTTTGCAAAGTTTAATCCCAATCTGATCCTCGGCGGAACATATTCGGGACAAATCGTACTGTGGGACAACCGTGTACAGAAGCGCACACCAATCCAGCGCACTCCACTTAGTGCCGCAGCGCATACGCATCCTGTCTACTGCCTCCAAATGGTGGGCACTCAAAATGCGCACAACGTCATTTCCATATCGTCGGACGGCAAGCTGTGCTCCTGGTCGCTAGACATGCTTTCGCAGCCGCAGGACACCCTGGAGTTGCATCAGCGTCAGTCGAAAGCCATTGCCATTACGTCGATGGCTTTTCCGGCCAACGAGATCAACAGTCTGGTGATGGGCAGCGAGGACGGCTATGTTTACTCCGCCTCGCGCCACGGTCTTCGCACAGGCGTCAACGAGGTGTACGAACGCCATTTGGGACCTATCACTGGCATATCCACGCACTATAACCAACTGTCGCCAGACTTTGGTCACCTCTTCCTCACCTCGTCAATTGACTGGACCATCAAACTCTGGTCGCTCAAGGTAAGAAATGGCCACTCCCTAACATATTTTAGACCCAAAACTCATTGTTCTCTTTTAGGACACAAAACCGTTGTACTCCTTCGAAGACAACTCGGACTATGTAATGGATGTGGCCTGGTCTCCAGTGCATCCGGCACTCTTTGCTGCCGTCGATGGCAGCGGACGCCTGGATCTGTGGAACCTTAACCAAGACACAGAGGTGCCGACAGCTTCAGTTGTGGTAGCTGGAGCACCAGCTCTCAATCGGGTGTCCTGGACGCCATCTGGGCTGCATGTTTGCATTGGTGACGAGGCCGGCAAGCTGTACGTTTATGATGTGGCCGAAAATCTAGCGCAACCGTCACGCGACGAATGGTCACGATTCAATGCCCATCTTAGCGAAATAAAGCTGAACCAGAGCGACGAGGTCTAGGACATAAGTTGTTAACTGGTAGATGATGATAGTTGATACCAATTCTGCGATTCTTAAAAGGTATCTTAGATGGAGCGTCCTTAAATGAAATTTAATTTGTATTTTTGTATCTTTTGTGATCCCACTGCTCCTAAGTTGTGTATAGCCCAGAAAAACTCAAAAACTCATCCGCAGTTCAAATGCTCAGAATTCGCTTGACCATACTCCAAAAACATACATCCTAAAAAAAGAATTCCCCCCTCAAGAAATCAAGGGAAACTTCAACATTCTCTAGGTAACCACAGAAAACTGTATTAGAAAGTTTATTCAATGAAACTGGACAGAATATAGATATATGTATGAAGGAACTAGATATTGGTCTCCCAGCATGTTTAATTGGTATAATTCATTGTTTTGTTATAAGATATTTCCCAGATCTCTTTCCACTTTTCAACTGCCAACTATTTTGGTGGAATTCAGACATTTTCTTCTTTTTTGTACCAATTTTGTAATCTTCAAATTCGATTGGAAATGGAAAGACTTCTGCGCAAATGGAACTTTTATTTTAATTGCAATTTAAATTTATGCAACTAAAAAAAGATTGTAGGATGATTGGTTTTTATCGACTGTCCGGGGGCAGGCTGAGAGCAACACATAAATAAATTAAATGCTAAATATTATATTATACAAACACCGTATTAAGCTTACACCTGAGATGAGGAAAGACAGTGACAGTGACAGTGACAGAGAAAGTGACAATGACAGTGACAAAGACAGAGACCGAAAGTAAGTCAGACAGGAAATTGGGGGCTCAGGTATGAAGGTATAAAAACTGAAGATGAAGCTAAACCCACTCAACTGAAAGAGCCCAAATGTAAATGTATTAGAGCGAAGCCTATTTAACGAGATTAAATAAACATAATATCTATATACACATACAACAGAAGACAATGTCTTTTAATTGGCTTATAAATGGATATAAAATGGGACAACAATCAGAAGAGCTATGCATGGAATTCGCTGTTCTTTAAAGATCAGGTTTATGCGTACAAGAAAAGTGCGAATTCTTTTCCATATTATTAAACTTTTTTTCGGAATATAGATATTACTTAAAAAGATCTAAATCTAATCTTAAATCTTCAATGCTACTTGTTAGTTAAATTTTCAATTTGAATTCATTTTAATGTGTTTTGTCATTGAATTATTATTGCAACTACGTTGCTTGTTTTAATAATACGTCAGAATATGTTTGGGCATAGTTTATTTTCACGATCTCATCAGCAGGTTTAATTAATTAATTCAAAGAATGTGCCAAATGATTCAGTGGCTTTGGTATTCAAGTGCAGGCCCATTAGAAGCGGAATTAAAAGCTCCACCGCGAAAGTCGCGCTCGCGAAAGCTTCTACACAGAAAACAAATAAGATAAGATTTGATAAATCGAAATGAGCAGGTAAACTAGTTGTTAATTTAATTTCATTTCAAATGATATTAAATCTGATATTCTAGTCAACGCAGAAAGTAAGTATAATTATTTAAGCATAAGCCAATGATGCAAAAAAACTTCATAAACTATCATATGTGAGTTTTCATGAATAACACTATGGCACTATATAAATCAGAGGACCGATATTAATCTTATATAGTTTTACATATTTTCTAACGTTCATAAGAACTATTAAGATTCCTTAGATATCTTTTTTTAACTGATTAATCATCCTATCTGATGCACTTTTCTTCGTGTGTAAAACTTGCGCTCTGTAGAGAGCGCAACCAGAGAGCACAGCAATGAGGTACCCCGGTGCAGTGCCTCCCATTCGGTATTATTCACCAAAAGCAGGCGGAGACAACAAGACGTCGTCAAAAGAATAGTCAAAGAAATCTTAAAGAGAAACGTTGATTTTGGTCTATTTAGCCAACGGAGCAAAGAAGAAAATACCCACAGATTACCAAAGAATCATTCAGCTTAGCTATGGACTATTACAAGGTAAGTGGATTAACTAGATAAATCAAATCATCATATTATATTCAAACATTGAACTTATTGATTTGCCACAGCGATGCGTCATACTTTACAGTGAAAGAAAAGCTAATATCTTTTGATGATTTTCAATAAAATTTAAAGATACATAGATACCAGCACTTTGAAACTGATTTAGATGGGATGCAGGTCAAGAATATACTATATATACTTCATAGAGCCAGAGATATCTGATATTTTATACAGCTATTTTAACATGGGTCTTAATTTCAGTTATCAGATAAGATAATCTCTGATATCATTTTATTCTTATTTTTTTCTCTTTGCAGCCTGAACCCACAGTGAAGGATGCCAAACCCTTCGACGCCTCCCAAGATGCCCAAGTGCTGCGGGCAGCCATGAAAGGATTCGGCACCGATGAGCAGGAGATCATCGACGTACTCGTTGGCAGAAGCAACCAGCAGAGGCAGACAATTAAAGCGGTCTACGAAGCTGAGTTCGAGCGGGATCTGATTGATGACCTAAAGGACGAGCTGGGTGGCAAGTTTGAGGATGTGATCGTTGGCCTAATGATGCCGCCAGTGGAATATCTGTGCAAGCAACTGCATGCCGCAATGGCTGGAATTGGAACCGAGGAGGCAACGCTCGTGGAAATCCTGTGCACTAAGACTAACGAGGAGATGGCCCAAATCGTGGCCGTCTACGAGGAGCGTTACCAACGTCCGTTAGCAGAACAGATGTGCAGTGAGACCTCTGGATTTTTCCGTCGCCTGCTCACGCTTATCGTGACCGGAGTTCGCGATGGATTAGATACTCCCGTCGATCCCGACCAGGCTAAGGAGCAGGCTGCTCAGTTGTACTCCGCCGGCGAGGCTAAGCTGGGAACAGATGAGGAGGTTTTCAACCGAATCATGTCGCATGCCAGCTTTCCGCAGCTGCGACTTGTCTTCGAGGAGTACAAGGAACTCTCCGGACAGACCATCGAGCAGGCCATCAAGCATGAGATGTCCGACGAGCTGCACGAGGCCATGATGGCAATAGGTTAGTAATGTTTTTGGAACTTTGTTATTGTTTTCTTAAATTTTAATGCAATTTTTTAATTTTAAAATCTTCTAGTTGAGTGCGTCCAGTCACCGGCGGCATTTTTCGCCAATCGTCTGTACAAGGCAATGAATGGCGCCGGCACCGATGATGCCACACTCATCCGGATCATTGTCAGTCGCTCGGAGATCGATCTGGAGACCATCAAACAGGAGTTTGAGCGGATCTACAACCGCACGCTGCACAGTGCCGTGGTGGTAAGTGAATCTCGCGACGATTGTTAGTGCTTGGCACCTGGCTAATGCGTCCCTTTCCCACTTTTTTTTTGTATACTTCGGTATTTCGGTATTTGTTGCGGTGTTTGTGTTGTCCTAGGACGTAAGTATTGGCCACGACATTTGGTGTAACGGTTGCAATCCTTGATTTGGTTACTCCTCGGTCTCAAATGCCCCTTTTTACACTACTTTCGCTTGGCTATTGCAAACTCACCCACAATAACATAGTCATATTAGCAATTTTTGATATAACTTCGCTATTTTTCCAAATCTAATTATTGGCTTACAGTTATTATAACCAAAAGTAGATAGTTTTTGTAGTGTAAATTGGGCATAGACAAAGTATAATTTCGAACTTTTTTTATTTAATTAATATATTTTTCAGGCGGAGACCTCCGGTGATTATAAACGGGCCCTGACTGCATTACTTGGAACCGCCTAGATTTCTTGATGTTGGCAGCTGGTCCGCCCAATATTGTAACCGTATTAATAGCCTTATTTGTAGTGTGCCTTTTAGGAAAAATCACTTTTAAATGTCTGCGCATGCGCACACTGTTGGCAATAAATAAACACGCATAATAGCAGAAGTTTTAACCGTCGCCAATATCATTGTTATTTAAAGAAGAGCTTCTGCAATTGTTTGGTCTTCACTGGCAGAAAATTTTGCATTTCATCTGGATTGGTCCAAAAGGCTACCGAGTTTTGAAGCTCGGTGCAGGGCGCCTCCCGATGAATGTACTCTTTCAGTATATAATCGTTCTCGATCTCGTGATGAAAGCGCGTGTCGTGCATACGGATGAGCACGTCATCTACACGCAGGAAATGACGCAGAAGTATAAAGAAGCCAGAGGGCATCACGCGCTGTCGAAGAAGATAAACTGTCTTTCGGAAAACAGCTCATAATGACTGCATTTGGGTGTACTTACGATTTTGACGCTCATCACGGATATTCCGTGGTCGTGCAACTCGTCCTCGAACAAGGTTAGATCATGATAAAAAATAATTCTTTCCCGCTGCATCAGCTTAAACTTGTTAAGCGTCTGATCCGTGATCTCCGACCGCACCTTCTCGTTCATGGTGCCCTGGTAGGTGGATGTGAATGTCCAGTCGAACGGCTTAAACTTCTGCTCCGTTGTCTGTTCCGGTCTGGAGTATAGAAGGCAATAATTAGGCAATGCTTTATAGACTATAATGTTTACTAGAATCTATTAAAGTTCCTTTAAAAAGAGGAAAATCGAGAATATTTAAAGCATTAAATGACTGTCATTGCTTTAAAGAATTGATCTAATGGAAAGGATAATTTTTACAGAGTACCTACCGGGTTTCTCGCCACTCCTGAGCACAGGCGACCTCCAAAGGTTGCTTTCCATTATCCACCAAAGCCAAAGCTTCTATCGGCTGGAACTCGAGGACGGCGCCGTCCTTGTGCTTAAGCACCAGTCGGTTTTTGTGGAACACCATGTCGGGCAGGTGGGGCAGCTCCAGGGAGTACTGATAGTGGCAGAGGTCGCAGCAGTCGGCGGAATCCTTGGGGCAGACCTCGCCGTGTTTTAACTTACAGCTGCTTTTTAGGATATGCGACTTCTCAAAGCTGATAGTCCAATCATGAAACTGTATCGTCTCGCTATCCACCGGCAGCCGGGGCACAAAGCACTGGTGAATAAGATAAAATTGTAACCACAGTAGGCTACTGATCAGTGTAGTTGTCACCACCTACCTCATTTGACATGTTTTAGATTAATCAACAGCTCTTGATCAACAATAACGTAAATCCTGTTGAAAAGCTCCTTAATTTATTCTTTTAAGATTTTTGTTTTTATGTAGGTGATGCCAACGATTATCGATGACTTTGAAAGCTTAGTGTTAGGAACATCGATGTTCGACTATCGCACATTGTTCAAACATTATACTGGATGATAGAATTCGGCTTCATCCATTAAAAGTTTATAATAAAATTTCTATCGTCTATCCGGCTTTTCAACATTGTATGTCATGTTTTTAAAATGAAAAATTTAAATTTGATTTTACATTTTTAGCGCCAAACAGTTATCGATAGCAGCTCCTATCAAACGGCTAGGCACTTGTTATCTAACCATCTGGCAGCCTGGTCGTTTGTTTTTGTTTTTATTCTGAATTGATATTGTTTTTGTCATTTCGTTTTTTTTATGTGGAACATTTGTAGAACTTAAGTGGGAAGTCAAGGAAACGGAAGCACGATGAATGTCCTTAGGAGCTTGGATCGTCTAATCGCACCAACTGCCCTACGCAGCGTCGCCATCTCCAAGGGCTTGTGGTCTCACAGAAACCAAAGCACAACAAGCTCCTCTGGAAGTCCCACCGTAAATGCTGCCGAGGTGCGTGGGGTAGCCCAAATTCTGCGCGAGCAAAAGGGTAACCTAGGGCAGCCCACTAGCGTCTCGCATCCGCATCTAATCCAGCCGGATGAGCTGGTTCCAGGCGTAGAGATGTCCGAGATCAAGGAGCGGCGTGTGCAACTGATGCAGAATATCCGCGCCTATGCACGCAGCTTTGGCGGCGAGTTTAACGGTCATTCGAGCCCCAGTCACATGGTAAGAATCCCCGGTGGCGAAGATTAACCCGTACGCTTCTAATAATCCTAAAACTAAATCCTTTACAGCTTGTTCTGGGTGCCGCCTCCAAAAAATACATGAGTGGGAAGATTCCCTATGTGTTTCGACAGAACTCGGACTTCTACTACCTCACTGGTTGCTTGGAGCCAGACGCCGTGCTTCTGTTGACCATCGACGAATCCGAGAACGTGCATTCTGACCTATTTATGCGTCCCAAGGATCCGCATGCCGAACTGTGGGATGGTCCGCGCACTGGTCCTGAGCTGGCCGTACCGTTATTTGGCGTCACAGAGGCCCATCCGCTGGGTCAATTGGAGGCGGTGCTGGCTAGGAGGGCTGGCGCCCTAAAGCCACACATCTGGTACGACCAGAAGAACTCGGATATGCCTTCTTTAACGGAAAACATGCTACGGCTAAGCGGTAAGGAGCAGCGACCGCTAATTCCCTCCTACACTTTCATCGAGACAATGCGTTTGCTTAAGTCACGCGCTGAAATGCAACTGATGCGTCGTACGTGCGATATAGCCTCACGTTCGTTCAACGAGGTGATGGCCGAATCGCGGCCAGGGCAATCCGAACATGATCTTTTTGCTGCCATAGACTACAAGTGCCGTATGCGCAGTGCCAGCTACTTAGCATATCCACCCGTGGTAGCTGCTGGGCAGAACGCCACGGTGATTCACTACGTGAACAACAACCAGCTGTTGCGTCCGCATGATTTGGTTCTGATGGATGCCGGCTGCGAATACGGCGGCTATACCAGCGACATTACGCGCACCTGGCCGGCTAGCGGGCAATTCACGGACCCGCAGCGCACACTGTACGACATGCTGCATCAGTTGCAGGGAGAGATCATTGACACTGTGATGAAGCCGGGTGGCGAGACACTCGACCAGCTGTTCGAGACTACCTGCTATAAGCTGGGCAAATACCTGCAAGAGATCGGTCTGGTGTCGAAGTCGGTGAGTGACTACAAAGAACTGGCCGGCCAGGGATACCGCTTCTGTCCACATCACGTTTCCCACTATCTTGGCATGGACGTGCATGACACGCCGCACGTGCCGCGCAACACGCGCATTGTGCCCGGCATGGTTTTTACCGTGGAGCCGGGCATCTATATTGGCCAAGACTGTGGCGATGTGCCACCCGAGTTTCGTGGTATTGGGATTCGCATAGAGGACGATCTGCTTATTAACGAACACGGTCAAGTGGAGGTTCTCACAGACGCCTGCATCAAAGATCCTCGCGCCCTGCAAGAGTTGTGCCATAAACAACATAGGGATCCCGGCGCCACCGCAGAAGCTTTATAAAATCTTCAAGCGGGGGCGGATCACAAAATTCCTAGTCATAAGTCAGATTGTTTACACAACAGTCATTCTCCCGATAATTTTACCATTCAGTCTGAATCCTAAAGTAAAAGCAGCTGGTGTATTTTTGAATGCATACATGGCAAATACATTTTAAATTCAGTCCTTCGGCCGTTTCTTTTCTCATATTTCGTACATCACAGTTTGGCAAAAACGGGTTTCTCGTCCTTTGTCAATTGGGCGGCCACAGCCTGGGCAAAGTCCTCCGACAATAAATTGAGCTTGTTTAGCAGGCGCTGCAAAAGGTCAAAAGTGGTTATTTTTGTTTAAGTTTTCTAAGACATGAGAATATCTACAATGTGTTCCAATCCCTCTTGGTTAGTATGGTCCAGCGAATAAATGATGTTTTCCTTTGTCGTCCTCACGGCGACGGGACTTTTACTAGCGATGAGCTCTGCGATGGCCAAGGCTCCACATAGCAATGACTCCTTGTCCGGAAAGACGCGACTCACCAGACCCGAAGAATGTGCCTCGGCTGCCTCGAATTTTCGGCCTGTGAAGCACAGTTCCCGGGCGAGAGACTGACTGCCCACCGCCTTGGGCAAACGCTGCAGGGTCCCCACATCGGCGGCCATGCCAATGTCCACCTCCTTGACCTGGAAGAAGGCATCCTCTGTGCAGTAGCGGATGTCGGAGGCGGTAATCAGATCCACGCCAGCGCCAATGCACGCTTTGTGAACTGCGGTGATAACCGGCTTGGGACACAGCTCCAGGCTGCTGATCGAGTCCTGATACAACTTGATCATACGCTCCATAATGACACCCTTGCGGGCGTAATCATCGGCTTCAGCCAGTGTCTGGCCGACATTCATCATGTCGTTAAGGTCGATACCGGCGGTGAAGTGCTTTCCGGACGCGGACAGGACAATAGCCCGACAATCGGGATTTGTAGCCAGTCCATCGAAGCACTCCTTGATCTCTCTGGAAATAAAATATAGATTAAAAACCTGCAGTATGAGTACGATGATCAACTAAACGCACAGCCACATCTGTCTGTTGAAGGCATTAAGCTTGTTGGGCCGATGAAGCTCAACATGAAACACGAACGGCTTAGGCGTACTGATGGCCAGAGTCTTGAATTCGCCGGTGATTCCGGATTCCGTCTGGGCGGCGAGGTTTCGTTGGGGCTGCATCTGAATGGATCGAATAGCTAGAGGTACGCGAATGAAATGGATTTTCAATGCGACACAAAATACAAAAGTTCAATTCACCAGCGATCGGACTTTGAACCGAACCCAGATCTTGGACCCGAAGGGTAAGATTTCTGTTTATCAGGTACACTAGGTGGTTACCTACCCGATGCTTTTGGTGCAAGTCTCATCAGCGTGTTCAGGCGGAAGACCGACATAATTGTTTAAATAAACTTATTTCAAATTCACTTGTTGCGGCAGCGAAATTAGTTTTGTTTATTTATCGATAGTATAAAGCGTTGCCACTACGTCGGAGCATTCAACTTTACTTAGAATCATCTTTTGTCCCTACATTTGGACAATAAAAACGGTTTATTTAATAATGTATGCTATATTTTTTAAAGTTATATGTTATAATATGTAATATGCAATATATATATCGCATACCATATAGCTAATTTTGTATTACCAGTCCAAATAAACTTATTTCGAAGAGTTGTTGGATTCATTCTTAAGAATAACGGCATTTTACCACTGGCATTGCTTTGGCATTCAACGACATTTGAATTTCTATTTATATGTACATACATATTTTTTTAATTACTTCAATTGCGTCAAAGGATTTAAGGATTTTAAATTGTCTTTCAAAAAATTTGTCCTTGAGGTCACCTAGTTAACCTTCTTAATCTCTTTTTAGAAAAATGTGTTATGGAACTTGTGGAAACCTTGTTATTGTTATATGAAAAACTTATTTAAAGGGTTGTACGATTTTGTTCGTCGCCGTTTGTTTAATTTCATACAAAATTAAGTTTTATTTGGAATGACCGAAAAATTTACTGCGGTATACATTTAAAAGAAGCTAAAGATTTAATATCTTAAAAATAAAGGAAGAGAAAATACTTTTTAACAAAAGCTATATATTTGTGCTAAATAAATCATTTGTGGGGTAAATATAAGTCATTTTTATGCATTAAAAACTATGGTAATATGAGGAAATTCTAGAATATATAATATATATGCAGTTTTTCCACGTAATGTAAAGATGTTAATTTTGAAATTTAAAGAGCAGGATACTTAATTTTTCTTTTGATATTTTGTAAAGCTTTTTTGTTACTATAAATTACAAGACAGTTATAAAGTTAAATTATTTATTAATTTATTTATTTCATCAGCCCTGGCAATATATGTATTTCAATTGTATCGCCCATCTGGTCACACTGCAATCTTTGTACCATCTCTATTGTGGGTGCGTTAGTAATAGTTTATCCAGAATATGAATTAAGCAGAATTAATCGGGAACGCCGACGCCCACAAATTCGTACAAATTGTCGACCGCCCGTCATTCCAGTGCTGTAAAAATCAAAGCCCGGAAACTAAAAACTGAAACATTTAAGACCGTAAAGCCAAATTGGAGATAAATTCAACAGTCAACCAGAGCCCCTGTGTGTGTGTTGTCCGTGTGCGTGTTAATGTGTGTGACTGTGTTCGTTTACGAGCTAGTGGGTGCGAGCGAGACGGAGAATTGGAAGGGAGTCAGGCTTTGCAATAATTTTTTTGCCAGCCAATTTAGGATTTTCGGCATTTAATCGCTGTCTTATCTGCCACAAAGTTATTTATACCGATTAATATAAGAATGCTGCTCGTTAATTGTGTTTCTTAAAAAATCTGCTGATAAACGACAAAGAGGAAACAAGAAACAACAGCAACAACAAGAATAGCAGTGGAGCCGAAAAAGGAAAAAAAGAAAACTTAATCAAGGGAAATTAAATAACAAGGCGGCGGCAACAACAATTACATAAATTAACCCGCAACGCAACAACACTAATAACAATAGCTTATCACACAGCAACAATAACATCAGCACCATAAACAACAACAGCAACAACAACAAAACAGCAGCCCAAAAAGAACAACAGTTTATCTCAAATATTCAGCCGGCTGCACGAGTGCGAGCGAGATAGCCCATAGTTGGAGAAAAAGAGACCGAACAAGAGGAGAAGGGAGTGTGCGTTTGGCGAAGGTCTGTGTGTGTGTGTTTGAGTGTGGGAGCAGGCAGCGAAAAAAAAAAAGTATATTTTGCATTGTTCGACGCGCCTAACTGTAAATACAAAAAAGCACTTGCAAAAACAAGGGAAAACGAGGAAAAAAACAAAAAAAAAATGGCACGCGGCTTCGATCATCTGTTCAAGTTGCTAATAATCGGCGATAGCGGTGAGTTCTCCCAGGCTTTCCCATTTCCCAGTACCAGGTGCTTAAAAATAGCATCGCATAGAAATATGGCAGGTGTAAATTTCATTTTTTGTCCCCAATTCCTCTTGAAAGTTTATGCATTCCTTTTTTTGTTGATAATTTTTATTTAATAAACATTTAAAGATGCAATTTTATTATCTTAAAAAGAGAAGATATATTTAAAATATATTCACGCCCACATGGCGTATGAGTAATGTTGTTTTTAGGATTTTTTCAATATTTTTAAAATTTGTCAGCCTTTTGTTTTAATATAACTGGTTAATTTTCTTACCATTTAAATAGTTATTTTTAATATTTACAAGAATTTATACATATCGAAAATATCGTATCAGAAAATACAAAATCTCAAGAAAGTTTCTTCAAAGTAAATCTAAAAAAAGAAATAAATAAGCTACTGCAGATCCGGATAAAATCCGGCTTATGACTAATGCTGACGCATTGCCAGGATATATAGCTTGTTATCCGAGCAAGCCAGCTGCAGTGGTAACCGGAGAAGAGGAAAATCCCCACCCAGACGTTTAACATGCCACATGCCACATAGACAAATCGAATTATCATATAAACATAATCAGTAATTGTAATCTGATCGTATTTCAATTTATTTGAATACCCTACAGGCGTGGGCAAGTCGTCACTGCTCATCCGATTCTCAGACGACACATTTTCGGGCAGTTACATCACCACCATTGGTGTGGACTTTAAGATCCGCACCGTGGACATCGATGGGATGCGCGTTAAACTGCAGATTTGGGACACGGCTGGGCAAGAACGTTTCCGGACGATCACCAGTACCTACTATCGCGGCACTCACGGCGTCATCGTTGTCTACGACGTCACGAACGGTGATTCTTTTGCGAATGTCCGCCGCTGGCTGGAGGAAATCCAGAATAACTGCGACGTGGTTAAGAAAGTATTAGGTGAGAACAGGAAATTATAATTCAAATACCAATAAGACAATCATACTAATACACTTAACATTCCTAAATAGTTGGCAACAAGAACGACGATCCGGACAGGAAGGTGGTTATTACCGAGGATGCGCAACGGTTTGCGAAACAAATGGATATCGAGCTGTATGAGACATCTGCCAAAGACAATATCAACGTGGAGAACATGTTCTTGTCGATCACGCGGCAGGTGCTCGACCATAAGCTGCGCACCTCCCCCAATGAGCAGCAGAAGGATACGCTCCATTTGAAGCACAATCCCAAGGTTATCAAGGGTGGGAAGTGCTGCAGGTGAAAGCGGCTCCGGCAAGGGAGCTGGCATTGCAACTGGACCGACGGCGACGGCGGGACGGGGATTGTAACCGGAATTAGGACCAGGACCTGGATCAAGTCCGGGGGCGGATGGATTCGTTGTGGGGGCGCGTAGTTTGTAGGGTTACTGGCGTACAATACGGCACACACACACATATACACAAACACACCCACTCACATAGACATAGCTTACACCAACAAAACTCACACCCACAACCACAACTACACATACACCAACTAGAGACAACAATTTTTTTTGTTTTGTTTTTTTTTTCTCCTCCTGTGTTTTTTATTCGGAATAATGCCAGATAGCCGTAAATTAAAGTGTAAAAGTGTAAAGCGCAATTAAATGTATTTAGCAATTTATATACATATTAATATATACATAAACAAAATTTAAACAAATCGCATATTTATATATACAACAAGAATATATTTATATTTCTAACGGAAAATTGTATTTACAATTACAAAAGCGATAGCATGAAAACCAATATATATATATGTGTATCGAGGTCAAAGATTTCTTTGATAACTAAAAGTACGAAAAATATTTATATATATAAATATATACATACATATATGAATTGTAGGTGAGATAAAACAGCAAATTATTGGCTTCCGATCGCCATTCTTCACTTCACATATAGTTCTTATAGTTTTTTAAATGAAAATTGTTCAGCTATAATGACAACAATAATAGAAAAGCCAAAAACAAATACTTTTTGATTAACTTATTCTTTGTTTTGTCTTCTTGACTAAATGTTCAGTCAAAGATAATCAACAGCCAACTTAAAACTATAATTAATTGCTTTGATCAATTTGAATATTTGTATCTCTCGTTAACAGAAATCATTTGATATTATTACTGCCATTCCATGGATGGGAATTACTGAAATAACGAATTTTTATTTGACTTCCTTAGCTAACCTATTAGGAATTAGCTTACTTGCAGAGATCAGGGGAATGAAATGGTTATCAAACACGTCAATATCGTGTACTAACTATTAGAAAGAATAAAGATTGATAAAATATCACTGAAATCCGAATTCAAATCATATATTAGGCTTTTTATAAACTTTATATTCGTGACTGAAGTTTTGCAAGGGTAAAACTGTGTTTCCAATCCGATTTATTTACTATGCCATTATCAATTTTTTCTGTCATTTCATTTTCTACTAAAATATTTATCAAGAGCTTGTGAACCTGAGAAAGCCAAGAATATTTTAGTACCTATAAATATTCTAAATTTCAAAATTATAGTATAAAAAGAATGAAATGCTTTCCATTTGTATGGTTTTACTCTTCAAGACTATTGCATACTTTCCGGCTGAACATAGGAAAATCAATTATATTGTGGAACCTTTTTTAATTTGCATAGCTGTAGTGAAAACAGAGTCGAAAAATACTCCATTCCTTAACGAACATCGTTCATCAAAAGCTAATATTATATATATTTTCATATTCAAGGATATAAATATTTCCTGTTAGCTAGTCTTAGTCGCTGTAACTGTATATTTATTTTTAAAAATCAGTTTTTCTACAGAAAGTAGTTTTTGGCGGCTGTCCTTTGGTTCGTAAAAACACACACACAAACACTCACACACTTTAGGCTTATAATTTGGAGTGTTTTTATATACAGATTTTAAGCTATGTCTATCCGAAAAATCAAATCAATAAATATAGATTTTATTGTGTTTAGTAACCAAAAATGAATAAACTAGTTATTGGTTTTGCTGGAAAAAGGCTTTCAGAAAGTTAAGCAAAGTCATAAATGAAAATGAAAAACGGAAACATATATATTTCATACCAACCAAAAGAAAACTATATATTTATATATATGTATATATTTATCGATTAAAATAAAGAAGACAATTTGATTTTCTAACTTTTGCGTTATTTGCATAGTTTTTTAAAGATCTGGATAACTTTTAAGATTAGGTCCTGAATGTTGTCTTAAAGCAGTGCTGGTCATAGCCTACGGTCTGAGTGTTCATTTGTTTTTTGTGTTTTTGTAAATGTGCTTGCTCGCCCATAAGCTTTGAGCGCTCGCGGCGCTGTTATTCCAGCAACACTTTTTCGTTATCCTCTTTCCGCCTCATTCCGTCGCTAACTGTTCTTGTTTCTTCCTCGATCATCCTCGGACACTTACACTGGAATTCCTTCCTCATACCTTCTGTTTGCATTTTACAGTTTATTTCGCAGTGAGAATGAGTGATTTTTTTTTTAGCAAGAATAAGTGTTTCTCTTTCTCTCAATGTACAGTTGAAAACCAACTCAAAAGCGTCCCTAAATATGTTCAGACTTTCTTGTATTTGTGTTAGTAAATGAACTCCTGTCTTAAAGGCTTTAAAATCCTTAGCAAAAAGCTCAATGTTTATTATTCTTTAAGTATATTATTTATTATTGTCAACACATTATTGTTCGTTCAATTAGAGTGATAGTGAGAGTGAGGGTGAGAGCACGAGGTTAATGCAACGACTAGTAATGGGAAAAAGGCAGGCAGATTGTAGATTGCTGCAGAATGTGGAGGGACGTAAGGTGGACTGAACTGGTCTGGAGTGGGCTGGCAGGCAGTGCGGCTGCAGGGACGATTGGAACCCTCCTCTCCTTCGTCTGCTCAGTGGTACTTGGCCACCGGGAAAGTGCGCGTCTGGCGGCAGGACACAAGGGCATCGCCCGATTGTCCTTGTGGACAGCGGCAGACTGCCAGGTGAGCCTTTGGCTCGCAACTGGCTCCGGTGGCACACTTGCCGATGCAGGGATCGATGCACTGGTAGTTGATGCAGGCTCGGTGGTCGGGACACTCATTATTACTCAGGCACTCACCCTATTGAACAGGAATTATATAGATTAGATATAGATTTTGCTTTAGAACTGAGACTGCCTAGTGGACTTACTCGGCTGCAGTGGCTCAATGGATTGCCGGTGTGACCGGGCAGGCAGTTGCAGACGGGTCGTTCCCGGCCGGTATTGTCGTGTCCGGGTACGCAGATGGCATTGGTACCGCACGGATTGGGATCGCAGAGATCCTCCTTGGTAAAGGGACGGCAGCGGACGAATGGATCACCGGTCATGTCACGTGGACAGCTGCAAACGGGTGTCAAGCCGCGTAGATTACAATCGGCACCAATGCCGCAGGCACCCTCGCAGGTGTTCTTGCAAATGCCATAGAAGCACGCTGGCCTTCCGGATGGACAATCCACATCACCATAGCATTCTGGCCGGCATTCCGTATAAGGGCTACCAATATAGCCCTTGGGACACTCGCAGACCGCCCGATGATTGCTAACCGTACGACAAGTGGCGCCCGTACCGCATTGGCCACAAGCTGGCACGCACTTAAAGTTGCTGGAGCACATGTCCCTGCTATTACAGTCGCCATCGTGGTCGCACTCATGGCGACAGCCGCTCAAGGGATTACCCACGTAACCATGGACACAGGAGCATGTAGGCACACCGTTAATGATCTCGCATTTGGTGTTTACGCCGCAAGGACTCGGATGGCATTGTTCCTCTGCAAACCAAATATTAAGTTATTGATTTTAATTTGAATTTTTAAGTTTTCTATATTTTAGGTTGTTGCCATTTGGGGGCTGCCACCTTAAACTTAAAAGATTTTATTATCTATTTTTGCAAGGTTTTTTTAGTCTTCTTGTTTTATGTTAGTCTTAGTCCTGATTTAGTACAACCTTTTGAAGGTTATCCTGAAAAAGAAAACTGGGGCTTAACTTGCAGGCGCCCTTTCAACTTTCACTTTATTCAACCGCCACCCCCTGTCAACATCCGCTGTCGCAGTTGCTGTTGCCGCCTTTTTTTTTTCTTTTGCCCAATTTTTGATTTATGCCGGTTCATATGACTTACGTTCCGGTCGAGGGTTCTACTAGAAATATATATATATATAGCTTCATTGGGGCCAATAATTGGGGGCCAAGGCCCTCGAAAGGTTGAAATAGAAAATCATATTCAAATAGCCAGGGCTCATTTATGCGCATATTTTTGGTTCTTATATATGTATGTTTGTATATATATATACGAGGTGTGTTCAAAAAGTAAGGTGACTCTTCAAATTTCGCGAATTTCAAATTTTTCGATTATCGAAACCTTTTAGAAGTTATACGAGGTGTGTTCAAAAAGTAAGGTGACTTTTCAAATTTCAAATTTTTCAAATTTTTCGATTATCTTCAGTTTTGGGAACAAGAAAAAGTCACATGGGGCCAAATCCGGTGAATATGGTGGCTGAGGCATTATTGTGGTGTTGTTTTTGGCCAAAAAATCCAAATCCTTTGATCCATATTTTTCGATAGCAAAAAATCGCCGAGCTCGCAAAACAACTTGTAACTTTACGCCTCTCACAACCAAACAAAAGAGGATGTCCCATTGAAACTTGGTACAGATATTAGGGAAGAGTGTACCAATATAACAAAACAAAAAAATCGATAATCGAAAAATTTGAAATTCGCGAAATTTGAAGAGTCACCTTACTTTTTGAACACACCTCGTACTTCTATATATACTTGTTTTTATTTTGTTGCCAATTGTTGTTGTTGTTCCTCATGATGATTACGGTGATGGCGAAATGGCAAGCCGAGAAATTATTTTCCCTTGTTTTCCGTTCCGTTAGCGAAAAGTTTGGCCATTATCAGGCCTTTTCTCTTACATTTCCTTTTGACATAATTTGCAAAGAAAAACCCAACTTTCCCCCACCGCCAATGTATTATAATGAAATCTAGAGTTTATTTTGAAAATCAATCAAAATGTCCCAGAATCTATGCCGAAAAATGCTCATCTATGAGGCGAAATTTTCCTTTAGCTGAGAAGAAACTTGAAATTTAAGAGTAAAGAAAGCAACTTTAATTGATGGGATTGATGACGTAACAATATATATAAATTAATTTAAAAAATGCCATGCTGTAAATGTGCGAAAATTTAAGAAAAGTTTCCAAAGAATTGCATCTTCCTCGCCACAGAAATGAATCCTTAGGGCGGGCAATGGCAAAGTCCCACCCAATCCCTGTAGATTGTTCGTTAACAATTATTGTTTTCAAGTCAGTTGCTAATTGGAAATGCAAATAAATATTGTATTTCCAAGCGGGTAAGGCAGGCGGATTGCACGCAGCCGAGGCACCGGAATTAAGGCAACACAAAAAGGGTGGCACAAGTAAAATCCAGAGGATAAATATCGAAGGGCAGTTAAGATGCAGAAATTTCCAACGAAATTTCCCAACGAGTTAAAAAAGAAAATAACAGAAAAGCAAAAAATTACGAAACTCAAACGAAGAAATTCAATTTATCAAGACCAAAATTGGTTTCGAGTTACACAAGCTCTTACTCTAACTGTAAACCAGGGCTGCTCTAATTCGTCGACTTACGGCAGAGCATTTACTAACACAAGTACAAGTAAGCGTGCACATACATGTATGTAGGGACGCTTTTGCGTTGATTTGCAACTGTGCACTGAGAGAAAGAGAAACACTTATTCTTGCTAAACAATTCATCACTCATTCTCACTGCGAAATAAACCGTAAAGTGCAAACAGAAGGTAAGAGGAAGAAATTTCAGTGTAAGTGTCCGAGGACGATCGAGGAAGAAACAAGAACAGTTAGCGACGGAATGAGACGGAAAGAGGATAACGAAAAAGTGTTGGTGGAATAACAGCGCCGCCAGCACTCAAAGCTTATGGGCGAGAATTTACAAAAACAAATGGGCACTCAGTGCTTTAACCCTTAGTTTAAACTTTTAACCCAGATGTATACTATAAATAATTAAAGAAAACGAAGTAGAAATCAAGAAAATAAGAAACTTATGCCGAAAAGGGTTCTTTAGTATTTTTGAATGGCAACCCTTAAACGTTTGGCAAAAATTAGTAAGAACTCCAACAAGGAATTAGTAAACTCTAGTCGAAGCACATTTTCTTGAAAAAACAGTAAGCGCTGGATTAAAATTGAAATATAAAGAGTTTTTCTGTATGACATTGGCAAGGAAAAGTCTAATTAACAATCTGATTGTGATACCGACAACATAGCTAGGAAAACTTCTAATTTTCTTTGCAAAAAAATATTTCGAACTTTTTGTTTTTTGATTTTTTTGTGAATCAAAATCGTTTCCTTTTGTTTGTTGTTACTTTAAAAAAAAAAAATGTTTAACAACATACGCTCTGGGGTTAAACGTGCCGGATCCAATATGAAACGCACACCTAGGTAAGGACTCCCAAGATTGGTTTTTTTTTTGAAATTTTTTTTTGATTTCTCTTCTTCTTTTTCGGTGTCCAATGGAAATGTCAATCGAGCAGACAGATTGACTTTACAAAAAGTGTAAAAGATTTTATAAAGACAGAAACTTTACTTAACTTCGATCGGATTGGGGATAAACGAATTAAATCCGATATGGAGGAGGCAAAGCCTATGGATTTGAAACCTGAATTAGGCAAGAAAGCAGATATCGATTCGGTTGGCGATACCAAGCCCGTTTTCAATCAATCAGAATCCTTTAACAATTCGGATTCCGATTCTGATTCCGATTACAGTGATTGCCCGCCCATCCGTAGTGATGGTTGTATAGCCATAACAATTGATAATTGCATGGATGCGATCACGACTTGGAGGCAATTGAAACGAGCTACCTTAACTGCCAGGCAAATGGAGCAGATACTTGAGGTACCCAACTTTAAGGCCATTGTCATTGGATCCTTTGTGGCGCTTAGGCCATGCCCTGGTTCTCGTCTAAGTATACTTCAAGTTGTGGGTATTCGTCCCGGCAAGAAGTTCTATAAGCTTGGCTATAAGACCACCAATCTCGTGTTGAGGCTTAAGATCGGTCCCATTGAACGTCATTTCATTATGTGCGATGTGGCCAATGAGAAACCTACTCGCAAGGAGTTCGCCATTTGGTATGCAATTCATCAAATCAATGATCTGACCTTGCCTACCAATTTGGATATCTACATAAAACAGAATGAAATTGAAAGGGGCATAAGTTTGGCTTATTTTCAGTATTCCCAATTTAAATGAAATGAAAAATGAAAATCCAAATCTACAAAGGATTCAACTAGCTTAAAAAGGAATTCAATTAAATTTAAATTAAGTATTTTTTTTTTTTTGGTTTTATTAAAAACTTAAAATCCATTTGGTTTTCTCTGATCAAGTTATCTTCTGCTATCTAAAATTCATTCGCACACCTCTACAGCTTATGGCCATAAACGGATGTTGGCCTGTTGGCTACCTCGGGAGGGGAGCCGCGTCACTGGGTTAGTAGTTGACCTTGGGACTCTCGCCCACTGTAGCCCAGTTTGCCCACGCTGGCCTGCGTCCTTGATCTTGACAATTATGAAACGAAATGCTCAGCTAATTACCATAAAATTACAAAGGCCCCAAGTGCGATTCTGGGCGAATGTTGGGCGTTGTTTGTTGTTTGGATTATTATTATTACTATTATTATTGTTATTATCATTGAGCGCGAAATATTATGCAAGCCACAAAACCCACACCTAGTTGGCCCAGCCTCTTGTTTTTTAGACCGATTTGGGCAATACAAGTTGATTTTGCGACGTCACAGCTCTCGGCACTGGCTAATATTCAACACGTTAAGTGAGTGGGTTGTACTAAAAATATATAGTATATATATATATTCTAACTACAATGTTGGCTAATTATCCGATGTACTGTCAATTCGTATCTTTGAGTTTCCGTCGTTTTCCCACATTATTTTCATTCATAATTAACTTGAATAAAAACAAACAACACGATGTTGTTTACAAATGACTTACAAATATGCGTTGGCTTTTCGTTGTTTACATTTAGTTTAGCGTGCTTTATCTTTCTTAGTTAATCTTGTCTGCTAACTATATGTCAAACTATTCATTTTGGATACTTTTTTTGGTTTTATTTTTATTATTTTCAGTTACATCAAAAGCTGTGTAAGCAGGGGACTTAAACCTGTTTGTTTCGATTTTAGTTGTCCTTGAAAACTTTCTGGTTTTTAAGGTTTCTTTTATGTGGCAAATGCTTGGCTTGTATATATTTTTTTTGATCATTAAATTATTTATTTAAAGTCTTGCCAAGGCTAACAGACTTTTCCCTAATTTTTCAAAATTTTAAAAAATATTTCTCCTATTTATATGAGTTCTGTTCTTCTTTTTCGTTTACATTTTCGTGACGAGTAATTCAGCTGGGCAATCCCTATCGTCATCCTATTTACTCACTCACTCACTCTCCTTCCTTAAGCAAATCAAGGGACCAACGTATAGCAATAGATAGCATTGTCTCACTTACTCTTAACATCTCGTTAAAGATTTCTGTTGGCACTCGTTATAGCTTAACATGAGAAAGTAACGAACTAAAGAAGCAACTGAAAAGGAGACAACCAACTAGCAACGAGACAGTAAGCTAGAAAGGAGACAACCAAAGAGAGACGGACAAGGACCGTTACATTGAAATTAAATCAGCGTGTCACGACGAACTTATTTCTCTTTTTTTCTTTGGAATTTAAAGATTAAGATCGTACAAAAAATGTTTAAAAAAATGTTTAAAAAAATATTTAAGAAAATTTAAAACCCCTTATGCCAAAACTAAGTATATAAAAACAAGAAATATTCTTAAAAATCAGATTGAAATATTTCCCAAACCGATTGACATGTGAGCTCCCACTCTGATTCTTATGACACCATGGATATCACGTGATATTATAAGCTTCCGATGGCCATAAAAGAAATGCCCAATGTGGGCGGGGCACTCACCGGGATCGTTGAGGTGGCAGGCATGATAGGGGTCACCATTGTAGCCCGCCGGGCAGCTGCATACGGCCACGTGGTTGCGAGCCTGTAATGGCAAACGGAAACGGAAAAGGGGGGGTGGTCAAAGATCCGGTGGTCAGAGGGTTGGTGGTGTTTGGCATTGGGCTATATAAAAAAATCCCTTTTTGGCAGACTCCCGCTGCTTCACACTTACGTCACAATTCGAGCCAATGCCACAGGCACCCACGCAGGGATTAACGCAACGATTGTCCTTGCACTGCAGGTCACCGCGACAGTCGACATTGTCCAGGCACTCGCCGCGATTGCAATGGGTGAGCGGATTACCACTGAATCCAGGTGGGCAGGAGCAAACAGGGCGGCCACCGGAGGCCTCTTGGCAAACGGCATTCACGCCGCACGGACTACCACTGCAGCCGCTGCTATACGATTGAGCTGTATGGGCGAAAAGTAGGGACCATACAGGTGGTGATTCGGTGCACTTGGTGATTTTGTGTTTGCTAACTAATTTCTATATATTATATATATATATATATTTCATCTTATACTTTTAGATTTTCTATATTAGATGTTAGGCTACTACTAAAAGTAGTATGATTATCAGAGTGCTGCCAGTGAAGGTGCTATCTAATTAGATGAACATCATCGTGTTGGGTGCAGGAAAAACAGAAGGAAAAATTCGAAAACAAAAAATTTGTAGTGTAAATACCACGTGTGTAGACCGGATCTCTATAGACAACCCGCTGCAGGGATCGCCCATCGCCGTATGTGTAATATGTACGATATGTGCAGTTCACACAGCGTTTCTCGAGCTTTTTACCTGCGGCTTGGTGGGGCAAAGATGCGATGGCCACCGCCACAAGGGCCACGACCAGGAGATGTTGCTGCAACAAAAGCAAGTTAAATTAATTGTATTTTAGTTTATGATAAGATTAAGATATCAATTTTGGCTGTTTAAATGTACATTTTTCTTTGATTTGTTTTAAAATTTTTGATTTTGAAAGAGTTTTTGGCTAATTTTTTAAGGAATTCCCCATTTTTTTCCACTAAAAAGTTTTTAATATTCATTTAGATTTGTAAAGCAAAAACATTCCTTAGAAAAAGAATGTCTTATAAAAGACTGCTTAATCAAAATTGAATAATAAATAATGTTTGATGGGTCAACGGGGCGTATGAGTAATATGGCCTAAATTATAAATATTAAGTTATAGCTTTGCATTTTGCATATTTAGGTGTTTATTTTATATTGTTGCATCAGTTTTAATGCCAAAAATGGAAAACTGTATCATATACCAGCCTTGAGTTGGCCAAAAGTTGGTCATAATTGGTCAAAAATTGATTAAAAACTTAAAAATTGATTCCAGTTTAGTATTTTTAAAAAGCTGAATATGGAATACCTTTAAAGATTTAACTAATAACTTAAGTACCCTATTATATATTTAACAAAATCAATACAAAATCTACATTTACAAGTCATTCTTAGCTCTTAGTAAGACTTCCCAGAACCACTCAAAGCGGAAACCACTAAATGGGTTTTCCAGACCAGAAAGTTAATCACAAAAAAATATTCAAAAAAAAAACAAAAGCAAAAAAACAAACAGAAACATAAACAAACATCTGAATTAGTAAGAAGCCCAACCAATCGACCGGCTTATGTGTCATCAAAACAAATTATTTGGCAATAAAAAAACAACAAAATCAAATTACAATCGGTGGCAAACATTAGTTTGGTGACTGGCTAATGGGATTCTGCTGCCAGAAAGTAACCTGAGACCATATTTGGCTAACACGGGGTAACGAGAGATGAGATAACGATCGATCGATTGATGATGATATGGCTTCGTGTTCAAGGTGGCGATCAGTGATCATTGTTGGCCGATGACACATGGTTTTAGGGTGATGATAAACTTGTTGTCCGCTTCTTTGGAAGTTCAATTCGAGCAAAAAATATGATTCAAATTGGAATACAATGAGAATATGCAAATGTCCCAGCTGCCTTACTCTGACTTTACCAATATGGTAAGCTATATAGATATATATATATATAGCTTGGCATTAACTAAGTTGTCGATCATTACGTATATGGCTTGAGATTGATCCACTGAGGGAGGAAATTATTAAAGTTAAAGGAAATTGGGTTTCCTTATTTAGCTAAGGAATTTTTAATGAGTTTATAGAGTTTAAGGGTTTTAGTTTAAAGATCTTAAGTTATAATAATATATAATAGATATAGTACTATAGCTCTAGACTTGCAAGTTATTAATGGTGGCTTTTTTTTTGGCTTTGTTGACTTGGCAAATGAATAATGGGCTTTCGAGTGATTGATCTTCTGCCAAAAAAAGAATGAAAAGACAATCGAAACCACTTTCAAGCTTATAGTGGGCTTAGCTGATTTTATGTGGGATCAAGGCATACGATTTTCTTGGCTTTAATTAAACAAAAATGTGAAATATGAAAGGGTTTTTCCAACCTTTTGATTTTGTTTAACTTGTAAAGCAACCCTTACCTTAAGTTAAGCTCGATCGATCATTAACTTTAGCCACTGCCTAGCTAACCGGAAGTAAACATTTGCGCCCAAAACTCAAATTCTCAATTAACGAATGGGCAATCCCCCGCCCTCTTAACATGTTTGCTTTGGCTTTACCTGAGATTTTTTTTTTTAACATCAATATTCCATTCACGTCTCATTAACTAAATGCATTTTTTATGTCTTGTCTTTGTGCGTAATTTTGTTGGCCAATAAAAATGTTTAAAAGTAAAAAAGTAAATAAAAATAAACCCGGATTATGGTCATAAATCTTTTGGAAACTAAATTATCTTTTACAAAACAAGATCCCATTGATCAGGAATATATATAATATATATATAACCGATAACTTTATATAGAAAACAGAACACAACTTAAAAAAAAGGTTTGGTTTTTCAACCTGCAACTCACCATTTTAGGCTTTAAGTTCTTAGTAGACACTCGCACTACGGCAGATTAATAACGTAAAATAAAAAACAAAAAAAATATATATATTTATATTTATATATATTGTAAATTATAGATCGTTTCCGTTTTTCACTGGTTAATGTTCGAGTTCAACTGAGACGACTTCTAGACGAGCTTGGGCTATTTATAAGGCCGCCACTCTTGGCTTTAACCCGAAACAGCTGAGCGACGTTGGCGTCATCTCTCAGGTGGCTCACCTTCCCCCGCGGCAGTCTTACCTTCTAGTATACTGAAAGAAAATTATAGTTGGTTTTAGGAGATATCTAATTAATTATATGTAATTTTTATTATAATTTTTATTATTTTGGTTATTTATTAAAAAGATTTTCAGACTTAAACATTTTTGGGAGTTTTTGAAACTTTCATAAATTCTATAAAAAAAATAATTTAAATATACTCTTACTTATTTTTAAAGATTTTTTAATTTGTTATACATTTAAGGTATTTTTAACCTTAAGCCTAAATATTATTTTGTAAAATTTTTTTATATTTTTTACTTATTTTTTATTATTATACCCGTTACTCGTAGAGTAAAAGGGTATACTAGATTCGTTGAAAAGTATGTAACAGATAGAAGGAAGCTTTTGCGACCCTATAAAGTATATATATTCTTGATCAGGATCAATAGCGAAGTCGATTGAGCCATGTCCGTCTGTCCGTCCGTCCGTCCGTCCGTCCGTCCGTCCGTCCGTCCGTCCGTCCGTCCGTCCGTCCGTCCGTCCGTCCGTCCGTATGAACGCTGAGATCTCAGGAACTATAGCAGATACAAAGTTGAGATTAAGCATGAAGATTCTTGAGGTCCCGGGACAGCGCAAGTTTATTACAGCATCCTGCCACGCCCACTCTAACGCCCACAAATCGCAAAAAACTAAAATTACTGAAATCATAGGAACTATTGCAGTTAGAAAGTTGAAATTCAGAAAGTATAATCTTTAGATGACAGCGCATCTTATAGTAGCACTACTATCCGGCCTCACCCACCCATACGCCCACAAGGCTCAAAAGACGGTTTTCGGATTTTCTAGAAAAGCTGATATCTCGGTAACTATTCGTAATAGAAAGTTCGGATTAAGCATGTAGGTTTCTATGATGCTCCCAATGCGAATTGTTTTTTTCCGATCAAGCCACGCCCACTCTAACGCCCACAAAATCCGAAAAACCAAAAATGCAAAAATCTCAAAAACTATAAGAGCTACACAATTTTGCTTAGAAACACATATTTAGTAGATGCCTCTGCAACTTGCCACGAAGTTGCATTAGGCCACGCCCACTCTAACGCCTACAAACCGCGGAAAACTGTGGCGTCTATAATATTATTATGAATGCCTTTGTTTGACCTTGTATAACTTATTTCTGTTAATATCTATCGATTTACCAAAGGTTTTTCAAATCGGAACATTATTGCGCTATTTATGAAAAAATTAAGGTTATAAGGCCTCACATGGGAAGTGACGTCACTATAAGCATACTCAACATACTTCCTCTGACAATAGGTGGCGCCTTGTGAATTTCCACTAGCAAAATTAATATTTTAAAATTGTGTAAAACAGTAACGGGTATCTTATAGTCGCGGCACTCGACTATAGCGTTTCCTCTTGTTTTATTACTAATTTCGAAAAATCAAACCTTAACACTTACAAAATAAATCTTTTTCAGGGAGTTTATTAAAATTCTTAATCTAAATATTAAAAATTGACATAAAAGATTTCCTTAAGATTTTTTATTATATATTTTTAGACTAAAAAATATTTATTTTCTTGCCCTACATTAAGATTGGAAAAAGCCAACTGATTTCAAAATGAAGAAAGAACCTGAAAACTTAAGCAAGTTTTTAAAGAAAAAATAAACCAAATACTTAAAATCTAAATTTACAAATCTTTAGGTTAGGTGCTTTGTTGTTGTTGTTGTTGACTTTGCCTTTGCTCGATTTCACTCAAAAAAAAAAAAAAACATTTCAGTCTAAAGCTCAACGCCTATGCTCTGAGTGCTAAGTATTTGTTGTTGTAAATGCTCCCTGCATATGAGCTTGCTCGCACTATTTTTTTCATTTTCCTCTTTCCGCCTCATTCCGTCGCCAACTGTAAAATAATTTGTTGTTGTTTCTTCCTTGATCATCCTCGACAGCATTTACACTGAAATGCCTTCCTTATAACTTCTGTATCCACTTTGGAGTTTATTTCGCATTGAGAATGAGTGATGAATTGCTTAGCAAGACAAAGTGTTTCTCTTTCTTTCAGTGTACAGTTGCAAACTAATACAAGAGCTTCGCTAAATATGTATGTGCATCTTATCTTGTATTTGTGTTAGTAAGACAACGAATTTGAGCACCCCTGGTCTAAAGCGATTGAGTCAGCCGCCGTCCAAGTCATTCATATATTTTGTGTATTTGTTTGGGCATCGGGCTATTTATAAGCGTATAAACGTGTACTTGACAACTTTGCTACGGCTTGGCCATGCCGGCTTTGATAGCTCAATCTCTGCGTGGGCTATTGCATCCGAGTGGGGATGACAATGTGGGCTGAATGCTTGGCTGAGGTGGCTCAGGTATAGATTCAGGTTCAGGTTCAGGTTCTTACTATAAGCAGAAGTGATTTGTAGGGGAACTTGATGGGGGGGCGGGGCAAAAGACATGTTCAGGATATACAAAAGTTAGTAAAAAAACAACCTAGATTAAAATTTATAATATTTTTTGGCCTTTTTTAGAGCCTTTTCTTGGAATGAATAGTTTCTTCATTACAATTTTATGTTTTTTTATTATTAATTAATAGTTTTTAAAACCATTAAATGTTGGAATTTCTTAAGAATTTGTTCATATAAAACTTGGCTTATATTACAAAACATTTTATTGTTTTAAAACTTAATTTTAAGTCCCTCCAATTAGGGCATTTATAAGCTTTAACATTTCTTAAACACCCGCTGCTTATTATTAATCACCAAAGTAAATATTAAATTTAGTCAGTTTTAAGCCAGTTTATCTCAATTTCAATTTACTTTTTGCTTTTTTAGACATTAGCATTAACATATTACAAATTTAATTAACTTTTAGAATTTGCATAAGTTCCAATCTAAAGACAAACGGAAATTGAGAATAAAATCGCTCATTTCCGTCGGCCCAGCAAACAAAAAAATGAGATAAATAAAAAACAAGTTGTTGGTTTAATTTATTGTGTTAAAATTAACAAAAAAAAGCTAAGTTTAATCAAAAAAATAATAAAAAGGAATAGAGTAAAAAAAAAATTTAGCAGTTTTTAATAATTTAAAGCTAATTTAGTTTATTTTTCTTAGTTTAAAAAGGCTGCTAGTTTAAAGGCATGTTTTCACTTTCATTTTAAAACATTTTAAACTCTTTTTTTATAATTTCTTAGAAAATATTCTTATGCTTATAAGTTGTTAAATATTTTTATTTAATTTTAAAGTTTTTAATTTCTCATAAATAACAAAAATAAACTTAACAAGTTCTTATTAATTTTGCTTTCATTAAAAACACAAACCAAACTGCACTAAAATCAAATCGATTAAAATGAAAATGAATCTTGACATTTGTCTTGGCGTGGGCATTGTTAAACAGAATATATATATCTATATAAGTATATAGAATATATAGAAAGTACATACATATAAAGAGCAGAACAGAGGAAGATAACTTGACCTATAGCTAGAAGATAATGAAGCGACGACTAATTTGGCCAGCAATTTGCCATCGACCATTCTATTCTCAAACGAAATTGAAATAGCATTTGGCCAAATCGATATGAGAATATTATATAGATTAAACTGGCAATTGGAGCGGCTTAAGGTTGGGATTTGTCTTGGCCAAAACCAATTGACATATGCCAATTGGCTATAATTGAATGAGAATTCCCAAGACGACCAATGGGCACCTGGTTTGTTACTGTTTTTTTTTTGGGAGGGGAGGGGAAAATCAATTTAATTATTCCTTTCGTCTTGGCTGTGCAAATCTGTTTTTTTTTTCTGGAACGACTAAGGTCACGACAGGTTGGCCTGATGGATCAGGTTGGCCTGGATAACCACTAACCACTTCTCCTGCCTTTTGCCTTGTCCCTTCACCTTATTTGTTGTTCATAATTTATACTGCCCGATATCAATCATATTCAATCATGGTGCCTGCCTGGCTGGCTGCTTGGGTGCTTGGGTGTTTGGGTGCCTGTGTTTTTTGGGGTCTATTCTTACTCGGACGGGTCATTCCCTCAACAGATTGCCATTGACAAATGTTTTATAATCAATTTGGCATTATTAATTTGAATACACACCACCTGCGTGCAATCGTCTTCCCTTCCCCGCCTCTCCTCTGGGCACCTTTTTTGAAACTGAAACTAAACCATACTGAAAATGGGCTTATTTTTTGCGGTGAGCTGAAACGGGTTTTTGCAGAAGCTTTAAGGTTCGAAATGTATTCAGGTGGCAGGGGTAGGGGGCAGGGTTCACGTTGGAAAACCCTAAAAGAGGTTCAAGGGGAGTACTCTTTGTGCACTCAAAGAAAAGAGGTAAGCTAAAACTTCTGTATCTTTAGATTTATTTTATAAGATACTTATCCCATATTAGGCAAGTTGTTTAAGCCATTTTTAGGAATCAAGATCAAGACAAACAGAAGTCAGCAAGAAGCCAGAAGAAATCTATCTAAAAATGATAGAAAAAAGTGAAAATTGGAATTTTAATTGAATTTTAATTATTTAATTTATAGATTTAGCTTGGGAATTTAAAGTACACAGACGATTAAGCATATAGAAAAGCTTTTCCTTTATCCAGATGGGAGTGAAAAACTATTGCCCTTGTAATTGCTGAACTGGTGCGAAGTGCTGGCTTTGCTGGGGGGGAGGGAGGTGACTTTGGGCCAGAACTTTTTCGGTCTAATTTGCAGCAATTTGCATAATTTGCGGCTGACTGAATGGATGGGATAGATGCATAGTCGGCTGAGTGGATTAATGGTTAGATGGATTTGTGTATAAAAGGGCCAGGACTTTGGTACTTAAAGGCTAGACGAGACCATGGAGAAAGTAAAAGCCGATTCGACAAGAGCTTTGGTGAATCATTGGCGAATCTTTCGATTGATTGGAGTTCATCCACCGTCCAAGGATACCATGTGGGGCAGAAATTACACTCTGTACTCGATAGTGTGGAATGTGACATTCCATCTATTCATTTGGTTATCCTTCTCGGTGAACTTTTTGCTATCCAACTCACTGGAGACCTTCTGCGAAAGCCTTTGCGTGGCCATGCCACATACTCTCTACATGCTGAAGCTGTTTAATGTCTATTGGACTCGAAACGAGTTGCTACATAGTAATCGGGTATTTCGTTATCTGGACAGACGGTTGGTTAGCTCCGATGAGTTTCGGATCGTTAACGAAGGTGTCCAGAAGGCGGAATTTATATTCCGGATCATTTCCCATGGCGTTGTGGTCATTGTAGCTTTAGCCATCTTTTATATTTCCGTGGCTAGTGAACCAACGTTGATGTACCCTTCGTGGATCCCTTGGAACTGGAAGGATAGCTCCACCCTATGCCTGCCCACGATTATCCTCCATTCGTCCGCTATTACGGAGACGGCCCTGACGGTCCTCAGCTTAAGCACTTATCCGGGTACCTACCTGATCTTGGTCAGTGCTCACACCAAGGCACTAGCCTTTCGAGTTTCCAAACTAGGCTATGGCAGGCGACTATCAGAGGATCGGATGCTGGCCATTCTGAATGGATATATCAAAGACCATCAGATCATTTTGAAGTGAGTATTAGGAAAATGCAGAGACTAATGCGTTTTCCACAAGAAAGTAAGTTAAAGAACTTTTGTTATCATTTCCAACTTGTAGACTTTTCAAATCCCTGGAACGATCACTCTCGATGACCTGTTTCCTGCAATTCGTCTGCACAGCCTCTGCCCAGTGTACCATTTGCTACTTTTTGCTTTTCGAGCAGGTTGGGATCATGAGGTTCGCCAATATGGCCATGCTCCTGGTAGCCTTCACCACAGAGACCATACTGCTCTGCTATACCGCAGAGTTGCTTTGTAAGGAGGGTGAAAGTCTGCTAACGGCAGTTTACAGTTCAAATTGGCTAGATCAATCGGTCCGTTTCAGGCGGCATCTTCTCCTGATGCTTGTGCGCTGCAAGAAACCGTTAATCCTGGTCTCTGGTGCCATAGTGCCCGTTAGCATGAAGACCTTTATGTTGGTATGTAAAGAAAGAAAAAGAAAGTGGTTAAAGTTTCTTATTTTTTTTTAACAAATTTCTCATTGCAGATGATCAAGGGTGCCTACACCATGCTGACTCTACTAAATGAAATGCGCAAATCTTCACTGGAAAACAACTAATGGGAAATATGTAGCTTTTATGCAAAGAGCACTAAAAAAACATTAGAAAAAGTATGAAAAATGTAATTTGAATAAGAGTTTACCTTACCTAGGACAGTCTCAGTTACATATATTTCCCTCAGCCAAGTTAAGTTCTAACATCAAGTTCCCCTAGAACAGGGCTGCTTAGCGCCTATGCTCTGAGTTCTTATTTGTTTTTTGTTTTTGTAAATTTTTGCTGCCTATGGCCTTGCTCTCTCAACAGCTTTGAGCTCCCGCGGCGCTGCTCCACCGCCAAATTTTCGTTTTCCTCTTTCCGCCTCATTCCGTCGCCAACTCCAATACAATTTGTTCTTGTTTCTTTCTCGATCATCCTCGAACACATACACTGCAATTCCTTCCTTATAACTTCTGTTTACACTTTCATGTTTATTTCGCAGTGGCTCATCGATGTGAGTGTTAAAATGAGAGATGAATTGGTTGGCAAGAGTAAAGTGTATTTCTTTCTCTCAGTGCACAGCTGCAAACCAACACGAAAGCGTCACTACTCATATACATGTATCCTTGTAATTGTTTAAGTAAATGCTCTGCCGTAAGACGAACTTGAGCAGTCCTGTTATAATTGCTCGCTGCTTATGAGCTTGATCCCGCTATTCCACCAACAATTTTTCGTTTTCCTCTCTCCGCTTCAATTTGTTTTTGTTTCTTTCTCGATCCTCGAAGAAGGATGGAATTCCTTCCTTATAACTTCTCTCTGCATTTTGGTGTTTACTTCGCATTGAGCATAGGCTATGAATTGGTTAGCAAAAAGAAACTGATTTTCATTCTCTCAGTGCACAGCTGTAAACCAACGCAAAAGAGTTACTTAAATATGTGCACATTAATTTGTATTAGTGTTAGTTAATGCTCTGCCGACGCACCCCTGCCCTAGAAATTCCTGCATAATACCTAATAAAAAAAAATCAGCGGAGAGTGTGAGCTTCAATCGGAAGTTGTTTATTGACAATCGCAATCTCTATCGGAATTTTCGCAGCCTTAATTATGGCATTCGATGCGACGGGATTTTCACTTGGCTTGGGCTTTTAATTATTGTTGCATAATGCAGGAGCTTATTATTAAATGAAATGAATTTCGAACGGAAATTGTAGTAACAAAAATTCGTCTGACAGCTGCTCCCACACACACACACACAGACACACACACGCACACTGATGAGCAACCAACCACATCTGCCCGTACGGATGGTTCCTTAATAGACATTTTAATTGAAGCCAGCCAGAAAGTGGGCGTGGCAATTGCACCACTCGGCTTATCATATTTGCAAAAATATGCATTCGCCAACGCTAGAGCTTAAAAATGTTTTTTTTTCTTCCTTTTTTTTGGATTTTTTTTTTGAGCCTTTGGTGGGGTTTGAGTTCGGCACAGTGTGGTTTCTTTTTTTTAAGGAAAATTAATGATTTTTTTTAAGAAAAGGAGGAATTTTATAGGCCATTTTGTTGGTTAATTAATAAATAATATTTCTTAACTTGCAGCTTTATAAGTTTTTTAAGACTTCTAAAGAAACTTTAAACTAAATCAATTGAGGAAATACAAAAAATAACTTAAAAAATATCAAAAAAAATCATAAAATTGCTTAACTTTATTCTATTTGATAGCATTTTTTAGTTTTCTAACTAAAACAAGAAATAATCTTCATATATTAAACCATAAATATTGACCCACAGTGCCTTTCGAAAAGTGGACATAAGTCAATTAATGGATATGAGATTAATGATTTAACCGTTGTGAGATTCAAGCGACGCTTTCAATCTGATTCCATTTTCGTAGTCATTGCACCGAATGTGTGCTTAAATATTAAATTTGCAACATAATTACGTAAGCCATCGTTGGCAATTTAAATGGTTTGACAATAAGCTGTTTATAAGACCATTGAGTATGATGTTCTGAGAGTGATTATTATATACGGAAAAAGATTAAATCTTCGGTAGAAATATGTTATTATACTTTAAAACAGAATCTTGATACTGTTAAATTATAAAATATAAATTATTTTTTGATTAAAAAACAAGATTTTGATATAAGTATTTGTTTTTATTAATTGTACCAACAAAAATATTAACCTTAAAGTACAAATAACAAGTTCTAAAGCTAAAAACAGCTAACAGCGGAATTACACACATATATCTTTTATATATAGTATATATATATTTGATATTAGATATATATATTTATACCTAGATATGTGTGCAGGCTTAGGTAAATGTTTATTTGGCGAGTCTATTGGAAAATTTCTTAAATATTTACACAAAAATATAACCAAACCGGCAAACTCATTAAAAGTTGGCAAAAAGCAAACTCAAAGAGGCATCAGATTTGCATAACAACAAAGAGAGAGAGAGAGGGGTTAAGGTTAAGGGTTAAAGATTAGAAAATTGAGTAAGCTAATCGTAATTAGCGTAGCAAAAAGGGCAAAAAGGGTGAGGAAAAACTTCGAATAACAAACGGAAAATCCAAACAAAAATCCAAGAAGTACCAATTTGGGGTTTTCCTACTGAAAACGAGCTTAAAGCCAAAGGCTTTATCCCAGCTCTAGGTGATGATGTTGCTGTTGGCAGCATTGATGTTGCTGCTGTTGCTGTTGCTGTTGCTGTTGCTGTTGCTGTTGCTGCTGCTGTTGTTACTGCTACTGTTGCCGCTGTCATTGTTGCTTTGAACGCTTTAGGGATATTTCACAATATTGTTGCTGTCACCTGGCAGCTGTCCCCCACTTGTTGCGGTTGACTGTTGCTTTGGTCCTGCTGCTATTACAGTTGCTGCTCTTGATGCTGCACCTCTTGGTCCTGTTACCCCGATGCCTGATCCTGATGTTGCTGTTGTTGTTGTTGCACCCAATGCCGTTGCCGCTCCGGGGTGATACAAATGCGTGCCATAATGCACGGCACCCGGATGGCTGAAATATGGTATAATGGCCGGCGAGGCAGCGGTCATAATGGGTGATGGTGTGGGACCGGCTAAAAGGTTACCAACGGAACCAGAACCGGAACCGGAAACAGAAGCCTGCGACTTTGGACCCTCTTCGCTGGCAGCTGATGCATAGGACGACGATACATATTGCTGTGGGGCATGGTTATATAGAGGCTGCAACACTGGCAACGCTGGCTGGTAATGGTGGTAGTGATGGATCGGCGGACCATTTGCTGGCGACAATCTAACCACGTGAATGGGACCGGGACCTGCCGACTCATGGGCCATGTTATAGACGGCCTTGGGGTTATTATTGCTAAAACGTGGCAATATGGCAAATTGATGCTGCTGTTGCTGCTGCTCAGCGGGCTGTTGCACGTAAATGGGATTGTAGTGCACCACGGGCAAGTGTTGCTGACGTGTTGCTGTTGCTGCTGCCGCTGTTGCTGTTGCAGCCGCCGACTCTGATGTTGCCGTTGCCGTGCTCGTTGTTGATGATGTTGTCGGTGCCGTTGGTGCTGCAGGCGTGTATTTGTGTTGCTGCTGCTGCTGCTGCTGTGACTGCTTCAAGGACGGTTGCTGGTGCGGCTTTTGGTATTGTTGCTGCTGATGCTGATGCTGTTGCTGTTGCTGATGCTGCAGCGGATATGCTGAAAGGAGCAAGGAAAACAAACGAATTACAGACATCAGATTTCTCGGCTTAGTCCTCATAGCCCAAGGCACTTTGACAGTCAGTTGGATTACGGCCTCTAATTACCCAAATCAGAGATTTGATGGCCTAAAGTTCACGATTGGAACGTTGCTGATGGTTGTTTTGTTGTTGGCCTAAACAAGTGGCTCTAAGGAATTGGGAATTTTGCTTACCATACAATGGTCCTGGCTGCTCGGCATAGATGGTGGACTGCTGGGGCTGCGGTTGTTGCAGGAAGATTCGTTGCAATTGCAGTTGAATCTGCGGCTGGGGGTGGTGATGTTGCGCCTGGGGTTGGTAGATAATCTGAGCAGGCTGATAGGTAGATGCTGGTGGTGGTGGTGGTGGCGCAGCGACCTTGGCATAGACAGCATGATGCTGCTGCTGTTGCTGTTGCTGCTGCTGCTGCTGTTGGTGATGTTGCTGCAGCTGTTGGGCAGCAGCCATGAGCAGACTGGTGGGTATTTGCAGATATGGCTGGTGGATAAGTGGTGCAGTGGGTCCAGCGAGTGGTGCACTAGCAGCATCCGATTGATAGTAAGGCCTATACTGACCCTGATGATCACGGGCCAAAGGTCCTAGCAACTGCACCACCGGATGTCTGCTGGCGATGGTCGAAGGTTGCGATGACGGAGCTGAAGGTGCTGCTGTGCTGGTGGTGCTAGTGGTTGTACTGCTGCTGCTGCTGCTGCTAGTTGGTGGTGGTGACAAGAGCAATTGATGTTGCTGCTGCTGCTGCTGTTGATGCAACTGTTGCTGTTGTTGCAATTGCCGCATATACGACAGCGGTATGGCAATTATGTACTGAATCCGCTGTTGCAACTTTTGCTGCGGCGGCGCCTGCTGCTGCTGCAAGTACTTGCCTTGCTGGCTGAGATGTGGATGATGATGATGATGATGGGTCAGTGGTGCTGTGGCACCAACCTCCGGCTCAAGTTCGGCATAATTGAAAATTGACTGAGGATGATGCAACTGCAACTGCAACTGTGGCTGCAATTGCGGCTGTGGCGAGGCGGCAGGTGGCTTAAATGCGACTTGCCGCTGATAGGATTCCAATTGTGGCGCCACAGCGCTGAAGCTGTAGCGATGATGATGCTGAGGTGGCGCCTTCTGTCCATAGAACGCCTAAGGGAAAGTGAAATGGAAATGGATGGAGATTCGAACAGAGATTGCGGCGGTAATTAAATGCACTTGCTGCGGTTGCAACATTCGCTAGCTGCATACCTGTGGTGGTGCCGCCTCTGCCGCTGTATAACGCAGCGTTGTGGGTCCAAAGATGGGCGTTGGCGTCTCTGCCTCAAAGTGGCTGCTACTGCTGTGGCTGTGGCTGTTACTACTGCCGCCGGGTGGATATATCGGTCGGAATGGTGGGTCTTTGCTCGATAGACTCAAGTACGGGCCACCTGCAGGCGGTAAATTTTGCGGTTAGACACTGTAAATACAGCAAATCACCTTGTGGCTGCCTCAAGTTGCAGATGGTTGGCCAATTAAATGGCAATTAGGATGAAGTTGAAGGGGAATCTTAACAAATTTAATCGATTTAAATGATTTACATTTAAGGGAAAGTAATATGAAAACATTTTCTTGGGTTTTTCTAGGGGTTTAGCTTAAAGGAAAGTGAAGGAAAATTATTTTTTAGTAACTTTTTTTGTTACTTAAAGATACAAAGATATAGTGGCATATCTTATAAGCCCTTATAACCCACCTGTCTGATCCGATGAGTCCCGCTTTTCTGTCTTGCTTTTGGCCTCTTCGACAATGCTGGGTGTTAGCTTGGTGGTGGCTATGGCCTCCACCTTCTCCGTGGCCTTCGTGGCTAAACCATCGATCTCCTCACTCAAGCTAACCCTAGCCAAAAGGCAACAAAAGGCCAAAACAAACAATAACTGAAATGAAAAATTATTAAAAAAAAAAAAGAAATAAATTAAACAAATGGAAAATGGAAAAAGGAAAACTGCATACCATGTCAATGTTATTTAGTTCATTAAATGGTAAAATGGGAAAAATGTCGAGCTTGATTAAAAAACATTTTCTCTGTCTCTCTCTCTCTCTCTCTCTCTTTCTGCTTAATTTATAATAATAATTTCATTAAATTGATTTATATGCAATTATAACAATTTTTCATACATCGAAGTGCAATTGTTTTCCGCTCTTGTCACACTTTGTTGTTGTTATTGTTGTTGTTTAATATTTATTTTTATTATACCATTGCACACACGCGATTAATAACTAATACTCGTAATTAAGCCAAGCGTTGTATGTACAATGAACCTGGCATAAAGGTAATTATTAATAAGCTTGATAGCCAGCCAATGCCAATACCATTGGTAATCCGTTTATATATACTCCTTCCTCTCTCTCTCTCTCTATATATATATATATATATATGCGGTAAATCTGATCTGATCTTTTGAGTTGAGAAATGGCCAGGTCAGGTTTATGGCGGTTAGTTAGTTCAATTTTCCTGAATGGCTGGCCTCATCTCTGATTGCATAATTTGGTTTGTGGGACTGTCAAAGGTCACTGACTCCTGCTATTTGCAACTTTAAGTGTTTAAAATATTAACTACTTTGTTGATTTTATAAAGAAATTAGTAACTTAATTAGTAGAAATATTTAATAATTTACCGAAGAAAATGAAGTAAGAAAACTGTAAGTTATGTTGGTAAAAAACTCCTAATTAGTTTTATTTGTTTATTTTTTATTAAATAAGTCTGTTTATTTTTAAAGAAATCATTTAAGCATATATCAAATTATAGCTTTTAAAATATTGTATATTTATCCTCTTGTTTAACTTTATTTTATTTAATTTTAACTTTGTTAAAAGGTTTTTATATTCTGACAGAGTTTTGCCTTAAAGTTTTCTCAATTTTCCTTATTTTTTGAATATTTTTTTTCCTATATAAATATTAAATTAAAATTCTAAAAAATTACAAACATAAAGAGTGCACTTTTAAAAGCTTTAAAAAAATACAACCTTTTTACAAACTCATAACAAAAGTGATAATTAAATTAAGTAAATCAATAAACTACTAAAACGATTTTTACATTCTGACAGAGTTTTGCCTTGCCGTTTTCTCAATTTTCCTTATTTTTTGAATATTTTTATTCTTATTAAAATATTGAATTAAAATTCTAAAAAAATTAAAAACATAAAGATTGCACTTTCAAGAGCTATAGAAAAATATATACTTCTTACAAACTCTTAACAAAATTAATAATTAAATTTAGTAAATCAATAAACTACTAAGATGATTTTTACATTCTGACAGAGGCTGGCCTTGCATTTTTCTCCTTTTTTTGATTACTTTTTAATATTTTTTCTGTTATTTAAATATTAAATTAAAAATCTAAAAAAATTACAAACATAAAGAGAGCACCTTTAACAACTGTGAAAAAATATATTTTCCCTGCAAACTTAAATAATAATGTGTAATTAAATTAAGGAAATCAACCACTAAAATGTCTTTCTGGCTGAAGTTTTGTCCTGCATTTTTCTCAATTTTTCATTATTTTGAAATATATTTTTTCTTATTTAAATTTTAAATTAAAAATCTAAAAAAATTACAACCATAAAGAGTGCATTTTCAAGAGCTTTAAAAAAAATATTTACTTCATACAAATTCATAACAAAAAGAGGTATTAAATTCATTAAATTAACTCTTGTAACAAAACACTAAATTATCCATTTCCAAAGCCCTGCGTTTGATTTTTGTTAAATTTACTGAAAAATAAATTATTTACACATTTTATACAAAAAAAAAAAAAAAAAAAAACTAGCAAAAAAAGATAGGCTATCTCCCTTGGACTATCTGATTGAACCGGAATGGCTGGCAATCAAGTGGAAATAATCAAAATGGGCGCTGATTTATATCATTATAAATATTTGATTGCCAACTTTCGGTGAGTTCGATTTCAATTATATGGGCTTAATCCTATTTTGCATTATTTACCCGTATGAGAGGCATTATTCCAGTTTATTTATTTATAAACCCAATATATACCATCTATATATGGGTAAATATATATATATATATTCACTGTTTTCCTGTTCTTTTTTTGGTTTATAAATTAAATTTGGTTTCCTTCTGTCACTCAATTAAAATTCGATTCGTGTGGCTGGCAAACCAAAAGGAAAAAAAAATGAGCAAACAAAAAAAAACAACTAAAACAAATAAATTTATAAACACTTTTCACGGTTATTTGTTTAATGCAGACACCGCGGATGTTGTTGTTGCTGTTGTTGCTGTGGCAGAGTTCTTCTTGTTGTTGCGGTTAAGTAAACGCGCCGGTGTCGCTCGCGAATGACGCGACTTAAATCGCTAGCTTGCGTGTTGGCTAACAAAGTCAGAGTGAAATTGGTTCGCCAGCTTTGCGGCGTTTTATAGTCGCCGTTTGGCAAGGCCGCAAGCTTACTTGCAGCTTGCTGTTAAAACTGGCCAACAACAGCAGCATACATACAGCATGCAGCTGGTTGCAAGCCAGTAACTTGCCACCGTTTTTTTTTTGGGGGCAAGCACCTTGTGGTGTCGCCGCGATCCCGGCAGAGCCATTTGTGGATCACAATCATGGCCATTAACCGATTGCTATGGCTTTGGCTTTAACTTTGGCTTTGGCCATCCCGATGGTCATTGTCAGTGGCGCTTGTATTTGGCTTGCGTCATCGACATTGCCCGTCCACCCACTTTTCACCTTTCTACGATCGGAAGTAAGAGGATCGATAGAGGATACTAAACCAAACTGACGTCTGATTTATGGTATGTATTTCTTAAAATGCATAAAGTTGGTCAGTTAAATGGCTTAAATGTATATCTTAGTAGCGTTATCTTAAGTAAAAGCAATCCTTTAACTACATTTTAGACAACCTACCATTATTGTTGCTAATCGATATTACTTAGCACTTTTAACTTTTAGTTCAATGTACTAATTCCTCACATTACATTAAGTGCCATTTTCCGTTCTCTTTTGTTTTGCCCTTCTTTCCATTGGCCTGGGATTAACTTGCACTCATTAGGAGTTTGTATTTGCATTAGAGGTCCTTGTGCAGCAAGCAGGGCAAGTCCTGGTTGGTTGTTGGCCTGGTCTAGTCTGGTCTTGGCCATTTTCATTGCTTTGAACGAACCGTTTACAACGGACGATGATTTTACGAGCGCCTCCTAATAAAATCAAGTGGCTTTCCATAAAACTTAACTGTTACTTTAGCAATGCCAGACAGAGACCCCTCTCTGGGTCGTCTACCTACCAAGCTGCATGCCGCATGCCGCATGCCCCATGTTATGTCAAATAAAAGTCCCACCAATTTGCAGTTGAACATAAAATGTCTGTGTGTGTGTTTGTGTGTGTGTGGCAAGTTAAAAGTTCTCATCATCCTCGAAATGTTTTTCGTTTGCCACAGGAGAGACTTGCAACAGAAGTTAAAAGTCCAAACCCGAAATTTCTTCCACTCCTGACCCTGGCTAACATTCATTTAATTGTTCTACCAATGAGAGGGGGGTGGGCGTTGGGGTTGGGGTGGTAAGTTATATAATTAGTAGTGCCAACGATGATGATATGGAGGATGGAAGTTTGGAAGCGGTTTCTCATGCATGGTTAGGTTTTTGTTTTTAGCAAGTTTGTCGGTTCGAAAAGGTTTTCTCCTCACTCTGATGTCCAGAATTTTGTGCTAAAATCAAACGGAGCAAACTTTTTCACTTTCAACATATTGAGTTTTCCTCTTAGTTTTCCCTCTATCTCTCCTCTAAATTTACCACAAATTGCCTTTGGTGTAAAAATAAAAAATATTAAAAAAAAAAATAAAAAGCCAAGCCAGAGCTTAAAAGACAATATTTTCCATTATATTTGAATGGGAATTTCGGTATTTGAGTTTGCTAAAAGTTCAAATGGTTTTTAAATGGAAGTTAACAGAAATTAAACTAGGTTTAGATCAGGGCTGCTCAAATTTGTCTTACGGCAAAGTATTTACTAATGCAAATACAAGAAACGTGCACATATTTAAGTCTCCCTTTTGTGTTGGTTTACAGCTGTGCACTGAGAGAAAGAGAAACACTTCTTTTTGCTTATTTCTTCATCACTCATTTACACATTCCACTGCTAAATAAAGTCCAAAGTGTAAACAGACGTAATAAGGAAGGAATTCCAGTGCTGGGGTTCGAGGATGATCGAGGAAGAGCAAGAACAAATTGAAGCGGAGAGAGGAAAACGAAAAATTGTTGGTGGAATAGCGGGAGCAAGCCAATAAGCAGCGAGCATTTATAACAGGACTGCTCAAATTCGTCTTACGGCAGAGCATTTACTTACACAATTACAAGGAGACATGTATATGAGTAGTGACGCCTTTGTGTTGGTTTGCAGCTGTGCACTGAGAGAAAGAAATACACTTTACTCTTGCCAAGCAAATCATCTCTCATTTTAACACTCACATCGATAAGCCACTGCGAAATAAACTTGAAAGTGTAAACAGAAGTTATAAGTAAGGAATTGCAGTGTAAATGTTCGAGGATGATCGAGGAAGAAACAAGAACAAATTGTATTGGAGTTGGCGACGGAATGTGGCGGAAAGAGGAAAACGAAAATTTGGCGATGGAGCAGCGCCGCGGGAGCTCAAAGCTGTTGAGAGAGCAAGGCCAAACGCAGCGTAAATTTACAAAAACAAAAACCAAATAAGCACTCAGAGCATAGGCTTGGAGTAGCCCTGTTTTAGATTTCCGTATTTTGAAGTTCCTTTAAAGACTAATTAAAGCCCGTCGGCAGGCCAACCTAAAAAAAAAAGCGTAATTAAAAATTAAAACATGAAATAATTAAGGGGAAAACGCAGAAGAGGAGTGCGTGTAATCGAATCGCACTGAAATCTAACCTAATCGAATCGCAAAGCGCCAGACAACAAAACCAATTTTCTGCCACGAATAATTGCATCGGCTTTATAAATGAAATATTTTAATTTACCACCCGCACAGCTCGCGCTCTCTCCCTCTCTCTCTCTCTCTCTCTGTCTGCCTAGAATTTCATATCAAATTATAGAATGCTTGGTGTTGCAACAACAGCTGAACTGTGTTGCAATCAGAAGCCGTACTGAACCCAATAATCCCAGAGTCGGGTTATCAAATCGCCGATGATTATGTCAACGGGTTGGGTTTGTCATTCCATGGCCACATAATTAATGGCCATATGCGTTAACGTTCCAGAAACTAATTAGCCAGGAGCTGAAATCTGAAAATCTAAAATCTCGCTAACTGGAAACTGGAGGCGTTACTGGTAGTGCAGTACTCGTACTCGTACTGGTACTGTTACTGGTACAGGAAACATCGATGCGTTAGCAATCGAACTTATGCAATAATCCAACAGTCGAAACTAAATCAGTGCGGCCAGTGGAAAAACGCAAAACTGGTTATCAGAGAGCCGCCAAAAAGGAAGCGTGCAAAGCCATCGGCCATCGGTCTAGCGCCAATTATTTTCACGGAAATGCACCTCAGGCTGTCGCATTTTTGGGTGAAATGGCTTAGCCCCACCAATCGTGATTTGTTGCAACAACAACAACAACAGCAGCAACAGCAGCAGCCAGGTGGAGGTGTACCTGGTACAAGGGGTGGTCCTGAAATCTTTCACCGAACTGGTTTCCCCATGGACTTTGGCTTGACAAGTGCACTACTAGCCTTCTTTTTGGCTTCTTCCTGTGATCTTTTTGGCCTTTATTAGGTTTAGTTAGAGGAAGAAAAACTAAACTAAAACGATGGAGGTTTCTATAACTATATTATAATTTATTTATATAATTTTTCTTTATTTTTAATGTATTTTTTTTTTTAATTTTTAGATATTTGCTTTTGTAATACATAAATTTAATCAACTTAAAATTAATTTAAAATAATTAGTTTTGTTGGGAATTTTATTGGAATTTTTTAACAATTTCTTTAAGCTTGTCAAGCTGTAAAAAAGAGCAATTAAAATACTTATTTTTTAAGTTAAATAAAGGCAAAAACAAAAGCTATTACTTGCAGGAGGGAGAGAGAGGTAAGGCAAGGGAAATGAGCGCGCGATTTGGGCGCTGTTTTAAACGCTAGCAGAGTTGAGCTTAAAACTGTGGCTAAAGTTTAATAAATATTTTTCCCTTTTTAGCTCATTTAAATTAACATTTTTGGAATGCCATTTTCGCAATTTAAAAAATAATTAGTAAGACATATAAAATGCTTATTTTTTTATGTTTATTAATTTACAATATTACCAAAAATAATAAATAAATTGTTTAAATTTAAAAACCTAAGAATGGAAATGTCTTTTTTTCCATCTAACTTTTTTCTTATAACTGATTTGACTTCCTATATCCTCCTCTTCCTTTCTGTTAGATAGAATATGCCATCCCTGGCAGCTTCAAATCTCAGATTTAGTATTAAGTGGGCTTTGGAAATTTGCTAGAGGGTTCGAGGCTATGCCGATCCCGCTGGCCAAAACGCAGACTCAAAGTGGTTGTCAACGCAACCGAGCCACGGGGCCAAAAACTAAACCCAACCGCATTGGCCATCCAAACCAGATTGCGTGCCACATGCCCCAGCCCCGCCAGCAGCATCCATCTAACCACCCCACCAGCCCACCACCTCGGGCCAGCTAACTTGGCCTGCTCAGCTCCCCAAACAGTTAAAAGCTAAATTATTCATTACAATTTCCGCGCTGACGAGAAAAAAAAAAGAAAAAGTAAGAAAAAAACTCGAACACACACACTCACTTGCTGCTGGATACAGGGGGAGGTGAAAAAGTTTTCCATGGAAATGCTTCAAATGCTCATTTGAATCTGCCACGTAATTTAGCTTGCGGTCTGCGCTCAACTTACTTGCAGGAGGTAGAGAGAGAGAGAGAGATAGAGAGGTAAGGCAAGGGAAATGAGCGCGCGATTTGGGCGCTGTTTTAAACGCTAGCAGAGTTGACTTTAAATAAGTTTCGCGCTGCATTGAAACGCTGCCAATTTGTTGTGGCTGTGACAGTGGCTCACAACGTTGAGGCCGATTTAAGTTTGCTTTTTTGTTTTTCCTTTTTGTTTTTTGTTTTTGTACTTTTGTTTTTGTTGTTCTTGGCGTGTGGGTGGAGGGAGTGAAGCGCATTTCCTTCTACAGTAGAGCTTCTTAAAGTTAAACGGTGTTCTAGAGTTAAAGTTTAAGCTGGCAACTTATAGAGATTTTGTGTTTTCTTAAGGTTAATTTTGAGGTTTTACTTTTTTATATTTTTTTTAACAAATTAAGTCCATTATAAGAACTAAAGTTAAAGTAGAAGGTTTTACACCCACTGGAAACTACAGTTCTTTGAGCTGATTGAGGTTGTTAGTGAGATAACTAGAAAGAAAAGAAAGAAAAGAAAAATCAGGAGGTCAAAAATTAGTTAAGGAAGCTTACTATACTAATGTTTAGGTGAACAGTTTTACAACCACTGGAAACTATAGTCCTTTGGCCTGTTTGAGGTCATTACTGATATATTGAGATACATAGATTACTAGAAAGAAAAGAAAAGTCATGAAGGTTAAGAAACAGTTAAGTAAGGTTACTATACTAAAGTTAATATGTATAACAGGTTTTACAGGTATTGGAAACTAAAGTCCTTTGGGCTGATTATGATTTTTACGGAGATAGTTACTAGAAAGAAAAGAAAATGCAGGGTAGGTAAATCAAAAGTCAGTTAGGTAAGCTTACTATACTAAAGTAATAACTTTATATTAATAAAAGATTTTATAGGTACTGAAAACTAATCTCCTTCTACCTGATTGGGGACCTTCCTGACATAGTCAGCGTAAGATTGTCAAACATCACTTAGGAAAGCTTACTATATCAAAGTTAATGGAGAAGGTTTTACGGGAACTGGAAACTACAGTCCGTTGACCTAATTTAGGTCGTTGCTGAGATGTGAGGATACATAGTTACTAGAAAGAAAAGAAAAGTCAGGATAGGTAAATCAAAAGTCAGTTAGGGAAGCTTACTATACTAAAGTTAATGTAGAGGGTTTTACGGGTACTGAAAACTAAAGTCCTTCTACCTGATTGGGGACCTTACTGAGTTAGTTACTAGAAAGAAACGAAAGGAAAGAAAAGTCAGCATAGGATTGTCAAACTTTACTTAGGGAAGTGTCAAACGCAGAAGGTTTTACAGGAAATGGAAACAACAGACTTTTGGCATGGCAGTTCTTTGAGGTATTACTGAGAATCTGAGTTAGTTAGCCGAAAAAAAACAAAAAGTTAGGATAAGAAGGCCACAGATCAGTTAAGACAGCTTACTATACTAAATTTAATGTAAAAGGTTTT